TCGACTACAATGTTATTTGTATTCAATCAATATGAATGACAGGAGCTTTGGAAAAAAAACATCTAGATGATTTAAACAAAAAAAACCGACTAATTCAAACCTTTTTAACAGAGAAGGATAAATCAAATAAAAATTTGTACAGGAAAAACTAAGCAAAGAAATACGAAAATCATGATAATAAGGATTTAAAAAAAAGACAGAAGAAAGCTGTTTTTTTTTTTCGTTCAAGAGAAAAAAATCAGTTCATTATCTCAAAAACCGTTGTTGTACCAGCGAAAATATTTCACAATTTTTCATCATTTCACAAACCGAATATAACGAATTAAAAAACGAGAAAAAAATTCGTAAGATTTAACCAACTACTATTGAGGTGTGCAAAGCGAGAAAAAAAAATTCAACTCATATATGGTACATTTTGAATATTTAATGTTGGTTATACATGTGCGTACTTATGAATGTTGGGTTGAATTTCTTTTTTTTTTTATTTTTGGCTGGTTCAACAACGACCACTAATGGACCATGATGATGTTAACAAGAATAAAAAAAAATTCTATACATATAAACAATTTTTTTTCCGTTTCGGAAATACACATACAAACTTTGTGTAAATTATTCCATTCAAATAAGTTTTAATAAACACTTTTTATAGCAAGTTTTTTTTTCTTTCCAAATCATGATTATTATTCCAGATCGACTCAATCAAGATGGATGGAAAATTCTTAGCAATGAAGTTGATTGGAAGGAATTGAAGTTGAAAATTGTTTTCACGAATTTTTTCATGAAATTAGTAAAATAGTCACATACACACATCTTGATCCGGATCTTAATTGAACAAGAATTTTAGATTGTATTTGGAACTTGTATATTTTTTTAAATAATAAAATGAGAACTAAGCATCACAAAAGATAAAAAAAAAAAAAATGATGACATCAACAATGTAAAATCGACAAAAAATTGCCATGGTCAGCGTTTGATTGTAAAATTTCGGTTTTCGATACCAAAATTGATGGACAACAATTTCCGGTCAAATATGGTTAACAAGAAGGAAAATTCTTGCTGCCGATTAATATGTGTATGCCATTTGAGTGTGTTTTACACACGCAGACAATGATAATTATCAACACTATTTAGTTTGACATTTGTTTATTATTTCAATTATTTTTCTGTTATAATATATAAAATTATAAGTGCTTTGAAAGCAAAAAAAAAACGAAGAAGAAAACAAAGACATCAAAATACCGGAAATCGATCGATAATTGTGCCAATGAAACACGCACACACACATATACAAAGACAAAGAACATTGAAACGTTTCATTTCATAATGGTCAACATGATTTTGTATTGCGTATCATTACACTACACTTATAATATTTATATACTATGTATGAGTAATGACGGCCCAAACTGATTAAGTGATTTATTGCCAAATAGATTCATTGATGCTAGTTTACATTTTGCCATTGTATGTTTTATGTTCCTATTTTACACATGGGTCATACAAATATATTTATTATTATCGAATATTGGAAGCCGTCAACATGAATGTACAATATTTTTGGCATTGAAATGAAACATTGAATGTATAGATGTTTCCGAAAAAAAATGGATCACATACAACTAGAGTATTACAATAAAAGAAACTTTTGAAGAATATCGACAGGAAAAAAAATGGTATAGAGGAGAAAAAAAAACGACCAACAATCAATATAGAATGATGAATCGACTTGGAATAATGGATAATTCATCAAACTCACCATCGCTTATCTTACGATCAACATTCGAACATATAACAACGACAACAACAACAACAACAAACAAAATACACATCAGATACATCAAATACATATGTGAAAAAAAATAAAATAAAATTGTATCACAATAAATAACTGTAGAAGATGAATATACTTGGATTAAATCAGTTGGAAGTACCATTTTTTTTTCTATCTCTCAATATTATTGAATTTAAATACAATCGATGAAATAGATAGATGGATAGATAGTTTGATTGATTGATTGATTGATTAACACATTTTAAATGGTATGGGTAAAAAAAATGTCTTCATTAATTACAATAATCTTGAGCATTAATGCAGTTTTTTTGTTGTTTATTTTTGTTATATTTTGATTTTCATTATTCCAATAATACTTTTCCTCTCTTAACTTTAATATCATCATTACCATTTTATTATTATAAACATCCGAAATCAATGATGTTTCAATACAAATGGAAAAAATTTATCATTATAGCCACCTAGTGATGAATTCAGTTCAATATTAAAATTCTTTCGAGAAAGAATAGCCAAAAAACCGTTTTATTTGTGATCTACACAAATTTCTTTGTAGAAGTAGACAACATCTATTTGATTTTCATCATTGGCATCAACAATAGCAAGATACTAGAGTTTTTTTCCATTCTCATCACAAACGTTTAAAGATAATTTTCTATGAAGGCGAAAAAAAAAATCTTTTTCCGCGTTATCATCATTGTGAATGTGAATGTCTTAAGAATGATGAAGAAAAGACAAAATCGGTCATCTAAAGCCTGAATAACCACCCACCCATCCACCCACAAACACATATATATATGAAATAGAAGAAAGAAAAAAAGAAAATATTCGGGTAACGAGAAAAAATTATTTGAGATAAGAATTTTATGCACATAGCCATTGTGTGTCTGAGTGTGTGTGTGTGTGATATAGCTTTGTTGTAAAGAAAAACTGATTTATTCATTCAGAACGGGCAGAATATTGAATATCGATGATAGAATAGCTATCATTATTATAAACCAGAAGAGAGAAAAAAATCCATATAAAATACAATAATATGGCCATGAAATTATTTGACAATGACAACAATAAAAAAACAATGAATTAATGATGATGATGATGATGATGATATGGTCGATTTTTTCTGCTCAAAAAAAAAAATTCACTTCATTGTCATACACACACACACGCATATACACAGGATTCATCATCGAAAAATAAAAAAAAATCTGCATTTGAAATATTCGATCGAACAACAGCACACAGTCAGATGAATGAATCAATCTTTTGGCTTTGTTAAAGCGAAACAGAACAAAAAATTGAAACAAAAGAGTGAAATTTATATCCACCACTCGAAAAAAACAAAATAAAATATCGACATTATTATAATGATGAATTTTTTATTTCATCACTATCATAATTTTTTTGAATCATTCAATGAGCAACAGAATTCAGGTTATACAGGAATTCAATCATCATCATCATCATCATCATAAAATAGAATAAAAAATCGTGGCACGATAATTTTTACTCGATCGAATTCACATACTATGGTATATAATTGTTGCCGTTACCAAATACTTTGGTATACATTTCTGTGTATATGTATGAGATAAATATATGTCGAAGCTCTAGGCCCATTTCAACCATTTTTTTTTCGTATTTGTCTTTTCATTTCATATAAAATATTCTCCGGTCTGAACAAAGCCAATAATAATAATAATAATAAGACGAAAACGACACACAGAGATAAGAATGGAATAAAATGGATGGGTTTTGATCAAACAAGAAAAAAAAATTGGCAAAATATTAGAATATAAAAAAAACCACGGCAACAACATCAATCTTTGAGTGAGATAGAGAGAGAGAGAGAGAGAAAGAGAGAAATAGCAAAAGAATGTAATAGTTTGCATCAATTTTTTTATTCTGTGTTATGTCGATGATAATGAGAAAATTTTTTTTTCTCGTAACTAAGTTTGTTAGTATTCTAACACACGCACAGATCATACCAAAGATGAAATGATATAATAAATGATAGATAACATCAAATTTCGATACAAATAATCGATTCAAGTATCAAATAACCGAATTTTCATTTTTGTCTTCTTTCATTGCATTACCAGAAGAATTTTTTCCCTTTATTTTTTTTTATCTAAAAACAAACGTCAATCGAAATTCATTGGGGAGTTATCTATGAAATGAAAGCACAGAAAAAAATGGAATTTGATTGCGATTATAAATTGGTATATAATGTTCGATTGTAGAGAGACCATTGCTGAAAAAAATGTCCATTTTTTAATTGCCCAATTTTGGATTGTTCATTTGGCTCACACACAGTACATGAACATAATTAACAAAAATTTTTTTGTCTGACCTTTAATTCATTCTTAATGATGGTGATTGAAAAATATGGATAATCGATTCTATTTCAGAAAAAAATAATCAAAAATCCATTAAACTTGTTATTATTGAAAAAAAATGAAATAATTTTTTCTTTTGATTGAAAATTCATTTAAAAAAATACAAAAAAATTCTTCTATTGCAGAAATTTTTCTATTTCAAATGATGAGATTCTCAATTGCATTTAATTACGACGATAAAAGCATTGAAATTGACAAAAAAAAATTTGTTTTTCTTCTTCGTTGATGAATTCAATTCATTTGGGAAACTGTAAAAATACGAAGAATTTAAATGTGTTTGTTTGTGTCATCAACAGAAAAACGATAAAGTTTATTGAATTAGTATGAAGAAAAAATATTGACACATTTGACGACATTGTTAATCGATTTGTCATTCGAGACACACACATGATTTGAATGGAAGACTGAGAAATCAGGTAAAAAAAACGTATGCAAACATTCGTGCATAAATGTTTACATTTTTGCTACATCGTATGTGATTGTAACATTGAAAATTAATCGTCATGTTATCAAGATTAATTAGCCATGAAGTGATGAATAGAAAAAGATTTAGTACTGCCAATGATATAGTGTATTGTGCAAGAATTTTATTTTTTATTGATTATAGTCTGAATCTGTAAACACGAACATATATATGGTAGAAGAATAAAAAACCTAGTGAATCAATTTTAAACTTGACAAAAAACAAAATCTGAGTTCTTTCTCCATATAATCATCGGACCTCATCAATCATAAGTTAGTGACAGGTAACAACATATATAGTCAATTTCAATCTTTTTCTTTTCTTTTTGGTTAATCGGAAAAAAACTTACTCATTTTTTTTGGTTTGTTTAACGACGATGATGATGTTGAATTTTGGATATACAAAGTTAATTTTGGTTGTCATCATGAATAGGTGTGTTTTTTTTTTCATATATTAATATTAAACTCTAGCCGCTTTTGCAGACCAACCAGCTTTATTAGTACGTTTTTTACCCAATAACATTCGTTTAAATGCTGTACGAAAATCCGGGCTAAATATCGTATCTGTTTTTTTTGTTATAGGAGAAAAAATAGAGAATTGATGGATTATTTTTTTTGAAAATTTATAATAGGAATCAATTTAAATCAATATTTGAGAGAGAGAAAAAAATTGCTAGAAAATGAACATCTGGTTTTACATTGATTTCAATCATAATTTACATTGGTGGTGATGAAAGTGGTTTTTACTACTACCAAAAAAAAAAAAAAGTTTTTGTTTCCTACAAGAATTAATGTTTTTCAGTAAAAAAAAAATTTATTTTCAAAAATCAATTGCTGAATATTTAATTTTTTACTTTTAAATAGAAAAAAAAAAGAAAAAACTGTTATGATTTGTTTCGATTTATATCAATTTAAAAAAAAATAAAGTTCAAGAAAAAAGAATGTTCAGTGTGTGTGTGTGTGTATGTATGTTTAATGTGGTTGTGAAATTCTCGATGAATACACATTTATAGAATAACTTTATATATTGGAGGAAAAAAGAATTTTTTCCAGTTTTTCTCATATTTTATGATGCATTCTTCCGTTTCACTGCTCAAGCTCCGTAAATCTAAGGTTATTTTTTGCAAATTTTGTATTCTGCATAAAAAACATTACAAATAAATCATGATGCCTTCTTTTTTATAGACATTATTCATTGAAAATGTATGAGAAAAAAAATAACATAACAAAAATCCAATAAAGAATTTGATACAAAAATAAAAATAATAAATATTTCTGTGTGTGAATACATATATATATTGTATACATTGAAAAGACAAGTAAACAAACTGATGACAATCATTATTGAAAAATATTGTTAATATTACATTGAATCTATAACTATTGAATCATTTGACAAAAATTCAATCCATGTGTATGAGTGTAGGTGTGTGTGTGTGTGTGTGAATAAATAGTAAAAATTAAATGCAGAAGGAAAAACAAAACAAAAAAAAATCTGAAAGATGTATTTCAACCAAATATATTATAATTTATCAAGAAAAAAAAAGTTTCTGAATAAAATTCAAATGAATGACGTATTTTTCCATCGAAATAATTTGTAATGATAATTATATAATAATATTCATCAGTAGCTAATAAATGTCATCATAACATATATACAGAAAAAAGAATATATGATGACGATCATATTCATTGGAATTGGTAATCAATGAATCATTTGACAAAAATTCAATCCATGTGTATGAGTGTAGGTGTGTGTGTGTGTGTGTGAATAAATAGTAAAAATTAAATGCAGAAGGAAAAACAAAATAAAAAAAAAAATCTGAAAGATGTATTTCAACCAAATATATTATAATTTATCAAGAAAAAAAAAGTTTCTGAATAAAATTCAAATGAGATAATGATGATGATGATGATGATGATGACCATAATGATGACCATAATGATAGTCCTACACACATTTTTTTCATAATTATCATTGACATTAAACATTTTAAATTTAAACGAAAAGTTTAAAGCGAAAAAGAAAAATTTAATTCATGCTAATGACAAAAACATTCTATTTTTGCATGTGCGTGTGTGTGTGTGTGTTTAATGATTTAAATCATTTGAAATGGAACATTAACACACAACAGACAGACATTTCATGATGCAGTCAAATCTAAATGCATGGAATGTAGTAAAAAAAAGTTGACATAATAATTCTGACAAGTTGATTATTTATAATAGAATCCATCCATTCATTTTATTTTGTTTTTTCACGACAAAATAATATTTTAATTAATATGATGTTCGAGATAAATTAATTTATTGCATTATCATTATGATTCTCGTGAAAAATAGAAAAAAAATACTGAATTGAATTTGACTTTCATTGAATTTTACCTCTTTGAAACCTTCATTATTTTATGAAATATCAACATGAAAAACTTCAAAAAAACATCATCATCAAATAATGAACATTATCATTGTCATAAACAACAAAAACTTTGGTTTTAGAGAGCAGAATAAACTGAATATGAATATGAAAAAATATGAATTGAAATGAAATTTGAATATACATGAATTTGCCTGTGTGTGTTTTTTTGTGAAAAATTATTAAATTTAAACGCATAAACACTGATATAAATACTCAACTGAATTGCATTTTCAAATTCAATGGCATTTATTTTTCATTTTATATTCACATACATCATGATGATTTGGTTCCAATTTCAAGTATTCAGTCATTTTTGTTTGAATAAACTTTTCGGAATCCTGGCTTGCGTACTTGATTCAGTGACAAAAAACAAATTTCCCTTTTGAGAATAAATTTGGTTATCACCGGGTGAGTAGACGAATGAGGAAACTATTTTTTCCTTGACACTTACTTATACAGGCACAATTTGAACTAAACGCATTTATAGAAATATCTAATAGGAAACGAACAATAAAAAAAACAGACACACAAACAAATGGAGAGAGAAAAATATTTTTTTTTTGCCATTCGTAACGGAATTATGATTTTTTTCCATATTCTGTTTTTCAATAAAATCTAATATTGTATGTTATGTTATTATAATGGCCATTTGTTGTTGTAGGATAGGATGACACCAGACTGTGTTTGGTCAGTTAGTATTTTTTTTGGTCAATTCATATTTATGTTATTAGTGTGGTTCACATGTATGTGTGTGTGTGTGTGTGTGAATTCGGTAAATTCAACAACAATTTGTTTAACATAAAAAAAGGCAAAAGTAACCGTCAAATTTAAAAGCATTTCATCACCATTATCATCATCATCATTGTGAATAATCAGGATAATAAAGGCAAAAAATGAAAAAATATCAGTAAATAAGTGAAAAAAAGAAGAGAAAAATAAAAAATTAATAATTGTATATAGATGTAAGTGGCATACAAACTGAATTTTTTTTTAGTTCAATTTCGTTTCAACGCTATCATTCTATTTGAAAACAAAGTCAAATACTGCATCATTAGTATGGAAAAAGTATAAAAACAAAAAAGTATACTTTTTTTGTTGTTCGCAATATGTTTACACACACAAACAAAAAAAAACGGAAAAAATTTGTAAAAAAAATAAAAACGGGCAAGCGTTGGTGTTGAAAAATGCAAACAAAACAAAGCACACCGAATACAAGCAATGGATTCATTCTCTCTCTACCTATGGCTTGTTGTATGGCGGTGGTAGTGGCGGTGGCAATTTGTTAAGAATCAATTTCAAAATGAAATTCTATCACACACCTGAGCTTTATATTTCATATTATATTCACACAGTTTAAGTGATGATTGAGAAAAAAAAAGATATTTTTCACTTCCTTGTTGAGATAAATAATTACTGGTAAAAGTGGCGAAAAAAAAATCACTAATTGATACCTTATGAAATAATGGAAGTGAAGCCAACTTTTTTTTTATTTCATTTCCATCGTTATTATATACAGTTCATTATGTTTGATGGATAGGTATTGAAAATTAACATTGTGTATGTAACATAACATTAACGGTACATTTTTCTGCTTTTTTCACCATCATCATCATCATTTTTACAAAAATGTTCCATTGATTCACTTTGAAAGATAGAGAAAAAGATGAATAGATAGAGGAGTAGAGGGAGGTGAAAAAGAAAAAAAAGTTTTTTCGCATTCCGAATACAATTTTCCTTCCACACATAACTATCGAACTAAAGATGAGAAAAAAAAAAAAAAATTATTCTCCATTGTGGACACAAACTTACAATAACAGTGTGTTGATGTTTTGTTTGGTTAGTAAAAACTAACTTATCTCTGGCTCTTGTATGTCTGGATTAAATTTATACCGGTCAGAATAACGGCATTTGTTTAGCCTGCCTGGTTTTTTTTGAGAATAGAATGCAATTCACAATTCACAACAGGGAATTCATTTGGCAGAATAATTGAAAATAGAACTTTTCTCATTTTATTTCATATACAATCGCTTTTGAATTATTATTATGATTAATAATAAAACAGGAAAAAAAGTCCGATAAACTTTCTTTATACCTTCACATCATCAACATTATTTTCACCTTTTATTGCCGATATATCGATAATGGTTCAGACATTAATATAACTTTCCAACTTTTCAAGAATATAAGAATATACTCAATGAATGTAATATCGTACCAATTCTTATTTAGCTGAGTTTTCCTTTTTTTTTCTATCGTTGTTCATATTTTATCGGATAATAATAATAATAACATTTAAAAGGAAGAAAATTCAAGCATAATAAAAAATTATGTCCATGTCTGTCAACGATTATTTGATAGAAAACAAAAATATTTAATACTACTATATTGGCTATAAATGTTAAATCTTATTACTATTTTGACCATAAAATTTACCTGATCTAAACATTTGTTAAATAAAGTGTATAATAATAGTATATAATACTTTAAATCAGTATCATATTAAAAAAAACTTTGATCCCTTACAAAATAAATGAATGAATGAATGAATATAATATACTTACAAATAATGGGATTAACGCAACTGTTTATATAGCCAAGCCATAGAAAAAAATCGGTGACAAAATTCGGTACAAATTCTTGATATGCACGCGATAATGGTGACAATAATGCATTGATAAAAAATGGTAGCCAACAAATCACGAATACTCCTGGTATTTTTTGTGGTATAAGTGATATAATCATCAATTTAATTTTTTTGTTTTGTTTGTTCCATATTCAATAGAGAGGATATATATGTTGTAAAGTTGATGGTGACGATGTATATATTTTTTTGGTGAATGCCAATCCCGATTATGCAGCAAAGTGCATGGTGGAAAAACGAATAATGGAATCAAGAAAATAAAATAAAAAATGAGCAAAAAAAAAATATAGAAAAGAAAATTAGCATTTAATTAGCTCTAGAGATATATATGTAAAAAAGAAGAAGAAGGAGATGGAAAAAAACGAAGCAGAAAAATATACAAATTTGTTTAATATATAAATTTCATTCAAGTCAAAGTGTCTGTGTGTGTGTGTGTGTTCATTCTTTACATGTAGAATATTCTATACATTGGAGCCATTTTATTCATAAGAATAAAATGGATGGATGAATGGATAAATAGATATACTGGTACTTAGTAAATGAATAGCAGTAATGATAATAATAATAATATTAATCAGTCACGTTTTTCGTTGTTGTTGTTGTTGTTTATCTAAGCTTGTGTAATGCCAATATTTTTGTGTGTATGTTAGATAGAAAATTGAATAAAGTTTTTTTTTGGATAATTGAAAATGTCGGATGTGTAGCATGTGAATGAATAAATGATATAATAGTAAGGTAAGGTGTGATTTTTTCCTATTTTTTTTATATTAAACATCACCAATGTTTTTTTTTGTTAAATCAATATATGGACAATACACGATGACAAGCAATTTTTTTTTGTCTTTTCTGGTGTTTTTTTTTTCATTACTGTCAATGAATTCAAGAAAAACTTTTCAGATAAACAAATCCTTCATTTAATCCAATCAATGACATTTTTATCATTCGAAATATATAAACATCACACAAGTATTAATACCAATATATATAATATATATCAAAACTTGATAGTCATCATTATCATCATCAGATAAATAGATAGATAAATAAACAAATAAATTGATTGATAATACAATTTGTCTTTATATAAATTGTCCTAAAGCTAAGTGTATGTGTATGTTTTCTCTTCCGATAATTCACACATATAAGAACTTGAAAATAAATGGCTATCAAAATATAACAACAACAACAACAACAATAACAAAAGTTTTGTGGAAAAAAAAGATAAGAAGCTAGCGGCAAAACAAAATCAATAAATATCAGATCAGATTCATTTCTTTATTATTGTTCTTTTTTTTCGTCTATGATCAAAATCTTTGTTTAAGGCAGATGAAAATACCAATCCATATCGATATCGTACTGTCAATACGATGCCAACCGATAAAGACAAACATCTGTCAAAATGATGGCCATATTGGAGACATTGGACACATATGCTACAAACCTTATAGTTTGATGATGGACAAAACAATATTTATTATGTCAATGTCAAATATTATGATCAATAAATTTTCTTTTGATTTTGTTTTTTTTTCTATCAACAAAAATTAGACCGATATTAGGCCAAACACACAATATCATTTGATGTTTAAAAACATAAATAAAGCGTTCAGATTCTTATTTATAAACGTAATATATCTATCTGATAGGTATTTTGATTTTTGTTTTTTTTTCTATCGACAAATAGAGGGATAGAATCATCAATAGAATTTTCAAAGTCGTATACAAGAGAAAAAAACGCTTACCAGTAATGATCGCTAATGTTTTAGCTGCTTTACGTTCACGTTTAGATTCAACGGATTCTTTTTGATGTGATTTATTTGTCTGTTGATATTGTTGTTGTTGTTGATGATTTTTATGATTTTCATGATGACAATGATGATGATGATCATGATTATAATTTAGTTGATTCAATGTTGTTGATATTGATGATGGCATTTTTGTGAAATTTGATATTAAATTCTGTAATAATTGTTGTTGTTGTTGTTGTTGTGAATGGTGATGATGATTACTAGACATTGTCACTTCACTTTGTGTAGATGGTTTTGTCGTTGTTGGTGAATTATTACTTGGCACAGTTTGATTGGAAACTGAAAAATTTTCATTACCATCATCAATATCATCATTAGTTCTACGATGAATGGCTATTACATGGTCATCAATACGAAAATCATTGATAGGGTTATTATTATTTGCTAAATTATCATTAATAATAATAGTTTTTTCATCATTATTATCATTATCATTATTGACGATTAAAGTATTATTCAATTGTCGTTGTTGAAATTGATCGATTGATGATAAATCTTGCAAACCGGAATCTATTTCTCTATATGAACTATTTTGTTCTGGTTGTTGTTGTTGTTGTTGGCACTTGTTTACTTGAACATACAAATTATCACCATCATCATTATCATCATTTTTATTACTATTATAATCATCATTATCACTTGAAACATTTCTGTTAATAACAATAACATTATGAAAATTTTCATGATGACGATCATTTACATTAGAATTATGATTATAATGATGTTGTTGTTGTTGTTGTTGTTGATGATGATGAGTATCTAAAATTTTGATAACATTGTTGTTGGTGTTCAATTCTATTTGTTGAATATTATTTATGTCTACAACGACGACAGCATTAGCATCGGAATCATTATCATCAACGGCTACATCATTATTTTTGTTACTGATCTTATTACAAATACTATCATCACCATCACTATTATTATCGGCTTTAGTTCCATCCAAAATAGTAGTTGAGCCCACAGAACAATCGTTAATTTTTTGTTCTTTTTGTCGCCGCCGTTTGCTTTTTTCTAGATCAAAATCGACCACAAGCGAATCATCATCATTCTTATCGTATTTGTCATCATCATCATCATCATAATAGGGTGATATCAATTTATTGGATTTTTCACGATCAATATTGGCACACTTATGGTTGTTCGATTTATTATTTGTAAATTTAATATTATTGTCATGTCCAGAATCATTCATGACCATTATTTGGTCGGCTATTCTAATGTCATTATTATTTATAATAATTTGATTGCTTTCAATCTTAACATCATCATGACTATTATCATGATCCCCATTTGATGATGATATGGATAAATTCTTCGGAATATTTGTCCGTTGATTCTGACAATGATTAGCATCGTCATTGTGTTTCAACAACCTCATCATCATCATTGTATCATTATTATTTTTATACACATTCAACACAGATTTCGAAGTTTTATTGATCATCGTTTCTGTTATTATTTGTTGTGAATTATTGTATGATGATGTTAGTGGACGTCGATCATCATCATTATTATTATCATCATCACGAACAACAACAAGATCATCATGATTTTTATTGTTCGTATATTTAAGCATATGTAATAATGGCTGTGTAGCAGAATTTGTTGAACTTGAACTTTCTTCAGCTATAATTGAGCAATCAGGATTTTGTATGATTGGATGATCTTTTTTGTTTATCATATTTCCATCACTAAAATAATGATGATGATGATGAGATGGACTTATGGATACATCAGGATCCGTTGATGATTCATAGCTGGTCATTGTTAGATGTGTTGTTGTTGTTGTTTTGGCTGTAGATGCATCAATTGATAACTTTTTATTATGATTAAAATTCTCTTCAGTAGGTGTTGATGATGATGATCTATTACTGTTATCATTGACATCTTGATTAGTGTTTGGATATTTAATGGACGGAGGTAGTTTAGGTTGTGAATTTTTTCGATGTTGAACAGTTGTTGATGTATTGGCACAATTATTTGATTCATGGCTATCAATCGATTCATCAATACATAGTTCAACATTATGTGAAACAATATCAGAAGTTGGATGGTTATGTTCCTGTAAATATTCGGCTGCACTATATTTTGCTAATTTTTTTCGTAAATTAAATCGTGTTTTCAATCCTTTGGCACTTGATGGTGATGGATAATTATTATCATTATTAACTGTATCCAATGGTACATTAGTAATATCGGATGTTTGTCCAGATTTTGTTGCTGCTGTTGTTTTCATTGCAATCAATGAAACTTTATTACCAGGTTTGTGACGAATTCTTTTTCGGGCAACCTAATACAAATTACAAAGATGAACAGAAAGGAAAGTAAAAAAAAAAAAATTAAAACATTAGTTCACAGGATAAAAAGCTTTTATTATGAAAGATTCTTCTTGGAAAAAACAAGATAATGATTTTTTCACTCTCAATTTAATTACAAAAAAAAACTTAATCACAAACAATTAATGAACAAAAAAGCTAGCAAAAAAAAATGACAAATAATTTCAATGTTATTCATTAAAATTATGCAACTAATTACTACGTCGTATACGAAAACATTGATGGCGGTGGTTGAAATGGCTGTTTTTCTGTTTCATTTGCTTTTTTTTTGTTCACATTAAAACATTTCTACTATTCATAAATTAAATAGCAAATGAAATATATGATGAAATTCACTGTTTTCTTTTTGCATTTGTTTGTTTGTTTGTTTATCATTTGTCATGATTGTCATCAACAATATAATGATATAAATTATCATTAAATGTAATCATTGTAATGGGAAAAAAATTGAATAACTTTAAATGAACTATATATATATATATTCTATTCACAAATACTTTGTTGTTTTTAATTTAAAACAACAAATCTTCATTCCATTCATCATGATGATGGTGATAATGATGATGATGAAGATGGATGACAAACTGTATGAAGATTTTGTTGATTCCTAAAAAATATTATGGGAAATCAAAATCATTTTTCTTATATAACTTGAAATCAAACAAAAATCTGAAACATACAATGAAAAAAAATTTGAATTTTATTTGCTTTCTGAGGTCTTTACAGTGTGAAATTATTGATTTTCAATTTATAAATACTTTTTTTTTGAACATTCAATACAGACACAAAGAAAAATTTCTAAAAGTTTTTTACATTTTTTTTCATTCAATTCCGATACTAGAATTGTATCGAAAAAAGACTGAATTCTGTATTCTGTCTGTATGAAAATTTTTTTGCCATGTTTTCTTTTCCAAGAATAGCAAATTGTTCAACCGAAAAAGTTATTGTTTGTTCATTTCAATCATGAATGAGAAAAAAAGGGTTGACAAATATCGAAATCGGAGAGATTCGAGCAGATCAAACACGTCGACCAAAATATTTTTCAAATGGAATTTCATTTCCTTGAATTTAACATACTTTACAGTGTGAAATTATTGATTTTCAATTTATAAATACTTTTTTTTGAACATTCAATACAGACACAAAGAAAAATTTCTAAAAGTTTTTTACATTTTTTTTTCATTCAATTCCGATACCAGAATTGTATCGAAAAAAAACTGAATTCTGTATTCTGTCTGTATGAAACTTTTTTTGCCATGTTTTTCCAAGAATAGCAAATTGTTTTGTTTGTTGACAAATATCGAATTGTTTGTTTTTTTTTTTGTTCAAATTCAAAAGTGAATTTAACAATCAAATTTCCAAAAAATATACAAACACAACTTTATGAATTGAAATGATGAAATCACAACGGAAAGAACTTTTCATTTGTGATATTTGATGTGGGAGATTATTATTGTAATTGTTATTATCATCATCATTGAATGATATCATTATCATCGTCTGTATTGTCAAAATGGATAAAAAGTTTTTCGTAAATTAATTTATGTTGAGCAGAAAAGAAAAAGAAAAATAAAAATTTGTAATTATTATCATTAATACATGAGTAAAATGAACGAGAAAAAACTACTGCATGCTACAAAAACAAACAAATATAAACACAATCATTTCATTCGGTGAGTATTTTATTTTATTATTTTTTTTTTTTGTTGGTTTTCAAACGACAATGAAACGTTGAAAAAAAATCAATAATTAAGCAGCTAAAAGTAAATTACAAAAAAAACGATAATTCTATTTCTATATTTGCTCATTTGACAACAACAACTACAACTTTTGTATATGATGAAAATGATTGACAAATTTTTTTTTTGAAAATTTTACGAAAAAAACGAACAATGTTTGGACAAATTAAATAAATTAAAATAAAAAATGCATACAAAACACAAACACACACGCACACACATTACACTATAACTGAATACAAAAAGTGAACAACAACAACAACAAAAAGTTTCACATCCTTGTGCATTGAATCGGATAAACCACTTTAGCAACAACAACAACAACAACAAAAAAACTGACATAAAACTATTGGAAAAATGGGGTGGAAAATGTTTTTTTACTACAAACTAATTTAAATATCAATTGGCAAAGAATCATTCTCGTCAATAACATTTCTGTTCACATTGATTGGCATATAAAATTCTCTATTTTTTTTTTTTTTAAATTTAACAAAAAAAAGTAGTAAATTCATGGAAAAACAACTGCAACTTTTTTTTTCACTTGCTGTTTCTTTTGTAACAGAATTCATGAATACATTGAATGTAAATTTGAAAACGACATGACCAAACTATAAATGCCTTCTAGACATATAATATATACAACACATTGTTATCGTCATCATTACAAGCAACAACAACAACAACAAAAAAATTGTCCGAATATTTTATTCGTTTGATTATTCACATTTTTTTTCTTTACCATTTTATTTCATCATCAATATTTTACGATGTTTCAACGGAATTTTTTTTCTTCTCTCTGTCTATCTATACATTTCATTCTTTTCCCGGTTTCTTATACAAAAAAAAACTATCAAGGAAAAAAAATTCAATTTTCAAATCCAACGAAAAAAAAAGAATTCTATACTTTAAAAAAATGTAACTCAAAGAAACGGAACTGAAAACTAGACTGGAATCGAATCGCGAAAAGAAAATCACAACAATAACAATGATAATAATAATAACAAAGAATCAATGGGAACATTTGCTTACGAAAAATGAGACAAAATACAAAAGAGAAGAAAAAATAACGAAAACAAAATTGAATTAAATCAACAACAAAAGTGATTCTTATTAGCATAAATTTTGATAGCAAAAAAAAAAAAAAAAAAAATTCTATTACTTATACATAAAAACCAAACTGACCTATCAACCACCAAAGACTGGACGAGAATAATATACATATGAAAATACTGGCCACGAACCATGAAACAAATAAATTTCTATACAAAAAAAAAAAAACAAAAAAACAAACGCATGTAATTAAACACACACACACACATGCATACAATTTATATGCAAACATGTTCCAAAAGATAAGAATAAAAAAAAAGTACAACCATACATCTTGGGGTTAAATAATTCTGCATTTCAAATCTTGTTTACAACATGAATTTCTCTTTCTTTCTCACACACACACACACACACAAACAGTGATCGTTTATTGTTTTATTCTAATTCAAAGATTTTTCAAGTTTCAATGAATAATCTTGATGTACTTTCCAAAAATAAAATTTCAAGCATCACAATAATGTCTAATCTGATATCATTTAGTACGGTTATCACATTAACATTCAAAACAATTGAGACAAAAGGACAAAACATTTGTTTTGATGATGATTACAAATAGAAAAATAAAATCCCCCTTAATAAAATTATTATGTGATAAGAGAATATCGTTACTAACACCCAAATGGTGAAATGAAGATAAAAACACTGATTATTATGAAATCTACAGACTATTTCTTTTTTCATAGTTTCATTCTCATTTTGTAACAAACAAAAACAAAATATTTCCAGTGCAAATCTCATCATCATCTACACATTGTTGGCCTCAATATCATTATTATAGAATTTCGAAACATTCCATTTTATCACTTTTTTCTTTTTCTGGTTCATTTTAGTTTGGTTACACATTTCCAATGAAAAAATGATTTACACTGTGGCCCAACTAACGGTGATGATGATGATGATGATGATGATAACGACGAATGATAGATCGAGAATCATAATAGTTTTTGATGAAGAAATCAAATTACATTTAAGCAGTAGTGGAAAAAAAATAAAACAAACTTTGTTAAATTGAAGAAACGATAAAATAACAAACAAACAGAAGAAAAAAAAATTAAACTTAAAGCCAAACAAAATGAAATTCTTTTATTTTGTTGTTGACTAGATGTTTGTTAACATGCTTCGTTTAAGAGAAAAAAAAATTGAAGAAAACGTTTATCCTGTGAAAGAATTTTTTCTCCACAAAATAATAATGATGATGATTCAATCAATCTATTCCATTTATGATACAAGTTGCTGTTTTAGTTAGTTGTCAATGTTGGATTTAGGATTTAATTCCGAAATCCGTATGCTCTACACACATTTTTTTTGTTAGTTTGGTTTTTTTTTTCTCTGGAACGACATTGTGTGTCTGTAGATTTTTGTTGAGAAAAAAAATGGCAAAAGATTTTCTTTTCTATTTTAAAATTGCATCAACATTGATTAATTAACTAAATATATGATGATATAAAAGTCTTTGGGAGAAAAATCATTCAAAGAGGATTTCTCTTTATTTTAAGGATAAATTCATTCAAAAGATGATGACGTGGAGTATATATATACACACACACACCCATCATCATCATCATCATCATCAGTTTTCTCAAAGATCATTAAACAAAACAACAAAAACGAATAATAATGAGAATGATATAAAAATAGCGAAACAAATTACACAACAAAAGGATAAATTAAGAAATTTCAATACTTTTTCCAATTGAATTGTACATCATCATCATCATCAGGGAATGAATGAATCATAAGTTTTTTTTCTTGCTTTTTTTTATTCATACCAACAAACGCACTTGCTTGTTTTTTTTGCCATTCAGAATTGACTAAATTAAAACGAAATGAAAATGGAATAAATAAAAAAAAAAAATTTTTTTTTTGTTTCTTCATCATTCAAATAAGAGTAAAAAAGCATGTCTACCGTCTTTATAATATTTGTTGGAATAAATATAAGAAAAATTTAATTTGATATTGGCATGGTTTTATTGTTGTTGTCGAATTTATTTATTTATTTATTTATAGTGGAAATCCATCAACACACAATCGGAAAAAAATGATTCTGTTCATGGATGGTGATAAAAACAATGACGATCAGTAAAGAGAAAAAAACTTTTCGTTAGAATTCCTTCATATAAAGAACTCATCCCTCTTTATTTCTCACCATCATCCAAATAGGCGTAGAAAATGATGACAACAAAATTGATGGGAAATAAAAATTCCAGAAACAAAAAAAAAGCATCACACAAGTGACCGTAACAATATTGAAATCATAGCTATTTTCAACGGTAAATAAATGAAAAGAGAAAAATGATTTGTTAACGGTCATTTTATTTGATCATAAAAAAAATATTTGAAAATTGAAAAAAAAAAAAATAATAACGATGAACCCATTGAAATAATATTAATCAGAAAAAAAACAGACTCACAAACAAAATGGCCCAAAAAGCGAGAGCAAGAGAGAAAAAAGAATGTTTTGTTCCGATTCATCAATGCAGAAAAAATTTTGATTTGAAAAAAAACGATAATGATTGTTACAAGTGAATAAAAATTCAATTCAATTCAAGAGAGACGGTTGTTTGATTTATTTCGATTTTTTGGATTTTAGTGGTATACTCTCGCTATGTTGAATCAAATGATATTTGTTTCAATGCAGCAACAACAACAACAGAATTGAAATCTTTTTATGAAATCTATGGTATTTTTTTCCCAGTTTTTGATTGCCTCTAGTAATAGTTGCTAACGTAATGACGGTAAATTCAGTGTTATTATATTATATGGATTGTATTTTTTATATTTAGAACATTTTATGCACACAAAAAACTCATTTATAATCAATTAGCTTGTAACAAAATTTGTAGCAATCATCATCGTATATATATATGTAAAGAGCACACACAATCCAGACCACTATCACCAATAATAATAATAATCGATTAGAGTAATGTTCGTTTTTTTCGACAACCTAGGCAACTAAATTCAATTGAAGGATAACAAATAAAAAATGAGAGAGAAGGAATTCTGTACTCAACATAATATAATATATTTAATTTTGTCGTTTCATCACCATATACTAACTGATGATTGTATATAATTTACAATTTGCATTCGAATTTTTTTTTTGAATGAAAACTACAATGCATAACATGAGATATCTATTTCGATGAAAATCTAAAGATAATAAAAGAACAAAAATCTCTAAAAATCAACTAACCTTGAATATTCTCCAATATAATAATAGAATGAACAATAATGGTAGATAAAAACTGGCGCATGTTGCAAATATTTGATAGGTAACATCTTGCGATATAAGGCACTGTTTGTGCTTGATACGGTGATGAAATTCTTGATCACGCCAACCAAGTATCGGTGCAACTGATATGATTAATGAGACAAACCAAATTAAAAATATCATTACACCAATACGACGACCATTACGACGTTGATGAATATAATCGACATTGGTAACAGCCCAATAACGATCCTATTAAAAATATGAATATTGAAAAGATTTGTTAAATTAATTTTTTTTCCAAAAGAAAGAAATAAAATAAACAAAACCAATGGTTATGGTTGAATTTGATTGATTCCAATTGTTTTTTCATATATATGTGATGTCCTGCAAAGAACATCGAGCTGGATCTACTTCCCTTTTTGGTTAGGAGAAAAGAGTCAACCGCAGAGAGAAATCCAGCATGGCAGAAACGTGGTCATAGGTCACGTACTAACTCGAAGAAGTTTTCACGTGGCCACAACTTCAAGCAAGTTCTGAGTTTTGCACACCAGTATAGCTATCTTCAAAGTACAGGATCCGTCTCCGTAGCCGAAGCAAGTTATACATCACAAGCCAGCAAGATTTTGACTTGGTCCCTGTTTCCATAAAGAAGAAAATCGGGATATTCACCCTGACATTGGCAAAATTGATCAAGAAAGTTCAGAGTTGGATACCAGCATCCGGTCCTCAAAACGTGAGTAGAGTTTCGATTTTACACATAAAAATCTTTCTCTCGTGCTACCGTGTAAAAATTTACATCAAGAAAAATGCAAAGCAATTCGCCTAGTGATTTTGAGCTTGACTCAATAGCCTTCTGGTTGGCAGCAGGCCGCATCAGGAAATTAGCAGACAAATGTTCGACGCAAAAATCCTCAGAAGAAATAAGCAAATGCTTAGATGAAGCAAAATCTTATCAAAAAGATATCATCAAGGCAACCCAAGATATTGATACTTGGAAAGCAAACAACGTGCAAAATCTTCCTACAAGGGAGAAAATAATTGAAGATTTGGAAATTGCCAATGAATTGGTGGCAAAACTCAGGAAGAATTTAGGAGAAGCAAGATTTCAAGAAGGAACAATTCTGACAAGTGACTTTGCCGATTCTCACGTAAGATTTCGAGTAAATCAAAATGACTCGGTAGAAATTCGGTCACCCACGTGGTCATCATCAACTACACCAGAAAACGAAGACATCGGTACAAGGGTCCGTGTCTCAACACCGATCCCACCACCACAACAACAACCACCACCACAAACGATTCCACAACAACAACCACCACCACAAACGATTCCACAACAACAACCACCACCACAAACGATTCCACAACAACAACCACCACAACAACAATGGCCGCAACAACAATGGCCGCAACAACAATGGCCGCAACAACAATGGCCGCAACAACAATGGCAGCAACAACAATGGCAGCAACAACAATGGCCGCAACAACAATGGCCACAACAACAATGGCCGCAACCACAATGGTCGCCTCTGCAATGGCCGCAACTACAATGGCCGCAGCAACCGGGTTCAAACACATTTCCATCGACTACAGGTGAAGTTCAGAATGGTAACTACCAAGCTCAACCGGCAACGAAGAAAGAGGAAAACCATTCGTTGAAACGAACACACTTGATACCGAAATTCGACGGTAAATTCGACAATTTCATAAAATTTCGAGAAGCATATGATTCATTGATACATAATGAGAACATCCAATCTAATGTAAAATTATTGGTATTGAAACAAAAATTGTTACCCGAACCATTAGGTGTTATTTCCGGAATAAAATCATACGAAGCAGCTTACAACGCGCTCGTTCAACATTATTCAAATACCTTCTCGTTAAGAGCCGAAATAACAAAAATTATTGAGGCATTACCAAAGGCGAAACATCAATGGGACATCAATACAATGAAGAAAAATTTGATCATAGTAAAAGAAAAATATGCTGTCTTGCGTCAAGATCCAAGAAATCAAGCATATCTAGGAGCCGAATTTTTATCGACACTGGTTAGGAAATTTCCGATAGAAATCGCAAAACACTCGGACTTCCTAGAAGAATCTCCAAATAGAATCGATAAATACATGTCCGACTTGGATAAATTCGTAAATACAAATCAACGAGTAATGAATCTTGCGAAATATGAACGCATAGAAAACAAACAAAATCCATCAAGCATGAATCTCGAAATCAACGAGTTGAACCAGGCAAACAATGTCGAACAGCAAAGAAGAAATAATAATTATCAAAGAAACAACAACGACCGACCACAAAAATGTATTTTTTGTTCACAACAACATCAATCGAAAAATTGCAGACTTTCGATCAAAGAAAGAAAAGAAAGTTTAAACCGACAGAAGAAATGCGCTAAATGTCTCAAGAATGGACACAAAGCTGAAGGATGTTTAGCTCCATTGAAATGCTTTGCCTGTCAAGAAGAACATCCATTTATTCTCTGTGAAAAGAAACAAACAAGCAATCAAACATCAAATAAAGAATCATCATCAAATTCAGCTCAAACAAATGCAATCACTCTCCCACGAAACAGTCTAACAAAAATCCGAATTCAGATCAACAAGTGTGAATGTCTCGCATTATTCGACTCTGGTTCCACCAATTGTGTTATGAGTGAAGAATTACGGAAAAAATTGAACCTGAAATTACAACCTGATGAAATTCCAGTCAAACAAGCAACAACAGCTACAACAGCAATCGGTACAGTTATGGCAAAAGTCAAAATTGGTATAACGACTCGAAATCAATTATTTTTCATATTGCCTGGAGTAAGTCATCTTATTCTTGGAGTAGATGCCATGAAGACATTCCTCTTGATCCGAGATCCGTATGGAAATATCCTACAGATCATAAACAGTTCCCTGTTCAAAGTTCCAGGAGAACAAGTAGCAGGAAGCGAAACAAACGAAATTCAAATCGACCAACCTGAATGCCTTGAACTAATGAAAAAACATCAAGAAGCGTTTGCTCAAACCAAGGGCGAAGTTGGAAAAGTTATAGGTGACTATTGTTTCATCAACCTAGAAAACAATGTGCCCATAAATCAAAAACCATATCGAACATCAATAATCGATCAGGAAAGAATTGACAATCAAGTCAAAGATCTACTCGATCGTGGTCTTATTGATCGCTCCACCTCCGATTATTCGTTTCCAGTGGTATTGGTCAACAAAAAGGACGATGGTGAGAAAACGCGATTATGTATCGACTATCGAAAATTAAATTCAATCACCATCCCAGAACGTTATCCTATGCCAAACATAGGGGATATCGAAGATAGATTACTAGGAGCCGAATACTTCACCACCCTAGATATCTCATCCGGCTTCCATCATATCCAAGTTGCACCGGAAGACCGTAAGAAAACCGCATTCGTGACAATGCACGAACATTTTGAGTGGAAAGTAATGCCGTTCGGGCTGAAAAACGCCCCAGCAATATTCCAACGTATCGTGTACAACATCTTGAAGCGAAACGATTTGACATCATTTTCACACAATTATATCGACGACATAATAATCTTTTCAAAATCAACAGAAGAACATCTGAAACATTTGGATCTTGTTCTTCAAGCCATGACAAAAGAAAATCTAAAGTTAAAGCAATCCAAATGTCATTTCATGAAGAAAAGCGTGACATACTTGGGTCATCACATTTCAAAGAATATGATAAAACCATTGAACAACAATGTAACAGCAATCATTCAATATCCACCACCAAATGATAAAAAGTCATTAAGACGATTCCTGGGTAAAATTAATTTTTACCATCGCTTTATTCCGGATCGAACCAAGAATCTAGATCCATTCTACGAACTATTGCAAAAAGATGTCTCATTCGAATGGACACCAGACAAAGAACAAGCATTTCAACGAATCAAGAATGTAATAACGTCAGAATTGGTATTGCACATCTTTGATCCAGAATTAAAAACGATTCTCATAACTGACGCTTCGGATATTGGGATCGGCGCCGTATTAAAACAAGAAAAAGACAATGAAGAATTCCCAGTAGGATTCTTTTCCCGAAAATTATTGAAACATCAGAAGAACTATGTGGTCACCGAAAAGGAATGTTTGGCCATCGTCGAAGCAATCGAATATTGGCACCATTATCTGTACGGTCGAAAGTTCTTTATCCGTACAGACCACAAGCCACTGAAATATATCAACACACACAAGAAAATAAATACCAGAATCATGAATTGGGCAATGCGACTCAATCAGTACGATTTTGAAATCGGTTACATCGAAGGAAAAGCAAATCTAGAAGCAGATTATCTCTCTAGAAATCCGGATTTCGAAGTGAACATCCTATCAATAGAACAACTAGAAAGATTACACCAACCATTGTTGCAACATCTACCAAAAGGTTGTATCAAACATAATCGTAATGTGATAAAGTACCGAAATGGCAAAATGCGCTATTTCCTCCCTGAAAAACAAGCTACTGAAGAAATAAAACGAATACATGAAGAAAAAGGCCATTTGGGTATCGTGAAAACCAACAAACATTTTTCATCAAAATATTACAGCACTGGCCAAAATAAAATCATCATGGACATTGTAAATGGCTGTGATATCTGCAAAAAAGGAAAGAAACAAATTCGAAAATATGGTGAAGTTGGTCATCTTGGACCAGCAAAAGAACCTTTTGCAATCATCCATATGGACACTAAAGGAGGGTTTTCGGAACCTCACGTTAAGCTCCGCTATTTCCATCTGGCAATCGACGCCTTCTCAAGATATGTCTGGGGTATGACGTCAAGTGGACAATCAGCAAAAGACTATATCAAATTAGTCGACAAAATATCGAAAGAAGGAAGTCCGAAGATGATTGTTACCGACAAATACGCTTCTTTAACATCAAAACAGTTTAAAGACGCGCTCATCGAAAGAAACATCCAGTTGATACATACACCAACAGCTCATCCTCAAAGCAACGGTCTCATCGAACGGGTTGGACAAACCTTAGTAGAACGATTACGATGCAAGAAACAATCATATCCGAACCGACCATGGTCAGTTCTGGCTCAAGAAGTCATCAACGAATATAATTTGACCATTCACAGTTCCACCGATTTCACACCACAATATTTGCTAAATGGACAAGATCCAGAAAATTATTATACCAACAACGATCTCGATACAGATAGAAAAGTTGCTTTCAACAAGAGCGAACGCGATCACCAAAAATCAAAACATCGATTAGAGCAAAAACAACTACCGGTAGCACTGAGTAAGGGTGATTTTGTGTATGTCGATCTCTCTAGCGATTTGAATAAGGAGAGACTGGAATCAAGATTCCAGGGACCATTTAAAATTGTTGAAAAACTTTCTGATCTAATGTTCCTTGTACAGCTACCAGATTCTTGCCAACGAGTCCATGTAGGAAAGATGAAACCAGCAAAACCACCGACCAATGATCAACATTGATCGTGTTCTTCCTTATCACAAACTAATACTCTTTGTCTTTATCAAACAATATTCTATGTGATAATTCAACATTCGTTTCATCCTCAACATCATCAAATTTTGTGTCACATTTAACCAAGAACTAAATTTCCCGTTTGACATTTCTCATCTCATCATACAATCATTTACAATAACACTTTATGCATGACATTCCTTACAATCACAATCATTGTAGTTACATTTATCATTTCTCTTATTTTTTTCACACATTAATTAGCTGTAGCCACAAAATTCACAACAGTTACACTTTAATCTTTAGTTCTCATTTGTATTTCCGATCCAATATCATTGTTTGTATTTCAATATTCTTTTGTAAAATTTCAACACAAACAATTTACAATTTATTTTATGTAATCATCACGAACATCAAACACAATTGGACGACACAACAGTCAAACGATCGCCATAATACACGGAGGATTCTACTATGTTGATGCTCCAGCTACCACCCCAAGGTTTTGTTAAGGTGGGGGGATGTGATGTCCTGCAAAGAACATCGAGCTGGATCTACTTCCCTTTTTGGTTAGGAGAAGAGAGTCAACCGCAGAGAGAAATCCAGCATGGCAGAAACGTGGTCATAGGTCACGTACTAACTCGAAGAAGTTTTCCACGTGGCCACAACTTCAAGCAAGTTCTGAAACGAGCAAGCTGAAAAGCATGGTCCACTCGAAAATAGTGAGCGGGTTACCAAAAAGGCGTGGTCTTGACCATTTGGCAGTTGGATTGACCAACAAATCATATAAATTGTCAGGACGACAACTCAATCATCATCATTATTTTCCACGATTTTGATCACACTGATCACTTTGCTGGTTGTCGCCATATTTCATCATCACCATTACCGTCACAATATCACACTTTATTTTGTTCAACATTTAATTATTTTTCATTCATTTTCAATAAACATTTTTATATTCTAAGTTGGTATCGTGTGTTTATGTGTGTATGAGTTTTTTTCTATCGACAACCAAGAACGCGGTGTGATTATCCCCAAGAAAATTAACTTGGAAGCAAGTGACCACAAGAAATCCATTCGGGAAAAACGTGGTTGCACACCAGTATAGTCACATATATATATGTAACATATAATTTTATATATTACATAAAACATTAAAATCATCAATCTTTAAATGTAAATGTTTCATTTTTTTTTTGCTAACAATGATGATGATAAGTTTGAACAAGAAATACGTAAACAGATGATTATGAATTTAATCCAATGTGTGGTTTAAATAGACAAACAAACACACACACACACACATGTTTTTTTCCATAAGATTTATTACATACTTTTTTTTGTCATTATCAACAAAACAAAATGTATGTATATTCAGGAGAAAAAGAATTCTTATCTTATTTTTCATGCATTCAAACTTTGAGACAATATACGATTGATGCATGATGTGAATCAATCAAATTACGTATACACGACGTTTTGAACCAATGATTCATTTTGTTAACATCATTTTTTTTTACATGAAAAAATGACAAAAAAAACACAAGAGTATATTCTTCCATTCACTAACCCTAAATCGTCTAGAATTTTTTTTTTGCAGACGTTCAATTCATAGGTTTTTTTCAATGTTTATCAAGATTTTAAAAAAAAAAAACTATATTTGATCGTTGGAAGTGAATTGGTATTTTTAAATCTATTAACTGGTTCTTGATGATGATGATGATGATGATAATTTTAAATTATTCACATCATCATTGATCATCATTGTAAGGTCAAAATGTTGGCATAGAACCAATGTGGCAATATGGAATGAAGAACATTTGATTTCTTTTTTCGATCCAGAATGAATGATTTCTTTTTTTCGAGAAATATGTGTGTGTGTGTGTTGGTATATTCACGTTTGAATCGTTGTTGATATTTGTTGATTTAAGCAGATTTTTTTTTTTTTTGCTTATTAGTTGCCCTTATATTATTTGGGTAACTGTTTTTTTTTCATTTTGATTGTTCTCTAATATACTGGATATGTGGGTGATTTGTATACAGAAATAATATTTTGTTTATATATAAAAAAATAACATACCAATGCAATGGCAAGTAAATGTAGAATAGAAGCTGTACAACAAAGTACATCGGCAACTGTCCATAAATCGCATAGATTTGCACCAAGTGTCCATTTACCGGTGACAACAATGATGGCACCAAATGGCATTACTAAACAAGCAACCATCAGATCAGCAAATGCTAATGAAAATACCAGATAATTGCCAACTGAACGTAAATGTCGTTCACATAGAATAGCCGCTATCACCAATAGATTTCCTATCACAGTGGCTAAAATGACTAAAGCCAAAATGATGGCAATTATAAAATGGCCCAGATATAATTTGTCAACAAGTGTTGTTGAATCACCATCAACAATATGGCTATCGCCAACATCATTATCTATATTATCAAATATATTGTTAGTGTTGTTAGATGTATCACTAGTTTGGAAAAAATCTGATAATCTATCATTTTCGGCAACATTATAATCATATCCACTATCGGACATTTGAGCGAAAAAATTAGACAAAAATTTCGTCGTTGAATTTGATAATGATTGATATTGTTGATGTTGTTGTTGTTGTTGTTGCAACGTTTCACGAAAATATGCGGCTGTTGGCATTGTTTCAACAAATAGGCGATCATTATTTTCAAAATGATGATGATGATTATTATTATTATTATTACTATTATCAACAAAAATTGTGGCCAGTGTTGACGTTTTTGAGGACGAATTATTTTGTTGCTCATTATTCAGAATGCTAGCATTTCGTAAAAAATTTATCAATAAATTTTGAGCCAAAATGTCAAAATTGGACGATAGCGACATGGCTTGTAACTCGATATCGATATCCACACATATATTGAGCTTCTTTTTCTATATTCCACAATTATTCGTGTATGACTTTCTATTCTTATAATACTTTATTATGATGATTTGAAATTAAACAAAATTTTTTCTGATAATAATGCTGATTTTTGTATGTTGGACATTTTTCACGGAAAAAAAATATATGAATATTGTTCATTTTACAAATTTCTATTATTTACATTTGATATTCAATTCAATGAAATAAATTGAGTTGATCAATAAATTATTTGCAATACCCATTCAACAATAATCACTGGATCGAACATGATATTCACAACCCAAAAGGCTTACAAAATTTCAATAATGGATGAAAAAAAAATTTTAGATTTTTTTTTTGCTTGTGTCAAATCGATATTTTGTTTTCATTATCTTGTTTCAGGAACTTTTCTATATTGATTCGATGATGATAGAACCATTTTTTTCATGGTAATAATGACGAAGAAAAAAAAATCAAAACAACTTATTAAAAAAAAATAAACCAGTTTCACAGAATATCGACTCATGTGACAGAATAGCAGGCAAACATACAATAAGCACGCATAAAAACATTTGTTTGAATAATAATCATTATCATAATATTGCATTTCGTATGTCATTTTGAAAATTATTGTCCATCGATTAATTTCGATCGATTGGCTGACATTTTACGTTATTGAATAAAAAAAATACCACAAAGAAAATGTTTTGTTATTTGGAGAATATGAATGAAGATTGGCGCCTAGAATAAAACTTATTTTAGTTCAAATTATGTATCAAACATTGTTTAAAAATACTCAGTTTGAGATCATGTATGGTACATGTGTGTGTGTGTGTGTGTGTGTCAGGATTCACTACCAGAATAAAAAAAAACCGTGAATAAGAAAAAGAGGCAAATGTTGAATTTTTTTTAGGACGTCTTTCATGTCGAAAAACTGACGACAAAATGAAATCATAGTATTCATTCCAAAACGTTATGTTGGTTAGTTGATTGTCGGTGCGCGCAACCAATATTCTGATTTTGAACCATAATTTGATAGCAAAAATGGTGTTGGTATTGGTGGTGGTGGTGGTATTCGGAAATAGAGTTTATGTTTGGCATTGGTGGCCGTCGATTATGGTCGTGCGCAAACCGCTGTCATTTCTATCATCATCATCATGGCATCATTCTTATCAATGATGATCCGATGATGATGATGATGATGATGACTACCATCATAGCCCATATATATCAGCCATTATCATAAATTCGATTCGATTCGATTCTTCATGATGTTTTTTTAAGTGTTTATATATACGAATAAATGTGTACATGAATGAAGTTTTTTTTTCAATTTTATTCAATATTATTATTAATGATGATTTTCAAGTGTATTCCACATTGATATATACTAAAAATAAAAAGAATCTAGAAGATAAAGATGAGAAAAAAAAGAATAATATTAACGATAATAGAAAACAAACATCAAATCGAATAAGATAGAGAGATGGTGAAAAATAAAAAAAATAAAGAATAATAATAATAAAAAATTTCGATCATTCTAATGATAAGCAATTGAAAATTGGCAAATGATTATGCTATTATTATATGATTTTCATCCGTTTTTGTGTGTGTGTGTGTGTGTGTGCGTGTGTAAAAATATATAATGTATATTCTCATATCATCAGTAAATAGATTTTTTTTCTTTGTTCATCACATACAGATTCGAATGAAAAAAAAACGATTGATAATGCAAAATATTTTTTTTTGTCGAAATGGTCAACAAACAAATGGCCAAATTCTTTGTTTTATTCCGCTATATATATATTATGAAAATAAAACGGTAAATATTCGAACAACAACAAATGGGCGGATTGTCTGATTTTTGTTGTGTGTGTTGAAGTATGTAATTGATTGCTGTTTTTTTTCATGGTTAGAAATAATGTTTCCTATCGTTATATTTCGACAAAAACATTTTTCTCCACTCACAAATATTCTATTTACTGTTTTTTTTTTTTGACTGAATCTGAATCTTCCTATTTCAAAACAAAAATTCAAATTTTGATTCAATTTTACATTTTATTTTATTATTGCTATTATCACCATATCAGCTAATGGAACTATCTTATGATGATGATGAGTAGAATAAAGAAAAATTGGAAATTTTTTTAATCAAACGATTTTAGATCATAAAAAATTTAGTTAGCCATCAAATAAATTTGCAACTTGTTGCTCATTTATTATACATCATTTTGACTCTTTAGTGGTAGAAGAATCGAATGTCAATAATTGAAATATTCACAAATTATATGGAATGATTGATGATTACTGATTCTGTACTTTTTTTTCCATTCACTCTTTCAATGTATGTTTGTGTTGTGTGTATTTGCTTCGGGTAAATGAAAAACTTTAATATTTCAATACAAATCAACCATTGACCGACCGACAACATATATTAAATCAATGAACGTTTTCAATGAAAACTTATTAAATATTTTCGGGTTGTACTATTGGATATATTCAATTACATTATTCGTTTCTCTTTTTTTTTCTCTTCCTGTTTGATGCCTGAATAATGATGAATCAGTATAGTTAGCATTGGTATTATAGTCATCTTAAGATGGAAAGAAAGAAATTATTATTATCAACTTTATTATTGATTTCAATGAAATGGAAAATTGACTTTTTACATAGTAAAGGTTTCCTTTTCATTTGCAGATGAATACACACACACACACACACACATTGACTTACCGTTTGGTTATGCAATAATATATATGGTTTCCGATCAGTTTCCTTTTTTTTTGATACCAAAATTTGTATCAATACACATTAATGTACAATATCTATATATACAGATGATGTCAAAATTAAGATTTTCATTTATAATAAATATATAAGAAACAAAAAAAAAATAAAAAGAAAATTCGAAATCACTTACATATATATATACAATACAGCTATAGCTGTATAGTTGAATGGCCAAATGTTTTTATTTTTAGTTTCTTTTTTTTTCTATTACACAAAGCGTTGTTTACTTTTACCACACATCTTTTTTTGTTTTGTTTTGTTCACACATATATAAAATTACAAGTGAGATATGTGTAAGATCATTACCATCATTTTAATCTTGACACACACAAACACAATGAAACAACCTTGATTATAAAAGTAAGTATATACAAACATTGAGAAACAATCACCATTGTTGGTGATGATGATAATAATAATAATAATAATGACAGGCAAGATTCTTTCATTTAAAAAGATAACTAAACATGATAAAGAATAATAGATAATTTTTCTTCTTATAATTTCTGTTGTGGTGTAAAAAAAAAAAAAAAATCTGAAAAACACTATGTGCATAAAGCATTGAAAGACTAATGACTCGAGTTGTCATTTATATATCATCAACATCATCATCATCATATATACTCGGTAAATAACGATATCTATTAACAAACACGAATTGGTGGGTGGATAAAAAAAAAAAAACAGAATATAAATTATACTATCGACCAAACAATTTTCTTACATAAATATAATAGTGATGATGATGATGATGAGCAAGAATAAAAAGAAAAGTAATAAAAAACAGAACAATAATAAAGAATAAAGAATAAAATAAAAAAAAAATAACTACATACAGATGGCACTGTGTGTATGATGATGTTTTATTTTGTGTTATGATCATCATCATATACAATGTGTATAAACGTAATGTCTCTGTGTGTGTATGTTTATAATGATTGTTTTTTTTCTTCTTCGAAACGGATAATCCGAAATGATAATGATATGGTTTTTTGTGAAATAAAGAAGAAGAAAAAAATTCAAAAGTATCATTTCCACTCCATGATGATCATTATGAAATAATCGAGAAAAAATCATTGAGTTTATGAAATTAAAATCCATGATGATGATCACCATCATTTCATTTTAAGTATAAATTGTTGTTTCTTTGTTTTTCTTGTTCATGCTGATGTCATCAGAATTTTTTTTTCTGATCACAATGAGACCTCACTAATAGTAGTGTAGTTGATAATTGGTTTATAATCTTTTCCACCGTATGTTGAATAATTGAAATTAGAATATTCGTTATATATATATCGATCATTTATAGCCATAATAAATTCTCATTTATCAACGAAATTTTTTTTTTTTTTAAAAACATCAACAATTTATATATTTCATGTTTGACAAAAATCGAACTTAATGATCTGTCCAAACTTATTGTTTTTCTTATTCTATCACGAAAAAAAAAAATAATAAATGCGATCATTTGTAACAATAAAATGATGGATGGAAACAACAACAAAAACTAAAACTGAAAAAAAATATTGATAATAATCATTAAAAAAGTCGAATTTTTTTTTCACAAATTGTTATTTCATAGGAATTTCAATCGTTTCTTTTTTTTTGTTTTCAAAATTGTTAAAAAAAAAATGAAATTCTACTTGGTATTTGCCCATTCTTGGAACAGCACACATTTGCATTTATTGCATTTTTTCATTCGAAAAAAAACACCAAATGAAACTTTTTAATGTCAATGTTTGTGTTATTGATTTTACAATCTTCATGTGTCAGATTATCATCACATACATAATCAACATCAAATATTTAGCAATTCAGATACCTTTTGGAATAGCAAAAAAAAAAAAAAAAAAAAAAAAATTCATGAAAATAGATTCAAAACAAAAAAATAGATTCAAAACTAAAAATTTCATTTTCCTTTTCAAATGTGCAATGAATTTCAATTTCAATTTAGGAAAAAAAAAATTTTTTTTTTTGACCAAACAAAGTTTGTATGGGACTTGATTTTTTTTTTTGACTCCATCTTTCCCATGGAGAAATTTGTGGGCTACAAATGTGATATTTTGGTGCTTTAGAAGAAAAATAGCCCAAAGTAGATTTTTTTAGAAAAAAAGTAGCTCAAAATTTTTCTCGCTTTGAATTTTCTAAAGATTTCCGTTAAGGGCATGCGCGTTTTGCATTTTTTGCGTTACGTTCAAAAGTTTAACCTGATGACTATTATGCATTTCTTAATAAGTTCGAATTATAACAATTCGATTTATGATTGAAAAAAACATGTTGATGTTTTAAGTTTGAGTGTTAATGTAAAATTGAAATTTGAATGTTTCAATTTTGAAAAATTGAATTTGTTTTTTTGGTTGTCTATTATCAACAGATGGTAAGAGATTTGCTGTGTTCTTAATATTTATGTTTCATGTCATTTTTTCATTTAATAGTGATAAAGATTCATTTTCTTGTCATAATTTTGTATTGTAACAAAAATATGATCATAAAATGTTATTCGAATTTGATATAGAATTTGAAAGACGAACTGGTAATCTTAATGAAGTTGAATTGGAATCATGGTCGAAATATGATGATATTTTGGAAGCTAATAAAAATGATGTTACATTTAATAAACGTTTGCATAGTGATGATAATGATAATGTCAAGGAAGGAATTGCGCGGTAAATTGAAAAAATTCTTTTATTTAAATATAGACTAATTTTTCTTGAATTATTGGCAATGAATTAGCAAATCAATATGCAAAAGATGGAACAAATTTGTCCTATATTTCGTATGATCTTTTCTAATTTCATTGGCCAAATATTTTTTGGAAAACATCATGCTTTATAATTGGGATTATCGATGAAAATTTATTCATTGAATCACACCTCTACATGAGTACCAACGGCAACGAAATGAGTAACCTGCTTTCCCAAAGATCATTCTTTTTTTGTCCAATAATTCTAAGAAAATCATACCAACCAAATAGATTTTTACAAAAAAAACTTAATGGAACGTACAAGGCAAGGTTGATCGATATCTTTGTCCAATTTCTCTGGTCAAATATTTTTTGAAAAACATCATGCTTTACAATTGGTGCTATCGATGAAAATCTAATCAAGATGGAAGAACTACTAGATACTTCTTTTCCTCGATTTATGGTCATTTATTATTTTGTGGAGATCTAAATTTTATTTTGGTTCAATTTTATCTGGAGATGAAAAATTTTGTTTTCCAATATTTATAACCGATTATTTTCTGTATATAATTTTTTTCTTTTTATCTTCTATTTATAATGGTATAAGAGGTTTTCTTTTATAATAAATAAACTTTATTAAAATAAAATAAAATGATCAAAATATGAAGCAGCGGATATGCAGAATATGAGAATAATTTCGGAAATTTATTTCATTCAGGTGAAAAGTTCCCTGTAAATTGTGATCACGTGATGGGCTGCAATGGTTCTATTTTTCTGCTTAAAGCGCGCTAAAGATCTTCCATTTTCATTCTAAAATCGATCGATTTTAGAACATTCTAATAAGATTGTAAGCCTGCGCTTTTAGAACCAAAATATCACATTTGTAGCCCACAAATTTCTCCATGGGACATTATTACAGTGAAAAAAAGGAATTTACTATAATAGAATGGAAAGGTTTCAGCATCGCCATGAAAAAATAATAAACAATCCCATGGAGAAATTTGTGGGCTACAAATGTGATATTTTGGTTCTAAAAGCGCAGGCTTACAATCTTATTAGAATGTTCTAAAATCGATCGATTTTAGAATGAAAATGGAAGATCTTTAGCGCGCTTTAAGCAGAAAAATAGAACCATTGCAGCCCATCACGTGATCACAATTTACAGGGAACTTTTCACCTGAATGAAATAAATTTCCGAAATTATTCTCATATTCTGCATATCCGCTGCTTCATATTTTGATCATTTTATTTTATTTTAATAAAGTTTATTTATTATAAAAGAAAACCTCTTATACCATTATAAATAGAAGATAAAAGAAAAATTATATACAGAAAATAATCGGTTATAAATATTGGAAAACAAAATTTTTCATGTCCAGATAAAATTGAACCAAAATAAAATTTAGATCTCCACAAAATAATAAATGACCATAAATCGAGGAAAAGAAGTATCTAGTAGTTCTTCCATCTTGATTAGATTTTCATCGATAGTACCAATTGTAAAGCATGATGTTTTTCAAAAAATATTTGACCAGAGAAATTAGACAAAGATCGATCAACCTTTGCCTTGTACGTTCCATTAAGTTTTTGTAAAAATCTATTTGGTTGGTATGATTTTCTTAGAATTATTGGACAAAAAGAATGATCTTTGGGAAAGCAGGTTACTCATTTCGTTGCCGTTGGTACTCATGTAGAGGTGTGATTCAATGAATAAATTTTCATCGATAATCCCAATTATAAAGCATGATGTTTTCCAAAAATATTTGACCAGAGAAATTAGACAAAGATCATACGAAATATAGGACAAATTTGTTCAATCTTTTGCATATTGGTTTGCTAATTCATTGCCAATAATTCAAGAAAAATTAGTCTATATTTAAATAAAAGAATTTTTTTCAATTTACCGCGCAATTCCTTCCTTGACATTTCATTATCATCACTATGCAAACGTTTTTTTTTATTAGCTTCCAAAAATGGCATATGCTGAAACTTCTTTCCATTCTATTTTATGATCATAGTTAAATGACAAGAAAATGAATCTTTTCACTATTAAATGAAAAATGAATGAAACATAAATATTAAGAACACAGCAAATCTCTTACCATCTGTTGATAATGACAACCAAAAAAACAATTGTGTTTTCAAAATTGAAACATTGCAAAATTAAGAAAACTTAAAAAGTCAATCATAAATCGAATTTCGAACTTATTAAGAAATGCATAATAGTCATTTTAGCCCACAAATTTCTCCATGGGGTGGGAAATGCTTGTGTGTGTGTGTGTGTGCGGGAGATTGCAAAACAAGAAAAGTAAAGTCAATTTTTTTTTTTGGTTCATTCCTTCCGTCTTCCTACGGAATGAAATAAGAAAATTTGATTTTTTTATGGCCATGAAAGAAAAAAGTAATCAGAAATCATTAATTATTCAAATTTCACTTTATTTTCACACTCTTGTGGCTCTATAACAGTCAACGACAACAAACAAACTTTGGATAATTTTAAATTTCTTCGTTTTTTTTATATATAGATGACGAAAAAAAAGTTGATTTACAAATTATTTTGAAATTAAAAGAAAAAAAATTTCATGTAGAAAATAAAATTGTTGTCGTTTGGATTTTACATTATTTTCATTTTTTCGAAAACTTTGTGAAAAATTCAGTCTTTTGTTTTCATTCTCTAGGAAATCAGTGACGAAAAAAAAATGTCGGGCAGTGAAAAAATTTATCAAAGCAATGATGAAATTGTTGAATTTCATTAATCACAAATGAAAAAACAAAAAAAAAAATTGAAGACAAAATTCATTCCTCCCACTAAAACATTCCCATTCCACTCAATCAATCTATTTAATCTTGGAGCGCCGTTCCAACAAATTTTTTTTTCTTTCTTTGTTTTCACCAAAGATTAATAGTTCTTTTCTCTCTATTTTGAGTATAGAACAGAAAAAATTTGATGGCTATTTTTTTTTGTCCGAAAAATTGCATTAAAACTTCAAGTGTCATAATTACGGTTCATCATCATCATCATCATACCCTTTAATTTTACATGATGATATATTTGTCTGTACAGTAATAAACATGAGATCATTTCATTTTTGATATTTAAACAGCCAAAAATAAATGAAATAAAATTGGTGTGACAAAAAAAACAAACGAAATGACCAGAAAAAAAAAACAATAAATGACGTACAAAAGCATTTATAACGAGAATTTATTCAAAACACACACAAACACGAATGTGAATATAAATTTTATTTTTTCAAATTACAGCTGATAGACAAAAAAAAATTGTTTTATATGTCATTTACAAACATGCTTGTGATTTATCATCATCATCACAAAATATATCCTAGAAAAAAACAACAAGAAATAATTTGGGAAAAAAAGGAGAGAAAAATAAAGATTAATCATTTGATTTTCTGGACCACCAACCAATATGTACATATGATTTGTTGACAATTTTTGTTCCATTTTTTAAATGGTAATTGTGATGATCACTAATGACAAACAATAAATTTGTAAATTATTTTGCCAAATGACCATTTTTTTCCTGTTGTTTTTTCATGAAGAAAAATTTCAAAAATTCAATCTTAAATCCTGTATATAATTCATATGCATGTGTACAAAACAAAACAATCAATTTGGTGGAGCAAAATTCATTTTCGATTATAAAATGATATATACATGTATAATCATTTGTTGTCATTTGTGATATTGAAGATTTTTGATGATATGTGATCGAATTGAATAAAATAGAAAAAAAGTGCTATCAACTGAAAATTCAATTTATGGATAGTGGATAGTGAATTATGGATAAAAGTTTGGAATTGAATTTCAAATCAGTAGAGTTCCTTTCTCACATATACGCTATATATGCTATGTGATGATGATGAAAAACTGTATAAATGCTTGAATTTATTTATATATTTTTTTTTCGCACTCAAATTCGATTGAATGGACATTGAATCGTTTCGTTTTGTTGTTCATTTGTGAACATTCAAAACATATTGACAATATGACAACCCATCCATCAAATAATTTTCCTCTTTCTTTTTTTTTTTTTTTTGGATGCTACTCTTTTTATAAATTCCAGAAATAAATATTCGATATTTGATCGTTTGATCGATTTTTTTTTGATGGCCTTTCAAAGTGCAAATCGTGAGCCGTATTAAAATCCTGCATGTTTATGTGTGTGAGTTATCTTCTTTTTTTCTATGGATTTTTTTGTCATTCTTTCTCGCTCTCTCTTTCTATCTCTCTGGATGGTTGATCGGACCTCATTCGTCAATTCTATTTAGTTTTTACAAGAGAATTTGGTGACAATTTTTTTTTTCAAAACATTCTTGCTTTTGTGAATGCTCACATAATGCATCATTTTTTCAAAATCATCATCATCATCATCATCATCTGGATATGACATTTTTTTCTGGTAGCTTTATTCTTGTCAAATTCTGTTTTTTTTTCTTTACGTTAGTTTGTTAATATATATGGTAGTTTCTCAAGTCATGTTTTTTTCTTGCTCATTTATATTCCAATAGATAGATGAGCAATACATTTGAGAAAAAAAAAAAATGTAAATCAAACAAATTCGGATTAACTAAGTCAATATTTTTGAATTGATAAGCAGAAAAATTTTCAATCATTTTAAATGAAATAGATAGAAATATTCGTGTTATCTTTATAGATCAATTTTTAACAGCTGATTTTCAATGATAATTGTCATTGTTTTTTTCTCCTACCATATCTAATACAATTTTTTTTCTAGTTTAAATATTTATTCATTTGATCTTTTCACCAATCTAATGATGTACGACCAAATCTTTTGTTGTTTGTTGGCTATATTTTTTCTACCAAAAACAAAACTCAAAATGTTCAAACATTAGAATACGAGATTCATTATTATTCAGTGGATGAAAAAAAAAGTTAACTTTCGATTCCATATATATGTATACGAAATAATTATTCGCCGAGAAAAAAAGAATGTAGAATTTTTTTTTTGCCCAGAAATAAAGAATTCTATTGGGAATGATGATGATGCAACATCTGATTATGACAAGTGTGTGTGTGTGTGTGCAAGTTTAATTTGAAAAAAAATTCTACGTGTATCAAAATTAGTTTTTGAGCACTCTTCTCATCATTTTTACTAACTAAAAAGAAGAAAAAAAATAATGGTGGATTTCGTTTTCTGTAAATTGAAAAAAAACTATTATCAATTTGCTCCTAGATTTTTTTTGTTCCTTTTTTCTTCTCATTCTTATTCTTATTTCTCATTTTACATTCGTTTACATTATGGTATTTTTTAAAGAAATGCAGTACCATTTATTGTTGTTATATTTCACATACGAATGAAATGGCAATGTTTTTTTTTCATTTTTTTACTTTCATGAATAGTTTTCTTTCGTTTTTTAAAATGATCAATTTTTTTTGTAAGATTCTTTTTTTTTACTCAGAGAAACTCTAACACAAAAACTCTATTCATTTTATCGGATTGTCAAATTATTTTTTTCTGTGAAAAAAAAAATCTGATTATTGTGTAAATACTTGAAATTTTTTTTTTTTGAATACTTTTATTCTGAGACCAGAAAATCCAGTTAATATTCATACCCGACAAAAACAACGTGGAGAGAAAAATATCAAAGACTTTGCGTCATTGATGAAATTTCTTTCTGATGACCAGAACTCATGATGGATGGATAAAGTTATTTTTCACACTTGCAATTGCTCTTTTTCTCTCTTGTTTATTAAAGCACAAAATAAACACACACACACAGACACATAAACATAGAAAGAATCAATCAATACATTAAGCCAGAAATCTGATTGAATATGGATATTTACCATATTTCATGAACAATGAATGAAAATTGAAAAATAATAATCATTTCTTTTGGATACATTTTTTTTCCAGTTCAATGAACAAACATTTTGAGGATTTTGCATTTCAATCACCAAAAATATGTTGAAACATATAAATTGAAGTGCTAATTTATGGCAATTTATTATTATTTACATTAATATTTATTTATTTTTTTTTCTCTCTGGAATAAATAAATAAAAAAAAGTGCAAATTCATTATTTACGCTTGATGAACTGTCTGTCTGGATCTAATCAGAAGGCTTAATCTCATTTTATTCATAAGAATTTGATGATGATGGTGATCATAGTGAATTGAGTAAGTTGAGTGTGTCCATAGAGAAAAAAAATCTTCACTTTTTTTATATTATAAAAACAACAACTTACAAAAATTAACCACCAAAACTTGCCATTATCATTAGTGGGATTATTATGATTATGAATTTATTGAATAATTTGATTAACGACACACACACACACACACATACAGTAATATAATGCATGACAAGTTTTTTTCCCATAATAATTATCAAAAGAAGAAAGCAAGAAAAAAAAGCGTAACCACAAATAATAATATAAATGGCTCTAAAACTAACCGTTATAAATTGGATTTTACTATCAACGAAAAAAAAAATAAAATAAAGTAAAATAAAATCTCTAGATTAATATATTATATGTGCTTGTTTTTCATGAATTTTGGTTTTTTTTCTGATGAAAATTAATTTCTGTTGATAATAAAGTTATAATCGACCAAATATTTGAAACAATATTACATAGTGTATCGTATATAATGATGAAAATAATAGAGAAATATATTGCATCTACAATAGCAATATATTCTATATGCAATTGATTTTTTTTTCTCATTTTCATTTTCATTTAGCGTTTCACGAATCTTTTCTTTTCTTCATCATATACATTAGTTAGGCCATTATAATCATCCAATATGAATTCATAAATAAATTAAAAGAAAAGATGAAAAATATTCGATCAATGGCAACCAGACCATCTAATGATAATAATTTGTATCTTCCACCGGATTTGGCTAATGCAAAATATGTATGGGTACGGAAAGAAAATACAAGAGCTCTAGAAAGACCATACTACGGGCCGTTTAAAGTCATTGATCGAGGAACGAGAGCGTTCAAAGTTGAAACCCAACATGGCGATGAAACTATTGGTATTCAGAGATTAAAACCTGCGGTGGTGGAGAAACATGTGACGATTCGGTTACCCCGTAGGCGTGGCCGCCCTAGAAGGGTTTCATATATTTTTTTTTTTTTTTGCATGAAATTATTAATTTTTTTTTTTTTTTTGTTTTTGTTCAAAATTATTATTTTTTTTTTTTTGTCCATATAATTTGACGTCCTCCGGTTTGGGTTGGGGGGAGAAATGTGGTGGCGTGATAACGTCATTAATGATGAACCCCAATTCGAACAGATGAGTGGGGATGAGTTGCGTTTTGAAAGTCAGTTGAATAAATGTAGTTATCGAATACACTACAAGAGAAATATACTGCATCCGTATATGCATCATACATAGCAATATATTCTTATATGCAATTATGTAAAATATTTCCATAAATTATGTTTTTTTTTTGCCCACTAAAAATCGATTGTATTTGTGCAAGGTGGTGGTATACCTCCCAAAATTGGAAGCAATTCATTATGTTTGTTTTTCATATTGTACATAATCAGGATTTTATTCCATCCGAGTCCAAAATTTCTTTTTTTGAATTTTTTTTCTATGTTTTATACCATAGTTACAATAGTATCCCTTATTGCCATTCAGATACTTATAAAATTGGACATGATCATTTATTCATAAAATAATGATTTTATCACGGACATACTGAACCATTATTTTTTTCAGATTTTTATTATTTTATTCAATTTATTATATTAATAGCCATTATTAAAATTATCCAAGCTGTTTTTCAAAATTATTTAATGCCATATCTTCATCAGTGATAGCCATATTATTTGATGTTATTTTTGATGGCTTAATAGCAGTCAATTTTTCTAGACATTTAGCTACAAAACAATCACCCATAACATTAGTAATGGTACGTAAACGTTCACTATTGTTGATGGAAAATAATTATATTTTTTTTGCCGGAATTCCATTGATTGAAACAATAAACGATAGGAAAAAAAATTATAACTATATAATATGGAGAGAAATGCATATATACTTACAAAATCCAATCGAAAGTTAACACTAAGATAATAATTTCTTGTGGGTTATCGATGCCTAACACTGATGCAAAGGCCAAATGTGAAACTAATGTCGTACCACCAGCTGGAACACCAGGAAATCCCATCGACATAACCAATGAAAAGACGCTTAATGATGATGATGATGATGAATAATGAAAGTGAATGAAATTCGAAATTGAAAAATTTCCGTTCCCCACGAAAAAAATGCATGAATAATGATTATGATGATGATCAAGTGTTAATGATTCAATTTACATTATATTTATTCTTACCATAGTATACTCAATGTTAGAAAATTTTGTGGCACTTGTTTCACTTGCGAAATAAATACGGCAACCATTGGATAATACATGGAAGATCCATTCATATGGATCGTCATTCCAAGTGGTAAAACCATTTTAGATATAATTTTTGGTAATTTCAAATGATTCTCCATACATTCCATTGTAACCGGCAATGCAAGTGCACTTGAACATGATGCAGCTGCAACTAATAATGAAGAGAAAACGCCTCGATGTATCCGATATGGATTGTTTCGTGTAATGACAAAATGAATTGTTGGATAAAAGATGAACCAGATGAATAAAAACAAACAAATGGCAATCAAATAAAAGTAAAATAATTGGCTGACCATCTTGTTCAATGATTTCATTTTCAAACTCTCGGTAAACATCCAGCAAAACATTCCGATAGGCATAATACTGTCATAATTAAATGAATTCAAAAAATTTGTTTTTATGAAAAAAAAATTTAATACAATGCAATACATACCGTATCATAATATCGAGCAAACATTTTACAACCACATCTAATTCATTTAATAATGCTCGTATATTTTCAGTTTTATATGATGGAAGTTTTGACAGGATAAAACCCAACGAAATAGACAAGACACAAATTCCCAACATATTTGGATCAAATGAATATAGAGTTTTTATCTTGTTTTTTGGCACAAAATTTGGGTCATTGATTTCACTGAAATGTTGTGGCCAAATAAATTCCGTTTGTTCATATGATTTCATAAAGAATGGTGTCAATGGATTATCGGGGAAGATATTTCTAAATTTATTTTTCAAGAAATCAAATAAAAAAAATTTAAATCGATTAATCATTTCAAATTTGAGCACAATACCTACAGTATAATGTTATAAACAGAATCCATCTGATAATGGCTTTTTCGAAATTTTTCCTGTTTCTGTTTGATAGGATCATAGTTTGTATTATTCAATGTTTCCAATAATGATTCAGTTTCAATGGTTGATGATCCTGGTTCCAATATACTGACCGCTGTTATGCCAAGAATTGCAGTGAATATTGAAAATGAAATAAAAAATAAAAATGACATGGCAGTCACTTTTTGAAGATCATATTTTGTTCCTGGCCTTTGTTGAAAATCGTTTGATTCATTGTTGTCGATTTTGTCACAGAAAAAACCTAATACAAATATAATTCAAATCAGTTATATTAGTGATTGGAAAATCATAAATCAAAAAAAAAAAAAAAAAAAAAAACTAACTTGTTGTTAATGATGTAATTAGTACTGGCGCCAACAATAGTTGAAATGATCGTAAAAATATTAATCCCGGTAGCTCAAGATAACGTATCTTTTGCTTATCAATAGAATGTTCATCTGGCCAAACATGATTTCTGAATACGAATCCTAAACTAAGACCAAATATGATTGCGATTATGGTTGTCAACGAATGTTTATTTGTTCGTATCAATTCCTAACAATAATGATTACAATTGATTAATAGTTATAATTTTTTGATTGAAAATTAAAATATTGAAAAGAATATTTACTCTTAATTTTGTTCCAAACATTTTTGTTTTTTTTATAAGAATTCTTATTATCGCAGATGGATGAGTATTATTTGTTTTTTAATTTTAATTTTAGAATCCGCGAAACAAATTAAGAAATCGGCTGATTTCTTCTCTTATGATGATTGAGCCAACATTATTAATGATGATTTAATCACATTCCATAATCTGGCATGGTTTGATTGTTGATTGATTGATATATCACATGTATCAATTGATTGCTTGCAAAAAAAATGAATAGCTTTTTATCAAGCCTGATGGATGATGTGAAATACTTCAGTTATTTGATCCATTCGATTGATAAGTTATACGAATGTTTACATTAATAGACAATTCCTATCTTCATATATTTCAATCATCATTTATATATCATGACAGCAATTTTCAATTCAATTTCATCGACTTTTTTTTCATCGCTCATCAATACTTCTGATTTTGTTAATAATTTGCCGAAAATGTCGGATTTTTTTTGCAGACAAAATTATTGGTACTAATCAACACAAGAACAAAACTTGATCGTTTTAATCATATCTAGGTCAAACTTTATTTTGGCGGTAATCAACATTTTACTACGATTTGTCCATCTATTATTTGTCAATTTGATGATGATGATAATAATAACAAAATGAAAGGGATTTCATATAATACGTTCTTTAGTTAATTTGTAACTAATAAATTCAAATAATCATGTTAAAACATCTTTATGTTGGTGGATTTTTAAATCATAAATTCTTTGAAATTCTAGTCATCTTTTCATTGTCAACCGACTGATCATTCCGATTGCTGTTTCATTGGACTGAGGGGAAATTTTTTTTATTTTTTTCCTCACTGATTTGAGACTAATTGAGCATGATTTGATTTTCTCTGACTTTTGTAATTATCACGAGAATTTCATTGTTTTTTTTTTTTTGGTTATTGATCAACACGAGATACTCTAGTGGACACTCTACTTACGAACAAAATTCGTTCCATAAGAATGTAATGTACAGAGGAAGCGCTTCTATTCCCACTGTACCCATTGTTTCATATAATCATACACTTACGATAATGAGACCGAACTAATCGTATTATATAATCGAATAAAATAAAGCGTTAAAATATTAGGCAAATGATACACTAATTTCATCTATATCATTGTACACCATGTTTGTTTCAACATTGTTGTCTGGTTTTGAATTCCAATTAAGGTTAATTAAAATTCTGTATGAGAATCATGGAGCAATCATTTTTCCACACTGAAGATGAAGATGATAATGATGAAGGTTGGTGCTTTGATCCTTGAATGTTGAACAATAATAATTATGATGATGATAAAATGAAATGATCATCATCATCATCATTAATATATTATTTTCATTCCTTTTTATGCACTTGAATTTAAAATCATATGATGATCAAATGAAAGCAAGTAAAAATTTTAAACTATTCTTTCTTAGAGATATTTGTTGAAATTTTTATCCCGTCTCTTGAAATCATACAAATAATCAATCTAGAATCTAGAATCTAGATGTATTTGGTTTTTTCAATCTTGTTTACAATTTCAATTGTTTTCATAAATGTAATGACAATCATAACGAAAAAAATGATGATAATAATCATTTATCAGTTTCCAATAATAATAATAATAACGACAATAACAATAATTTCCGTAACATTTGACATGAAGAAAAAGTTTGTGGTTTTTTTTCCAGACAATTTTCCATTATAAAAATGAAAATGAAAAAAAAAAAAATTTTTTTTTTTGTTATTGAAAAATCAAATGTCAGCTCAAGCTGTAAATCTATTGATATTGCTATTGTTACTGGAATTTGTTTGAATCAATTTATATAACATTATTATATTAGTATTATACGTCTTTGGAACACATGAATTCATGTATATATTTGAATTAAATCACACACACATACACACATACAAATAATGTGAAAGAAAAAAAAATTGTGAAATACAAAATTGAATTTTTTTTTCTGATTTCTCGTGTATAGAAGAATTGGACAGAATGTCGATTCGATTCGATTCAAAGTGAATATTGATCAAACTGAGTCGATCACCAAATCGATCAACCACCAACCGCCAATTCCATAATAATATTCTATAATATTAATAATAATCATCATCATCATTGAATCCTTGAATAATATTACCAAATTTTTTATTATTATTATCGTCGTTTATTTTCATGTGTTTTCATTGTATATAAATGTGTGTGTGTGTGTGTTCGTGTGTATTCATGTTTCACGAATGTTTTTTTTGTCGAAAAAAAAAAATTTATTTTGTAATATAAACCATATATATTTGGTAATAATATATTTTGTGGAAATAAAATGGCTAAAAAAAAATCTTTTCTTGTTCCAAACACATCATCGTAAAACGATATTTGTAGTTGGAGATTTATTAGTTTTTTTTCTGATGAAATACGAAAATAATAATAATTTAATTTAATTATTATACATATAAAAAACAGATTCACATCAGATTTGAATACAATGACAAAATATATTGTTCAATAGAATCAAAATTTTTCCTTACTAAAATCATACATTCTATTGATCAATGATCTTTTTCACTTTGAATGCACCACCTTTTCTCAATTGTAATTTGCTATAATCTTGTTGTTCCATATGTATACGTCCTAATGTTGTACCAAAAGCATCAACGGATATATTTTTCTCTTCAGGTTTTCTCTTTTGACCTTGTTGTCGTAATACAGCATCTGGTTGTTTCAATGCCTTTTTGAACAAATCATCATGTGCAAATTGATTTCGTCGTAATGTGAAATCCACTCGTGGTCCAATCTCTTCCAATTCGACACGAGGTAAACGTGAACCAGATTTTTTCAATAATATTCTATAAGAACGCATACAAATTATACCATCAATTTCGATGAAATGAATTACATGTTCTAAACCATGAAGATTTATCTGTTCCACATTTGGGCCAATGAAGAAATCTAATAATAATGATTTTAATCGTTGATGATTGGGCATTGTTTCGAACATTTGACCACTGAATAAAATTATTGGTTTAGTGCCCAAAGTGATTTTTGGTTTCTGAAACTCAGACAATGAAAGGTAATTATTGAATTCAAATTCAGCCATATCAAGAACATTTCCATCATAGGTACGTCCAATTACAATATTATTTGGTCGTTTTTTCGAATTCGATACATATGCAAAAAGTGCACTATCATTTTTTTTGGCCACAAATTCCAATGATGAAACATCGTTAAATGGCTGCCAGGATTCTTTGCGATTCAGAAACACTGCATTTGGTTTTTTTATTGCATAAAAATCTTTTAGCATTTGAACACCTTTTTGATTGGCAGTTGAACAGCGACACAGTACAGCACGTTTGACATCTTCAATCAATTGTGGTTCACGTTTTTCGAGAATTCGTTTACCACGACGTGTTTTAGGTTTTTGAATTTTTATTAAATTTTGATCAGCAATAGTTTTAGCCATTTGAAATTTTTTAAACAAAACTACAAACAATATCAAAAACAGTTTACGATTTTGAATGAGCAAGTAAAACACGTGTTTCACTTTTGAATGATCACGCCATCTAGTAATGAATCGTGAAAATGTTACACATTTAAATTTTTTTATAATTTAAGATTTTATACATACAAAAAAAAAAAAAAAAACAAATAATAAATAAACAGCAAAATCGCATTAAAATATTCTTGTTTACCAAGTTTTTGTTTTTTTTTGTCAAAAATTATTTTCTTTATTCTCATCATTCTGTTCATTTTGAATAATGTCTCAATGTATGTTTGTATTAGAACGAAAAAAAAATTGAATGCAGTATTTTATTGGTCTTGAAGGTATATTATAGCAGTAGTTTATATGAAATGATTTTGCATAATTTATCAGTTTTTACGAATCACTTTTTTTTGTTTTTTTTTTGCTAAATGATAGAAAAGCAAAATGTTCCTTGTTTTTTATATTCAAACAAGAAGAAAAAAAATGAAAAAGCTGCTAGACAAAAAATTTCACACCACTATGGTTCGTTTTTCAAAACTTTGATAATTTATTTATTTATTAAACGACCTCAATCATCATGACACAATATACAAGATGAAAACTAAAGCATGTTCTGTCGCACGTCGACTTAACCCCTTGTTTTTATAAGATGTCTGCACAAATTGTGCTCATGTCGATCATGACTATTGTTGAGCCTTTTCTGCTCATGTATGATTTTTGACTCAGCGTCACTTTCTGTCCATTCCTCCCCTCTCCAATAGTTTACTTCGATCCGATCGTTCAGCAGAATAATTACCAAGGAATTCGTTCAATGATTTGTAAACAATAAGATATTTTCCAACGTAAATAAAATTATTTTCATAAATTCGGTTATCATCGTAAAATCTTGATAAATTTTTCAAATCGTAGTTCAAAAATTTTTGTTGAATTAATTTAATTAAAATCAATAATTTATCTCGATACGGATCAATAAGTCTCATCCAATTATTCAGTTGTCGGTCAATTAATTCAACCCATACGTCGTAATACCATTTCCAATTGAGATCAATATTCGATAAGTCATAATTTAAGAACAATAAAGATAAACCAGTGATTAAGATCAATACATTTGTTTTGATAACAGTAAAAACTTCGTTAATTTCGAATCGATGAAGCTTCGGCGATTTTATTTGATCAGAAACATTACTTGCAATACCAATTTCATTATCGTTCACGTTGATAGACATCCATACATTAAAATGATCGGTAAATTGTTTAAAAAGGAAACGATAGAACGTGAATGATTTCGATACAATGGATTCGTATGTAGAAGAGAAAAATTCCTTTGATGTTTGTTTGATGAATGATTCATTAGCATTAAATTTCGATATGGATATTCGTAGATGGTCATTATTACATCGTCGATTTAAATCGTAATCAGATTTCGGTGAACGCACAAATACTTCGATAAATTTTGATTGACATAGACGCTTCATCATTTGCTGGCTACTTTCGTGATTTACTCGTTGAACAATATTCGTATTGATTGTTTTTGCAGCTACATAATTAGAATCGATATTTTCTTCTACAATTGACGGGGAATTGGTTGAACATCGTCGATTATCCACATTATTTCGATCATCTTCGTTGGTACAATAAGTTGTCACAGATTTGTTCGTTGTTGGTTTCATGTCGTCATCAATATCGTGGTCATGTACATTTACCGTTACGTGGCTTTGAGGAATCGATAATACCACATCAGACATTGTAGATGAGCCAAATACAATCCATCCGAGCGTGGTTTTCTTTGCGATAATTTCGTCTGATAGACGCTTTTCATGTTCCAATTGAATTCGGTTGATATTATCAAGCCCTACCAAGATATCAACTGCCACTGGCTCGTCATAATAATCAATACCAACATTACGGAGTTTTTCTTGCTCATCAATCGGAATACCACCAAATTGCAACTTTCTCAACTTATCGTTTACCCGGAAACATAAATCTTCTTCGTATCCGTTCCAAGTCGGTAATTTTAACATTGCACATTTGTCACTTGATGTTGATGTTTCATCATATAACGTCTTCACCCGAATCGGTTCTACCTTGACCACGTCCAAATTCCATTGTTCAACCAGACGATTCGATATAAACGAAATTCCAGCACCGCCATCAAATAATATTCGTACCTTTTTACCGTTGATCATGGTCGTCATTGTTTTGTGGATACTTCCTTCGTTCGTTGTAAGCAATGCCGTTGTTTCATTTGTCGATGATTCAATTTGATTCGATGATGTTTGTGGATCGTCATTCGTAGATTTTGTTTCTCGTGAACCAGATGATTTCGATGATTGTTTATAATCTTGACATAAAAATGTTAAATGATTTCTGCCACATGTTGTACATCGCAATTTCTTGTTACATTCACGACTTTGATGATTAGATTCACCACACCTGAAACATAGTCGATGTTCAATAACAGCTTCTTTACGTTGTTCAGCCTTCAATGTACAATCAGCTGTAAGATGATCACCATCTCGAAACATACATGTGGATTTCGATGTTGCAGCCATAACATTACTTCTCATTCTACCGCTCGTGGCGTTCGATACTCGTGTTTGATTCGTGGACGATATATCTTCTGGATCGATTTGTGATCCAATCGTACGTTCTCGATTCCAGCCATGTTTGAGATAATTCTCAATTTGAGCCAACGTCACTTCTTCATCATCGCCAATATTCGTAAAATGGATTCGATCGATTTTCGCCATGATTGGACTTATCAAACTGAATTCTTCGGCTTCCAATCCTGTAGTTTTGAGCGTGTTTCGAATCAATATCACTGTTTCGGTAATGCTTTCCCATTCTCGTTCGGATGGGCGTAATGGAAGCTTCGATGTTGATCGGATACGTGCTTTCAAAGCTGGAATGATTCGGCTTCGACCACCGTAATGCTTGTCCAACGTAACTAATACTTCATTCATATCCGGATTAAATTGATCTACACGGTCCAGTATGTATCGATGCTTGTCGGGCAGTAGATCCCGTATTTCCATCATTTTATTCAAGTTTCCTCGAATCTGTGGATTATCAATCAGGTAATGTTTGATCATTTGCCGAAAAACTGGATATCCAATTGGATCACCGTCATAATGTTTTAGACGTTTAGCTTCGATTTTTGGACCACCAGAACGTGAATAATAATTACTGTAATCCCACCAATATTGTTGATATGGATTATAATAAGTCGTACCTGTTTGAGTCGTGTCGTTTGCTTCTTGTCGACCGTTGTTCATATCGTGATGACCAGTGGATTGTTCCTCGTTTCGTGTATCATTGATTTGTTCATCACGTGGTATCGAATCATCTGTTGTATCATCTTTGTTGTTACCGCTAGACGTCGCTCCTTGTTGCTTTGTTGTCGAACTGGATGATGATGTTGATTCGTTGTTTGCATCTTTAGTTGTCAATCTTTCAAATTGTCGTTCCATTTCAATCAACGAATCTTCAATACTTGGATTATCACTAGCCATCATTCTCATATCGTCGAGCTTTCGATTGATTAAATTTTTATCGTATTCTGTGGCTTCGTGACGTTCTAGGCGTTCCAATCCTTTTCGTAATATCGTGATGGTATTACCGATTCGTGCCAATTTATCAATCGTATGCTTCCAATTGTCGAAATTCGTTTCTTCGTCCTTGGTCAATGATCCCTTTTCGATGATGACGTTGCTTAACCGATAATACTGATTTTTCAGCTGCTTAATTTCCTGTGGATTGATTTCGTCGCCTAATCCGATCATCATCGTGTTGTTCGCGATATGTATTTCGTTACATACTTTTTTGACTTCCGTGCGTAATTCATCATCAGTCATTGCTGTTATCGTGTGTTTTGAAACCATCGTGAATCGTATTTCGTCCGTGTTTGATCAATCGTAATCGTGAATCGTAAATCGTAAGTCGTACCTCGTACGCTGTCGTGAACGTGAATCGTAGACCAAACCTCGTACGTCGTCGTGAATCGTAAATCGTAAACGTGAACCGTACCTCGTACGTCGTCGTTAATCGTGGTTTCCGTAATACGTGATTGAATCGTTCCTTACATCCGTGAATCGTCGTCGTAGCATTCGTAATCGTGGCGTGATCGTGAAATTCGTAACGTAAACATCAGAAATTATTCGGTAGCTTTCGTCGTTGACATATTTGGTGCTGATAACGAAATAGACAAAAAATTTCACACCACTATGGTTCGTTTTTCAAAACTTTGATAATTTATTTATTTATTAAACGACCTCAATCATCATGACACAATATACAAGATGAAAACTAAAGCATGTTCTGTCGCACGTCGACTTAACCCCTTGTTTTTATAAGATGTCTGCACAAATTGTGCTCATGTCGATCATGACTATTGTTGAGCCTTTTCTGCTCATGTATGATTTTTGACTCAGCGTCACTTTCTGTCCACTGCTGAAATTAACCCGTTTTATTTTCTTTTTCAACACACAAACACACAGACCATAAAAATAATCAGAACAAAGTCATGTTGTTGATCTGATGGAATATTTAATCACATTCATTCGAAAGACCCTTTTTTTTGTCTTAACCCTGGAAAAAATAGAGGCGTTATTTGCACAAAAAAAAAATTTTGTTACCGATTTCATCATCTTTTTTTTATCAACATTTTTTCTTCCTTTCTTCTTGAATTTGATCATTATAATTTGGTTCCATTTACAATTTTAACGTTCATAGATAGTCATTTTGTAAACGAGAAAATATTTCCAAATATCAGATTTCATAATTACCAAAAAAAATGGCAAAAAAAATTTCCATATTTTTTGTCATTTTCCGTTGTTGTTTTTTTATTTGTTTTTTTCCGCTTTTATAACACCAAATAAAAAACCACGTTCATTCGTTTCATCATTTCAATGGCTAATGAAATAAATTACCGAACATTTGACACAATTAATAGACAAGTTCATTAATAATAGTCATCAAAATTAGCCATTATCTGATACACGGAAATCCGATAAACATCTAAAAATTCTACAATTCTAAAAAGGAATCATTTCATATTATAAATAGGGCTACCATAGGGCTACCATTTAGTCCTGACATGACGTATTTTTCCATCGAATCATTATGGTTGATGATGATGACGTATTGATCTTTTTTTTGGTATTCAATTTTCGTAAATTTTTGATTCTACTGTCATCGAGAACATATAATTATGAAAATGAATTATTAAATTATTGAATAAAAATAAATAATTAAAGTAGAATCCCAGTCGATTTCAATACATTTTGATATAGTGATGACTATCAAAACAAATCTGTTGAATATTCTTGTTTTGTTTGTTTGTTCATCATCACACGAAAAAAAAACAAAAAGGGCATCAGAATTTATTTCTTTTTGTCTCTCTCTCTCTCTCTCTCTCTCTCTCTCTCTCTCTCTCTCTCTCTTGAACAAATCATTCAATCAAAATGATGTCTGTCTGTTTTTCTGTATTTGACATTCAAAATTGGTAATTTCGTTTTGTTTTTAAATTTCAAATTCTCGTAGCATACGATAAACGATGATGGTTGACGTTGAAATCTCGAAAGAGACATTCATTCAGACAAACAAAAAAATTGATCGATGATCTTTTTTTTTTGGTATCCTGGAATAGGATGGAAGAAATGAAAATATTTTTCATTTTTCATTGATGTAATAAATTTCAAAATACATTTTGTTGTTCGTTCTTATTCTATTTTTTTTTCTTTACCGTTTGTTATATGTCTTGAGGAAATTAAATGAAAATTTTTCTTTCTTCTCTTATTCGCTATTTCGTTCGTATTTACTAGAGCAAAAAAAATTGAATGAAAAATTTTAATCAAAATTTCACTTGAAGTTTTTCCTCCATTAATGTTGGCTTTTTTTCCCTCCGGTTGCTTCTCTGTTTATGTTGTTTGCGTCTGTATTTTTTATTCTATAATTGGTACGCTGGTTTTACAATATAGAAAATATGTAATATCTGAACGGAAAATAAAATTTTTTTTTTTTTTTCAATTTTTCAGTCTCATTTCTATCCGTGTATTGGTGACACATTAATGTTCACGTGTGTGTGTGTGTGTACTACCATTTCCCCCATATATGATTTCGATGAAAAACAATAATTAATTTATGGGTTGGGAATTTCTTTTCCCCTTCTCATTGGATTCCTTCGATAGATCTGGACGAAATCAATTTTTTTTTCATACCTGCAAGGCATTTCATCAATGTAATATTTTGTTGGAATAAATGAATTTTATTTCATCAGTTTTTCAATTGTCCTACATCCCTGTTCTAGGCAATCATCCATAGTCAAGGTGGTATACGTTATGGTGAATTTGAAATTTAAACCAGAATTTATGACAATACAGATGGATTGAACAAAAAAAAAACATTCTGAATGTTTTTTTCCACCTCCTTTCCAAAATTCTTTATTACCCTTGACATTTTGTTATAAAGCGCTCTCATAATCAAATGAAAAAAAGTTTGGTTAATTTTCATTTACAAACGGAATGTAGAATGGCGAACAAAAAGCTGAATAGAATTCGGAATGCATTGAATCCATAGCAATTCATTTTGAAAACTATTCTTTCACATAGGTTGATTTTGTTTCGTTTTCCATTCATTCAAATGAAATGAATAACGAACACACACACCCTCACACATATGTATCATGTGATTACCAAAAGAAAAGAACAAAAAAAAATTCAGTTAACCAAGCATAAAAATTGTGCTAATCTCACCAAATGGATATACCAAGTGAAATGAAAAAACGGAACTTGAAAAGATCGAGGAATTATTACTAGATAAAAAGTAGAAAGATTCAAAACATGGAGAAAAAAAAACGAAACAAAAACAAAAATTCCAAAGCGAATAATGAATGATCATCTGTACTGAAATCCAATTCTAACTCTTAAAATAACTACAAATAAATAGCTTATACTGGATTTCATGTCTGCGTGTGTTCACTGAATGAACGACGACCAAGTTCACAATTGTTTTTAGTCGTCAACACTTGTATCGATGGATTCTAGCTAATGATCATCCATTTAAGCTAATTTGTTTCTTCTTCTGGGTTTCACCACATACATACACAAACAAGCAGACAAAATTCTTGATGTAACAAAAAAGATGCAATGTACATTTTGTGAGTGGTCATTGTATGAAGTTCAAATTTTGAATCAAAGTTTCATTCAGATTGATTAAAAAAAATTGAAATTTGTTTAAACTATGTAAATCAATTGAATAACATAACATTATTCATTCCTGATAGAATTAAAAAAAAATCTAATCTAGTCTTTTTTATTTATTCTTTGGAAATGGAATTTTTTTCCTGTTTTGCATGATGATGATGGTGACGTTAGTTTTTTTTTGTTCTCGTTATTATATGCTATATCAATAAATTGAAATTAAAATTCTTAAGAATTCAAGGAAAAAAGAGAAAGAATAAAAGAAAAACTGAGAAGCAGAATGAAATTCTGGCCAGCAAAGAAGTCTTTTATATGAAGCTATTTATTATTCGGAAAATCTATTTTTATATAAACATTCATTGGGTTTTTTTGGTCCATTGTTGTCGCCATTTTTTTCGTTGAACTTGTATGCATGTGTGTTCTTCAATAGATTTTCTATTGATTTATTTTACCACGTAACTTGTCAAGCGAACAAAAAGTAAGAAAAAAAAATGAATACAAATGATTCTTCAAGAAGCAAATAGCAAATTCTAGTTACTAAAAAAAACTAAGATTAAATCAATGAAAATAAATGATAATGACAATGATGATTGTGTGATGGAACTATATAGAAAGAAAATCAATCAAATATCTGCGAATCACTTTGACTCATTTTTAGCATTGCCAATTTAGATATGAAAAAAAATATATAAAACAAACAAACAAACAAAACATTGTTGTTGTTTAAAAGATTTAAAAATTCGATTATCATTGAATATATTTGCTTGGTTATATGATAAACACAAAATAACTGAATAAACAATTGAAAAGTACAAATGTTTTTTGTGCACAGTTTTTTCCTGAATCCAATTATAGGTCTTTTAAAATTCGGTCATGTTCAACATTGAACAACAAATAAATATTTTGAACATACATATAATTCTAAACACATTCCTACATTTTACTGTCAGCAAACATAATAGCAAGTATATATAAATCAAGAGAAACAAATCGAAATAATTAATGCTTTTTTTTCCGAATTTTTTAATGAATTTCTGAATGTATATTTTTTTTTTCTTTCAAATATTCTGGATGTATATACTTACTGAATTTTCTCTTCTTTCCTACTATATATGATGATGGTGATGATGATGATGATGACTATAATGATTCACGAAGTATAAAAAAAATTGAAAAATTTTAATTGGCTGTCTGATTCTTTAAAAGAATTTTTCTCCTTCTTCTTAATTTTTACTTATTATTGTACGAAATAGAAAGAAAAAAAAGAAAAGCATCCCAAATGTTTCCAATTAAACATATATATATAAAAAAAGCTTTTTCTGTTGTTTCTGCTTCATTTTTGTTATAAAAAAAAACAAACTAGAAAAAAATCGAATGAGTCATTTGAAGATAAAAATAAAGATAGAGAGAGGATTGAATATAATAGGCCAGTAAATATCTGTAATTGGAAATGCCAAGAAAGAAGAATAAAGAGAATGGAAATGTAGTGAAAAAAAAAACGTTTTTCACTCTCTAAACTCCCCCTCATTCCATCCCTATACAATTTCCCTCTTTATATTTTCAATTTTAAAGTTTTTGATTTTTTCACTCACTGAATTCATTCATTGTGTTTGTTTCTGTTTCGTTTGAAACAAAAGAGATATTTTAGAATTTCTTAATTTTACTGTATATTTGTCCTGTGCTTTGGGAAAATGAACGGAAAAGTAGTAGATCCTAGATGATTGAAAAAAAAATTTCCAAATAAAAGTCAAAAGATTTTCCTTATTATGTGCTGGCATTCATTCAGACATCATAAAGAATCATCGTTAGTGAAATCAAAATCAAAAATAATTACACACATACACACACACACACACAGAGAGAAAGAGAGAATCCACATCTATCTTACTCTCCATTACCAACTAAATAAGACTTTATATATCCTCTAAATATCCAATATATCAAAAATCTACAATAGGATTAATCACATTGGGACTAAATGGAAAGATGTTTTTTTTTCATTTTCTTATTTTTTTTCTCGTTCATTTTATTTTGTGCAAAAAAAAATGAAATAAAAAGATGAACTGCCACGGATTTTTCTGTTAAATAAACTATTGAAATGAAAATTGTTGCACACACACACACACACATAAATCAACCATAATACAATGTCAAGAGAAAAAAAAGACACTCGATATTGAGATAGTGAAACGAATACATCTCATTCATTTACAGATTAATAAGTAAAGTAAAAGTTGCCACATTGAATGAATATGATTTTTTTCCAGTAGAGAGAGAGAGAGAGAGAGAGAGAGAGAGAGAGAGAGAGAAAAAAAGATAAAAATGGAATAATTGTATATTCAAACAAAATTAGAGACATTTTGAAAAGTCAAATTTTTTTATGCAAGATACATGTTTTTTTTTGTTCAATACCATTATTTTGTGACAAAGATTTTAATTCTATATATATGAAGAATTCAATTTGAAATTTTCATTTCTTTTTATTTTGCAGTCGGTGTCATTGAAGATCATGAATCCTCTAGAGATGATGGAGAGAGAATTCCATTTTATTTTTCGAAAAAAATCAAAATGTAATGAAAAAATATTATCTTTTCATTCGATTGTCGAGAATCTCTTTAGTCAGTCGAAAAAGGAGTGAAAAAAACTGTATCTAAAATCTTTAATAACATGTCATACCGAGGATTTTTCTTTTGTTCAAAAGTGGCCATCAATCATTATATATAACGGTTTAATAAAGAATTCAGTAAACAGAATTTTAACAGAATTCAAACGAAAAATATTGAATATTGAATTAGGTTAAAAATTAAAATTTTCATGTTATTTTAAACTCAATATTTATGAAATTTAATCAACAAAAAAAATTCCATATCCAATATTCAAGGCTATTGAGAATTTGAATATTATCATACAGACGAATGAAAAAATGGTTCACATGATTCTACACAATTCTATTGTACTGTTTCAATAAAATAATTTCAAAAAAAAAAAAAAAATGTTTGACAAAAGTAGGAAAAAAAAAATTTTTGTGAGAACAAAAAAAAATATATGTAAATAGAATATTCTATTGACATTATTATGAATATTCATGGATATTGAATTACAAATCTGTTTAGTGTATTTTTCAAAGAAAAAATATTTTTTTTTTTTTGTAAAAAAGCCGATTGATTGTAATACTACGAAAACATTTCAATTATTAGTTAAAAAATAATCAATTATTCTGATCATCATCATCATTTTATATTTAAAAAATTTATTCTCATTCAATATTAACGTTGGACTTTTTTTTTGTTTGTCATTTACGTCAAAAGATATATATATGATTAATAATCCGTTTATGTTTCAATGTTTGTATATAATAGGTAAATGTCAATAATAATATGTTTCGAAATCGAATAGTTTTGTATCATAGTTGCCAAATATTCATTATCTTTCGTCATTCATGCAAATCAAATATTTAAATTCTTTTCATTTTTACCGCCATCGGGCTTAGACTGCAGAATTTTTTTTGTTCGTCTCACTCATCTTCTTTTCATTCATAAAATGATCAGATGAAAAAACAATTATTAATGAATATATTCTCTCATGATGAAAAGGGCCAATGTTACGAAATTCCGTCATGTTTGGAATTCCGCTTGAAGACAGGGAAAAAAATAACGATTTTCTTTTACAAACTTTGTAATCATTGCAATTTTTTTTTATGAATCTATTCTTCTTATGGATGGTATTTGTTTCTTTATAATTTTCTTTTTTTTTCTTTCAAAGATTTTTTTTCCACAAATGATGCCAATAATAAATTCGATATATTAGCGATATTGAAATCATGATAGATTCAAATCTAATGATGATAAATACAAATAATATATATTCTTATTTAAATCGGTACAAAATTTTATTCAAAATTTTAAACAAACAAATGTTTGTTGAAAATTGAAAAGCCAGTATTACAAATTGTAAATCTAGTGAACATATACATTATACAAAACAAAAAATATCATAATTTTTTTTTAGGTATTACTACATAAATTTTTCATCTGTTGGGAAATAAATGCAGATAAAAAAGAATTTTTTTTTTAATTAACAAAATCCTCACTCATTTAACTGAACTGATGTGATTCATTCTGGACACGACTTCCATATGCCATCGATACGATATTATAAGAATCGAAAAATCGATCCACACAATGATTCAAACATTTCGTTTCTGAACTATCCAAACTTGTACCAGGTTTGTTGATACATTTTTCAAAACATTTGTTCGTAATTTTGGATAAAAGCTCCTGTATGGTTGCAACGGCTATCTGCTCCTTTACATTATCGATCAATTCGGCTTTTTGTGTCGATGTTAAATTGTTTGAGTCCATTATTGATTTAAATAAATTAGAAAATCAGGTAAAATGATGAAATATATTTCGGTATACAAAAAAAACCTGCAAATCACGTGTTGGTAAGTCGGATTTCGTTCGTGACCTAGGGCCATCTAATGACAATTATATGGAACTAAACATCGATACCATCGATAAAATTAAAGTATCATATGTTTGATTTGGCGGATCATTTTTGATGAAAAATAATTTACTTTGACCCGATTATTAATTAATAATGAATAATCTACGTTTATTAATAAATTCATCATCACAATTGTTCTCCCAAATCAATAATGTAATTGTTCCAACATTGATTCCAATAAGATTTCGTCGTGTTTTTCCCATAATTCGGGGTGCACCAAGACCACTACCACCAAATATAGTTCGACCAGAATCTTCGAAATATAATTGGCAACCAATCTATCCACCAGACAATAAATATACGATTATGCCACTCAAAATTAAGAAACTTGGTGGTCGTCATCCGGAAACTGGACGAGTGGTAGTCAAAACCATAGGCGGAGGAAATAAAAAATACTTTCGCTGGATAGATTATGAACGTAAAGCTAATACCGATGGATCACCACGGGAGGAAAAAGTTTTTAACATACGATATGATCCATTAAGATCGACAAAATTAGCATTAGTAGCTGGAGGTATTATAAGAATTTAATCATGATCATTGATTATTAACTTTTGAATTTTTTTTATTCAGGCGATCGAATCCGTTGGATAGTAGCCACAGAAAAAATGCAAATCGGTGATATTATACGTACTTATTCGGACATACCACGTAATCCTGTACGACCACGTGAAGCTGATTCTCATCCTATTGGTGCATTACCTATCGGTACTAAAGTTCATAATGTTCAAATAATACCAAATGAACCCAAAACAACCATACTTTATGCTGGTCAATATGCCGAATTAATTCGACGTGTTGGTCGTCGTAATTATCTGGTTGAAAGCAAAGGAAAACGAGAATTTTGTATTGATCAAACATGTATGGTTACTGTCGGTTGTTGCTCGAATCCATATCATGATCAAATCGATCTTATGTGTCCTCAACGAAGACGTTGGTTAGGCAAACGACCAAAATCAGGTGCCTGGCATAAAAAAGATGGATATTGTGGCAGAAAAATTCATCCACCGAAACCAGTACGTGATCATTTCACTACGGCAATGATGATGCAAAAATCTGGTCAAACAATGTCGGAAGTGACGAAAGACGAACAAAAGGAATTTTATGTTATTGAATGAAAATTGTTGCCTCTTTTTCTTATCATTATTAATACCATTGTTGTTGCACTAATCATCAATCGTGTGTTTATATACAAACTAGTTTGATTGCCAATCCATATATTTAAATTCAAAAAATTTTATATTGTATTAATAGAAATGCAATTCAACATTTGTCATTTGATGAAGAAACAAAATTCAAAATTACCACATAGTTTTGTGGTGGTAATCATTCGATTACAGTATGGATAACATATGTGGTGACATTGACGATAAAAACAAATTTATTATTGTTGAAATAAAATTTTCTCTTTTTGATTCGAAAATAATTTAGTGTTTTTGAAACAAAAGAGATTGTTTTTTTCTGCAAATTTGATGAATGTCACACATTGGCAACAATTTTATGATGATGATTATACTACGAGGATAATGTTTGGATGGATGGATGGTATGACTATAACAAAATGAAATAATTGCCATGATTTCGATAATGAGATGCGTCGTCCATCGTAGAATATCTATTTGTATATATCTCTTTTTTGTTGTCATTCATGCGTTTAAATTATGATGTCCATTATCATGTTGAAGACTATGTCGCTATTTTAAGTGCTAATGTAAAAAAACAATGGCTATTCTTATACTCATCATCACAATTAGACAAAACATTTGCTTGTTTGTCGTAGCATCATCATCAATACAAAGAAACATCAATTCTTCTTCGAAAAAATCAACTCTTATGATCATTGCATAGAATCATTGCATTCAAGATTATCAACTAGATAGATCGAATTAAATATAATAAACATTTAATTTGTGACAAATAATGACAATTATTTCATGACGAAAATGTCTATATATTGTTTCATGTTTTTATCTTTGACATTCTTCAACATTGGTTCATCATTTTTGAATCCATTGAATAGAGATTTTCTCTTTCTTCCTAAACTGTCCAACCATGGTCGTTTACAATTGGAAGCTAGCCGACCTGAATTAGCACGTGCGGTTATCTATAATCGTGATAGACTGGATCCGGCCAATCAAAATGTCTATCAAGATTCAGCTACATTAAAAATCAAAAATCGTTCTGGAAATTCTGAAGATGAACTGATCTTGAGTGATGATGATTCTAAAATCCCAAGGTAATGATTTTTAATGGAAAAATTGATAGATTTAAGGCAATTTTTTTTATTATTAATTAGTGATTCATCAAATCATTATGTACCAGTAACGGTGAAAAAACAAGAATCAAGATCAAATCCAAGTACATCGCCCGATGTCTCCGTGCATAGTAATAATTTTCAGAATGAAAAACGTCATCCTAAAGATCGTTTTGTCGATGCCGATGAATTTTTGAAATCAAAGCCAGATGGCGAAGCCAATTCGAAAAATCGTCAAGATGACCCTTTCATTCAATTCGAGAAAGAATTCGAAAACATTTTCAAACTTGATGATTTCAAAGATTTTTTCAATACTCGTATTTTAATTTGATTAAATTCAAAATTTTTTTCTTTCGTAAATAATCAATTTTGATTGAAATATAAATGAAATAAAAAACTTTTTACTGCAGATATTTTTAGCTTATTATTTTATTAATTATGCCTCAATTACGTTTGCCAAAACCAAGAGCTATCATCTTTGATATTACGGGAACTGCTAGTAATACGACATTCGTTAATAGATTTTTGGTCCATTATCTTCGGATTAGCGTTAAAAGTTTTATCGGTATCAATTGGGGCCATGTCCAAATAAATCGCGATATAAACATGCTACGAAAAGCTGCCAAAAGTAATCCAAGCTGGCCACAGATTCCTGAGACTGATTCATTGGAATTAATTCAACAAGCAGTGAGCGATTTGATTAATTTTCTCATTGATAATAATCTTGATTGTTTGGCCTTCGCGCAATTAAGGTAAATTATTTTTATATATAAAAACATAATTAGATGACGACAACTTCACACGTAAACTTTTTTCACGTCTTCTTCATCGTGCGATTAGATTTCATGTTTGGTTTGATGGCTATGATAAAGGTCTTTTAAAGACTCCCATTTATTCTGATGTTGCTATTCAGATGAAAAAATGGCGATGTGATTATAATATACCATTGTATGTTTATAGCCAGGGTTGGGCCGAAGCAAATCGTGTATTCATGTCCCGTACAAACAATGGTGATATGTCATTATTGATTGATGATTATTTTGATACATCAATCGGTATGCCAACGGATCCGGCAACATTTAGAAAAATTTTAGAACAAATTCATCAATCACCAAGTGATGTTGTCTATTTGACAAAATCTTCAGCAGCAGCCAAATGTGCAAAAAATGTTGGCATTTTTTCCGTACTAGTACTCACTCATAAAAAAATGCAAGATATGATTAGTGAAGATGAGAAAAAAGAATTGATCATCATTCGTACTATGAATGAAATTGAATTTGAATCAATCTTGCAACAGCAACAAAAACAATAAATAAAATTTTATTTATTTTAAATTAAGAATATATATAAAAATTATTGTTTAAAAACCAATTAAATCACTGATACTTTTAATCATATGACTTGTAAACGTTGTAGTACGATATAAGGACATATATAAAGAGCTTGGTACGGCAAACAGTCGATTAATCAAACGATCGCATAATTCAAGCCTATTATAGATTGCTACGGTAGATGTCTTGGTTGGTAGATCATGGTTGTTTGACGTCATTTGTAATAATGGCCACGATGAATATTTAATCTGATTCAATGATTTACCAGATTCAAAATCACTAATGATTTTTGGGATATCTTTTACATAGATAAGTTTGACAAGGTCAGTGTGAAAATAACGAGATACAAGACCAAGATTGCGACAATGATTGTTGGTCATGTTTCGTGATTTCAATTTTCCAAAGGAATGATGTCCAATTGTAGTGTAAATGATGGCCGTTTCGATTGTAAGTACAGCAATACTGTCATCAATCAATTCGACATTTAATGAACGTTTTCGATTAGTTACAATTTGTATATGTTCACGATATGATCGTAATTTCAACTTAGAATTTTCACGATTTGATAATCGTCGTAACGTTTTATTACGGTAAGTGTGGTGGCCACAATGTAAAACTTTAAGTTTCATTTTCATTATCTATAAAAATCAATGACAATAATTGAAACATGAAATAAACTATATTCATCATTATAATAGCAAGAATTACCTGTCACATTTTTTTAAAAAAGGTATACCATAAATAATTCGGTCGACTAGGCTTCACAGAATACTTATTGTTGATTAGAATGAGTGGAGGTATATGTGCAAAGGATGATGAATCATGAATTTTTTTCAGCTCAAAATGACTCGTCGATTTGGGCCATGTAAACAAAACAAAAATGACTACTAATAATCAATAAACACATATGGCACACATGTGGAGCTATGGAGACGACTCTTGTTGGAACCAGTTTGCAACGATTTTTGTTGATTGTGAGATAATGTCCCTGCCGGAACAGTTCAATCTGAACATTTCCAAATAATCTACAAATAGATGGCGCAAGATGACTTTTTTAATTGATAGTAAGCTCGTTGGTTTAAAATTCTGATTTTGTGCTAAAATTTGAATCATATTCTGATCCAAATTGAAATAATAAAATAAATAAAAAAATTAGTCAACAACAAATTCAAAATAAAAACAAAAACAACAGGAAAATTTTTCACTCAATCAAAATGAAGAATATGCCAAAACTACATCATCGCACTAGGTCATGGTAATAATAAATAAATGGTATAATAATAATAAAAAACAAAATTGTTGCTGCGTAGGAGAAAAATATTTCTTTCAAGAAAGAGACATAAATCTCTCCATATGTCTCTCTCTCTCTCCATAATTTTTTTTCTATTCACCAATTATGGTCCTAGAAAAGTCAAAACACCAATAAACAACATACTTGTTGTGTACATGTTTGTTTACTGAGAATTGTAATTGAATGGATGTCAATAATGCATCTAGCCGCATCAAAATGTGTTTGTGTGTGTGTGTGTATCAACACAGATGTAATAGCAGTGTTGTAATAAAAGAATGTAGCACGATGTTAGTTTCTCTTTTTTTTCAAAACAATGAAAATGAGTGTTATTATTTGACAGTTTTTTTTAATGACATATGAAGCAATCGAGGAAGTAATCGAATCAATGGAATAAAATAATTTTAATCAACTATATAGAATCGATCAATTTCAAAGAATGATTCTTTGTTTTTTTTTCGCTGTGTTGTCTGTTGTATGAGTATGTATTCAAATTGATAAAATGATTGTACGTAAAAAAAATTTTGTAATATTGTTAATTGTGAATTTGAAACATTTATGAAACGCTAGAAATGGCATTTGCTGGTGATCCCATTTGTGTTAATACTTTATCCAGCCACAATAGTGCCCCATTAAGATGGATTTCGATCCAACATGGTGTTGAAGTAACATCCTGACGATGATATTCGGCTCCCCAACCTTTAACAAAAGACATACGAATTGTACACATTTTTACCAATTCGAATACGGATTCAAATCCTTCATTAACGGCGTGGTTCAACAGACTAGCGAATTCTTGATTGTCAAAAATTTTCAATGTACAATTGCTCGGTATTTTGCATACGGTAGTCGGATGGAAACCATTAGAACGATTACAGTTACGTGATTGTACAAATATTGGAGAATCGGATAAGCATTCGGCAAAAACTTCCCCACCAACATACCATAATTGAACGCCTTTTCCAATATGTCTACGGGTGTTTTCGATTGTTGAATTTCTATTCACATTTGACAATAATCCTAAACAGTAACGATTATTATTATTATTTGGATCAGTAAAACCATCAATCACAATCTGGTTGGATGTAGCATGAAAAATTTCGCCAACTCTTGTATTAAGTTCATAATAAGCTATCGAACACCAATGAGCTGGTTCATGATATTCTACGGGTTGTAATCGTGAATGTTCCATCACTCGATAAGGTGTATATGGTGGTGGTGAATCAGCTTGAACTGGTGAAATATAATCATCAGTATATTAACATATATTATTGATAAATAACTTACGATTATAATTAGGTGATGTTTGTCCATTTGATGTTGGTGACGGTGCATTCACTGGATAATTTGATGGTGGTGATGGAGACATCAGTGAATTATATGATGATGGCGGAGATGGAGATGACATCATCGAATTAGGGGATGGAGATGACATCATCGAATTGGGCGATGGAGAAGATACCATTGAAATGGGGCTGCTACCGTTATTCATCGAAACGTATTTATCATTTTCATATGTCCCATTTGGAGACATTGTAGAATCTTGAAGCTGCTATAAAATGTTTAATTTTTTATTCAATCATTTTAATTACATTGTATTTAGGTAAACTTACATTTCGATAATTTGACAATGGTGAATTGCCTGATTGAATTATATTACCGTTCATATTACCATTCATGTTATCATAATATCTTGGCACGAGTACAGGTGGCAAAACTAAATTGAATAAATTTGAAAAATAATAGAATGAATTATGAATTCGACAATAACAACAACAAAAAATTACTTGGTGATTCCACACGACGATAATGATAAGGATTGATGCAAACATCCTTTTGTTTTGATGAAAATGGATATTGACAACGTTCATCAGGTTTAAGCTCATGATGTGATTGTAGATCGGGCCAACGCCACACACGACAATAGATTACATGTGGTAAACCTTTTCTATGTGATACTTGTAAACGGCCATCCAATGATCTTGGTATCGTAACACATTTAGATGGCATTCCTGGATGTGAAAGAGCATATTCAAGATCTTCAAGTGCACCTTTGCTTTTTTTCAATCGTTTCACCAGTGAATCAACAGCCTTTTCGGCCCATTTTTCTTCTTCATCACCTTGTTTCCAGCCCAATAAACGTTTTACATATGGTGATGATATATTGAATAATGAATTGAAAGTCATATTGAAAGTTTCACTATTGATTCCAACGTTGACAACCACTTAAAGAAATTTGGGATTATGATTATCCAAATAATTGGAAGATATGAAAAAATAATCAGTCGAACAGCGAGATAAAAACCTAAAAACAGGAAATTAAATGTACAAAAAAATTAAATTCAAATCAAATCTTATAGCAGTTATCAGAAATTCTGTTGTAACAAAATAGCTAGAATTTTATTATTGAAAACACAAACACGGGATCTAATTTTGTGAATCATCATCAAGGTAATATTATATATTGCGTTTAATGTTTGTGTGCAATATTAAATCGATCTAATCAAATAATCATACAAATAAAGAACGAAAGCTTTAAAACTCATAATGTGGATGAGACCAATGGTATACATGCAACCATTTTTTTCCTTTAGTTATCATTACATTGCTCTTCTCCGGATGACAACAACAACCAAGACCAATCAGAAAGAAAAAGAAATAGATAAGATTTGTGACAATAATAACAGCTTCTATAAGACCAAAAGAATTAGCATTTCTGCGTGTGTGCGTATATAAATACGACTATACGATTGACGGTTATAAAGATAAATAATATATATCCGCCGAGTTGATTGTACAAATATACGAAAAAAAAGATTTCTTACCACCTGTCGGTTGTGTTTATGCGTGTGTGTATATAAAATGCACCTGTTGAACAAGGCAAAGGGCAAATGAGATCAAACAACAATAAAAGGGATATATATAGGTGGGTGTGTTTACATATGGATCAATTGTTAGTAGTGTAGCGACATATATGAAAAAATAAGGATAAGGATAATTGATTAAGAAAGATTTAAGGAAATTTTATCATCGGGTAACCAATGGTGATGTATATTTTAGAAGAAAAAAAAATACCTTCTATTTCGATGTTGTTTTGTTGTATTATAAGATCAATAAAAAAATTTTTTTTTGTACGTTTATAATGATGATGATGATGAAATGCAAATGAAACAATTACACGTATACACAACACACAGACATACGCACTACAATAATAATAATGAAAAATAATGAATTGATGATCTTAAAAATTTGGATTTCCATATAAATATATTAGAATGAATATATAAGATGATTTTGATTCTGGTTGGTTGGTTGGATTTTTATTGAATTGTGATTATTTAATAATAACAATAATTTGTAGAGATCAAGATCACAGTCGTATTTCAATTATTATAAAATATGAACACAAAGTATTTAAACAATATAATGATGATGATGAAATAATTTTTTTTTATACATTCAAAGATGCTATTATTTGTACTTGATAAAATGTCAATTTCGAATTCGAATTTGATGAATATAAAGAGAGACAATTTCCAAAGTAATCAAAATCGAATGGCACTTGTTTACAGTGGTTTTTTTTTGTTTTGTTTTGGATGAAAGGGTTTATGTTTTTATTATCAGAGATTATCAGAGAGATGTTTAACAATTGGCGGCAAAATAAACCTTAGGTTAAATCATGATTGATTTTTTTTTTTTTTTTGGCACATATACATTCCAATCTACATATGATATTTCGTCTACACGCACACACACACATACACTGATTTTATTTTTCATTCACTTTTTTTTCGAGGATTAATTTCTAGAATTAACCAAACAAATAAAAAAAAATTTAAATTTTTTCTTCATAACTACAACAAGTGGTTACAGAATATATTATAATAACACACAAACATGATTAGTTTTTTTCCCATTTAGATGAAGAGACGAATGATGATGATCTCAACTAAAACGAATGAAAATTCTAAATGGCTCTTAGTGATCGGACTTGTTTTTCGTCATTTTGGATGATCAAAAAAAATCACCACCACCACCACATTCGGTCATTGTCAGCAGTGGCAAGTTAGATTTTAGAATACTTGTTGTTGCTATATTTTTTTTCAACATGATTCTCGTACATGCTATTCCATTAAGGGAAAAAAGGGGGAGTATGGAAAAGAAAATGCCATATATATTGAAGCCGTGTAGTATGTGTTATGTATATTATGTTGTGAATATGTCTTGTCCTATCACATTGAAACATACACACACACACACACACACAACTACTTGGCTTATGTTTATCATCATCAAAAACGAATACTGTCCATAGTCGTTAAACGTCGTCGTGGTCTTCGACAACGATGACGACGACGACGACGACGACGTTGTCTTCATATATTCAACGAACCGACCCATCTACCGTCTACCAACCAACTGAGCGATCATCAAGAAAAAAGAACGTCTTTTACTTTGAGAATTATCTTTCATTGTTGTATTGTGGTATTTGAATTGTTGAATGTAAAATTAACGTAGGGAAACAATTTCGATATATTTGTCCCTTAAGGCAAATGTTATTTTTTTCTGAGTATGTGTGTTAGTGAATCACACGCTGGTCACTTTTTTTTTCCTAAAGCTGTGTATAAAGCTATATAGTTTTATAACAAAAAATTGAAATGCCTAAGAAAAGAATCTTAGCAACGAAAAAGACAAGCATTGAATTGTGGTGTGTGTGTGTTGTATATGGTATGGCAATCATCAATCGTTTTTCTTTCATTCAATCGAATGGCCACATTTTGGCCAATATATCTATGGTCGTCTCGACATGATGGAAAAAAAAACTTTTAAGTTTCATTTCGTTTTTTCTTTCTTTTCTTTGTTTCTGTAGCAATGAAAAACTGATATATGAAAATGGTAGCTAAGATCGAATGAACAAGATTTTTTTTTGAACAGAAAAAGAACAACAAAACAAATTTCAACTTTTTTTAGTTCATATTTGTTGTTGTTATTGTTGATGATGATGATGATGATGACCTTGTCCTGTTGTTTAATGTTTACTATACTGATGATAATAAAATTGGATGATGAAGGGTAAAACAAAAAAAAAATTTATCGTTGGTCAATGATGATCATTTCTAGTTGAGTTGTTGGTATTTATTTATTTTTTTTTCGTTATTTCGTTTCTCGTCCAGATCTGGCCATCGAGTTTTAATCATAAAACAAACATTCATATGTGTATTGAATAAGAGGAATAAATTCAAATGATGATGATGAAAATAATGAGAATCGATGATGGTTCAAGATGGTAAAAAAAACAAACATAACTATTCAAAACTGAAAAAAAACATCCATGTTATGTGTATGTTATTTTATTTCTCTATTTAAAATGATTAAAATCTTTCACATATATAAACAAACATTTTGTGTGTGTGTGTGTATATGGGGACACAATTGGGCCTCTTGGATGGTCTCCCCCCACTCTATAAAGATGAATTCTCTAATTCATCCAAAATAAATTTTATGTTTTTTTTTTGCTATAAACATAACACATGAATTGCTATTGAAACGAAAGAAAAAAGATCGAAAGCCGCACCAATCACATGAGAGATTGTTGTTGTTGTTGTTTTTTTTTGGTGTTGTTGGTCAAAGTCAAAATTTTTTCATCAAACAAAAATTTCTTCTTCTTTTTTTTTGTTTTAGCTTCATTTTGATGGATTGATGGTCCGATTTAATTATCCATGTGCGTGTGTTGTCTGATGATTTTTTTTTTGTTCGATGATTAGTCCTGAATGATGATGAATAAACATAAAACAACACACCAACCAAGATAATATTAATTTTAACCGACAACGGAACTACTGTCTAGTATTTGCATCAGATGTTGCTGCTGTCTTCGTCATTCGATATGATACTATTCAAATTCAATGGTTCATGTGCCATAGACAAATGTTTATCATTACGAAAAAAAAACAAAAAATTCTGGAGATCTCATATTACCAACAAGAGAAAATATGGGGCAAATGTCAAGAAAAACAATGTTAAATGTTGTTGTTATTGTTAATAATGATGATGATGATGATGATGATAATGATCAACAAAAGAAAAAAAATTCTAAATGATCGTTTTTTTTGGAAACGAATTTGAATTGTTTATACCGATTCCTTGTGAGCTGTTTAACTGCAAACCAAAAAAAAAAAAAAAAAATCTCAATTCAAAACGATATAATTGCCTTCCTTCTGAACAACAACAAATGTTGACAAAACCTATCATTATCTGTAGATATAAATTCGTTCAAATCATCATCATCATCATCATCGTTATAATTAAATATGTTTTGAAAACCTTGAAAATGAATGAATTTTTTTTTTTTGGTATGATAAACAATCATTTACATCATTTTTGAATGGCGATTCTTTGAATATTCGATTCGAATTCACAACACCAACGTTTTATTCATATACCATAATTATCATTTTAACTATTTTTTTTGCCATTTTGTAACTAAAAAGAAAAATATTTTTTTTCGTACATTAAAAGATCTATATTATTATGAACTTCCTTTCGTCTGTTTTTTTTGCCATTTTGTAATTGTATGGCTTTTTTTATATTATTATTACGCATCAACAACAAATCTAAATAAAGTATAGAGATTCTAAATTATCTTTGCTTGTCAATATTTTGAATTTTTATTTTCTCTCGTTCTTTCGTTTCTTTATAATATAAAAATTCATTACTTTTCTTGAATTATTAAATTGAAAAATATTTTTGGCTAGGAATGTGATGATCGATTCAATCAATCAAAAAAAAGAAAAAGAAAAATCATCAACTACTATTTAAATAATCATGATTGCCATAAATTTTTCTTTCAGAATAAATAGAAAAAAAATACACACCACGATCATAATGATGTTGGTGATGACGGCATACAAGATGATGACGACGTATGAAATCGTTAAAATCGTCTTGATCAATTGATTAATTGAGATCAAATCGACAAAATAAAAACGAAATGCTTTATTCATGTAGCCATATTATATATGTACCATCGAAATTCAATGAACTCTAACTTTCCTATACCATGGCTAATGAATGATGTCTGTGTGCCGTATGTACTACACACACACACACACACATCGAACAGGTTCTTTTTTTAATTGGTTATGCAAGTTTTTTTTTAGTCAAAGTGATAGTTATGTGCGAAAATTCCCTCTCCCCGGTACAAATTTCGATCCAACATAATTCTCATTAGATTGATTTTAATTTTTTTTTCTACTTCTCTCATCCCACATTTTACCATTCAGACCGGATAGGTAAACAATATTGTTTTCTTTTTCTCGTTTCGACAAGATTTACCTTGATTTCAAAATTCCAAGGTCTAGACAACAGGTTTTTGTTGTTGTTGTTTCTATTCTGCCATTTCAAATGGGTATTTGAACAACAATAAAGACGACGACAGTCGTCATTTGATCAAGCTAGGTTAACACAATGTTTTTTTACAATCCATAAAAGCCATTTTCAATTGAGAACAAAGCGAAAAGCCGTAAAATGGTGGTTATCGTTGACAACGACAATTTTGAATAATGCTTTCTAAAAAGGGTTTAGATTGTTTTTCATTCACATTCGTATTTCACATAGGTAATTTTTGCACGTCGTCGACGACAATGATTATTGTGATCGATAACGATAATCAATAAAAAAAACGCGGTACTTATTGCAATCACGACAAAATCTTTGTTTTTCATATGTAAAATACCTTATCGCCAGGAAATGAAAGAAAATAAAATCCATTTATGTTGTTGTTTACACACTTATATTCTCTCTTCTGGAACAAACTAAATTGATAATGAGTGGCTAATTATCCAAACAGCTCCAGGCATTTATTATTGTTTTTTTTTCTCTCTCTCTCTCGAATATTATCATGTGCTCTATGTTTGAAATGTTTAAAATCCTTGAAATTCGTTAAAGTTTATTTCTGTTTTTGTTTCCAGATAAATGTATTGCCAGTGTTTTTTTTCTCCCATGTTTACATTGGTTATCTGACGTAGCCGGAACCATAGTTTGTTTGTTTCAATTTCTCAAAATAGATCGAGAATATTCTTGTTTTTTTTTCATTAATTGTCACTTATGATGATGACGTTATCATCAATGTCATATGTGACACAATTTTTCCGTTCATAAAAAACAAAAATATCCGATTTTTTTTCTTTCCAATTTGCCAACTAAAGTTTTAACTGAATTTTTTTTTGCCTGAGAATTTCTTAAAGCGTATAATCACATCCGCCGCAATTTAATGTTCTAATTTTCACACTTGATTAATATGCATGCTTATTTTTTTTCAATCTGTCAATTCTATATCATATGTTTTGTTGTTTTTCTCATCTATGCGCAAAACAAAATCAGGTCACTGGATTTAAACACTATTTTTTGAATGTCAAGGTAAAAAAAACAATTTATTCATTTATATTCATCAAATCGATTTTAATGTTCTAAATATATTAGAATCGTGATAGAATTTAAAAAATTTTCACAAAAAAAAAATAGTTTAATGATCATAGCTATAGCAAAAAAAAAAACAAAACCATTAAAATAGTGAAATGAATTTTTTTTCAAAGAATTTATTGCACATTATCTCGTTGATTGATTTATCATTATTAAGTAGTAAAAAAAAAGAAATATTGCAATGTCGTATCAAAGTTTTGAAATTATAAATTGATTAATTGATTCTTAAAAATGGGGACAAACAAACAAATAATAAACAACGGGAAATAATGACGATTTGATTTGATTCTGTAAAAACAGCTACATTGTTGCCACAAAAATAAACAATATAACGGATTCAATAGGGTTATAATGTATGAAAAATTTACAGAATGAAAAAATGGGCATGAATATGGATATACCGTCGCATATTGAGATTATTCATGTGCGTGTCAAACATGTGAACACAGCCGGTTTTTTTTAGTGTGTAGGCGTAACATGACGCCTCAATCATTATTGAATAGAATGATGAAAATTGAATTGACGTAATCAAGATCATTTGTTTTTCTCACATACATTAGAGGGCATGTTCTTAGGTTATTGTTTCTTTTTACTTTTTTTTTGTTTATAATCTATTGGTACGATGTTCAAGGAAAGGATTCCTCGCATCATTTTTTCATCATCATCATCATGTGAAAATTATTATGACGTCGATGATTCTGTTTGATGATGAAGAGAAGTGGCATTTCGAAAAACAAATTATGAACACCAAACATGTCTTGTGTATATACGAAATGGTGTTATTGACATAATTGCCATATATACAGAATGTTTAAGAATCAGAATTCATATGTATAATTCTAGCTGTTTTTTGTTTGTTTGTTCGTTGGCATCGAAAAAATATTATTCATTCGAATCTTATAACTATTTGTAAATGAAAGAAAAAAAAGTTATTGCGAACGTATGTAGCTGCTGAATTGAAACGTATTTTTTTTTCTAAAATAAAATGTTTGATGCTGATGATTCTGTGAAAATCAAGCCATCACTGTTTCGTTTATATAATAGGCAATTTAGCGATAGTAATCATTCTGAAGATTCTGAAGTTCATATATTAGTCAGTCAGACAAACGTCAACCATACAACACATAGACAATCAGATCGGAAAATTTTGATGACAATCCTTCGTTTATTCTTACATACATTCAAACATAGAATCGCGTGTCTTTTATTTCTGTTTCTTTGTCGTTTCCATTCTTTTTTTTGTCATTCAACACTAACTCGTTCATATGTGAATGTGTAATCATCAAAAATGTTTGACAATCGGTCATCATCATCAACAACAATAATGGCTCGAAATTCGTTTAGTAGAATCAGTGATTATCTTTGTGAAGAGATTCTTATGTACCTTCCACCCGAAGATAAAATTCGTTTAGAATTTGTGTCACAACAATTTAAAAGAACCATTTTTCGACGTCAATATCGATTCGTCATAGCACCAAGCTGTAATGAATGGTCAAAAGTAAAGAATGTTCTTCTTAAACGTTTTGTTGGTGATTTCAATGTTATACACAAGATTGATATTCAACTATTTGACAAGATTCTTTCGAAATTTCGTTACATCGATGATTTTGCAATTCATTACAATCTTGACACATCAAACATGGATGAAATATTCGAATGTCTAATGCGTCATTGTATTCGAATACGAAGAATGGATGCTAATTTTTTCAATGTAAGCGAAAAAACATTGGATGCATTTGGCAAACGATTTGGTCATAGTCTTCGTGTGGTTAAATCAAGCATTGTGAGTAATACAAAAATTCCAAACAGTTTTGCTCTGTTGAGACATTGTTCAAATCTAGTATCATTGAATGGTTCGGAATTTTTGAATGAAAAATTATGGAATAATGTCTTCAATACAATGCTTGAGAATGACTATACAAATGAAGAGGATATTGGCGAAGATGATGAAGCAGAAGCCGTGATGCAGGATTGTAATGAATTTTGCCTGGAAAAAGAGAATTTTAATGAAGTTGTATTACCAAATTTAAAATCATGTTACCTGAAAGTAACCAATGAAGAAGGTGTTAATCATTTGGAAAAATTTTCCGATGTCTTCATGAATCGTTTGGAAAAGATCAAAGTAGAACTTGTTGATTATATTGCACGTCATCATTATATGGTGAATTTTATATTTCCATTAGGAATTTGTAAATTTCGTAATCTACGTGAATGTATACTTACATTAAAATATAATGGTGGCTATGATGCAGATTTCTTATGGATCAATAATGGTTTGAATGGTATTGCACAGGATTGTACAAAAATTCAACATTTAGGTATCGATTTTATTGGACATCAAGATTTTTTCATCAATCATGTGTTACAGGCATTAACCTGTTTCAAAACATTACCTCATCTTAGTATATCGATATCCATGTATAATAAAGGTCTTAATTTTCCCGTTATGCCATCATTGAATCAATTAGATCTCGCCTATCCACGTTTATATCAATGTACACATCTTAAACAACTTGTCTATAGCTTTCCAAACATAATTGTTCTTCGTTTACATCGAATGTATTTTTTCAATGATGTTCTACTTAATTCATTGATTGGCTTGAAAAAATTACAAACATTAAGGGTAGGTGGCCTATGTCCACCCGATGTATCGACTATTGGTTTGAAAACATTTCTAAATGCTGCACAACAAATACGATCAATAGGTTTTGATACTAGACCAAAAATCGATACAAAAACATTTGAAATGATTATAGATTTTGTACAAAAACATGAAAATATCTATTATGATTTTGATTTCTGTCTAGAAGATTTTGATCCAAATGAAAAGAAAGAATTTGAACAATTTTTCAACAAAGTTCAACTGCCAAAAAATTTATCAATTAAATAGATTCGAATGTAATCATTGGCCCAAGAAATGATAAGAAGAAGAAATCATATGTTGAAAATTTAATTATGTTTTTCTTTTCTTTGTTATTCATGATTTTTTTTTGTTTTGATTTGATGCTTTATAATAATTGTACAAACAGCAGCAGCAGCAGCAGCACCCACATCATCATTTGAATTATTTTTCTAATAAAAACTATTCATTAATCTAAAACATTAAAATGAAAAAAGTAAATTGGCTGTTTTTATTCCTCTTTTTCTGGTCTAATGATTCGAAACAAGATAATAAAGTATGCTGACTAAGTTTCGGATTGAATTACAAAAAAAACTATTTTAAAAAGACAAAAGGAATGCTCATGAATGATTGTGAGATCACAAAAATAATTTAGTGTCAAATAGTGAATGTGAAAAAAAAAAGAAATTTCTTGAATGTTATCCAATTCTTCATTCTTTTTTGTGTTGCTATGAATATTGAAAATACGGTCACAAGAACAACAATATGAATACAGAGGATTCAAAATTCATCAACCAGTTGATTCTAGTCAAATGTTCATGGCTACAAAGTCAAATGGGAAATCTCTCATACATATTTTTTTTGTTGTTTTTGTTTTGCTTTCAATGTAATGTATGTGACAATTATGAGATTCAAAATGAATTTTTTTTAGGTATCCGAATTAAATTTTTTATATTTCTTCAATCAAATGAATTGGACTGATAGCTTGTAAAAAAAAGATGTGAAGAATGTGTCAAGTCATTAATTTCTACTAGTAACAATAAATTAATCACTCAATTCATTCATTTGGTTGACAATGAATTTACCAGTTAAATACTTCAATATCAAATAAAATAGAGCACTAAAAGAAAAATAGTGACGGAATACATATGAAAGGATGTAAATAAGGAAATTGAAGTTTTTGATTTGTTATTCGTTGTGTACTAAAATTATATGACTTTTAAGCAGCAGCAATAACAATTTTGTCATAACCGGATTATTCTATTCGGCGTATTTTTTTACCCAATCAAAAGTGTCAGTCGTATGATCTGAATTCCAAAACAAAATATACACATACAATGATGATAATATTTTTATGCGTTTTAATTTCGAACATTCTACATACCGGAATAGTATTCCAATCCGATGTAATCATCATAAACGGTTGAAAGTTTTCTAAGAATAAAGTCATGATTCAATTCACCATCATTAAAAGGATTGTCACGAAGTGGTACTTGTGATATCTGTACATGTCCAATATGATCTTTTAATAGATCAATATAATGGCTTATGTTACCATGAAGTCGTTGACAATGATATGTGTCAAACATGATTTTCAGATTTGGCTCATTTAATTCTTTCACTAGATTCAGTGCGTCATCATATGACCGAAGATAATATGGAATACCAGCCAGATATAAAGGTTCAATTAAACACATTACATTCATACGGTTAAGAAAACGTGCTCCTTGAATCAATAATTTTTTTGTTCGTTCTTCGATAGTATTCGATTCAGTTAGTGTTAACATCAAATGAACTTTACGGACATTTAATGTTTTAACGTAATCGCCCAAAAGATTCAATTCGATTTCGAACTGTTTTTCCGTTGGAAATTCTGGATATTTACGCATCACATTTACGCTGTTGATCAAAATGAATTCCGGGTGAGAATCGCCCGCACTTTCAATGACATTTTTCCAATCAGTCAATGAATTTTTATAGGGATCTTGAGCTTCAACCGCTTGAAATCGGTAATCTTTTCTGAATGTAAAAAAAATATTGACAAATTAAAAATTAGAAACTTGGCGTATTATTACCTGTTGAGAATTTCTTTATAACTCTCAATGTGATCCGAAATATCGTTGAATAATGTTGTGATATTGGCAGAAAATCTAAACCGTTTCATTGTTTGAGTTAAAGTTGTTCGATGTGGTAAAATGATAAATTTAGAATATATTTGCAACACTGACAGTCAGATATTTATACACACTCAGATATCAAATTAATTGAGCACACCAGAGCTTCATTGATTTTAGCGCTTACAAACAAATTATTAGATTTGATTTGACAAAAAAAAAAACAAAATCATGAAATATAACATTCACAACATAAAACACATGTCGTCCTATCATTTATGAATAGTAAAAAACAAAAGCAACATTTACAGGAAACATAATCAAAAAAAAATTTGTTTTTCAATAATCAAAATCTTCAAAATCTTCTTCAAAATATGATTCCCATGAATCTTCATCTATCTGATAAAGCATTGAATATTGTCCATTATCATCATCAGAATATTGTGGGCTGTCGTTGCATTTGAATCCTGTATCACCACCTGGCCCAAAATATTTTTGCCATCCCGTTTTTTGATTGAATGTTGGTTCATTTTCAATGCCCATGGCTTCATCTTGTTGCTCAACATCATCAACGATTGCCAAGTTCCCGGTACTAACTTCTTTTCCTTTCATCGATGATTCTTTATTCAAATCGATTCTGGACAAATCCTGACACATTGTCTTTTCGTTTTTTTGATTCCCAATATCTCCTTCCTCATCATTATGGATCGATGACATTTTTTACTACAAATTGAGATTTAACAAATCAAATTTTAAACCTTTCCCGGATCGAAAATGAATTTAAAATAAGCAAACAATCTAATTGAATTGAATTCTTAGAATCGAATTATCCAATAATTCGATTTTCCAAACTATTTGTTGGCTAACGTATGTTTACAATCTAAATCACTAATGTCAATGGAGATTATCATATTGATTGTGATTGTTGTCGTTGCCATGCTCGACAATGTTTTTTTTTTTTACTTCCTTACTTTTTATTCCTTTATTCATTTTTATTACCATAGTATCTAATATTATCTCAAACATCTACAGTAAAACGGAAAAATTGGAAAAAGATCAAATTATAGTTTGTTCGTACTCTTTTATTGCCTAAAATATCTTTCATTCATTCATTCATTCATTTGGATCGTACATAAATACACCCACTTATTGGATGTTGCCTGTTATCATCATTGTGTTGTTTTCATCATTATCATCATCATTTATATTGGATTGATAAATGTGGTTCCAATATGCTCATTCTATAGCGGATGAAAACGTGATTAACGTGATGGAAGCATCTGGATACAAAAAAAAAAAAAATTTTTGCCTAAAAGAGTCGTGAAAGAGCATGAGATCTATAGCAATAATGAATTTGACAACAAATAATATTGACTTTGTTATAATTGCTACAACAACCCATAATCATCATCAACGATGGCGACGACACCAATTTTGATTTGATTACAGACGGCTGTTTCATGTTATCACATTAATAGATATTATTATTATTATTATTGCATCGTATTGATTATGGTGTTGATGATGCCATGGAAAAAAAATTATTCAATGAATGATTGTCATTGTAATAATTTGACAAATTGGAAAACAAATCGACCGATTTTAATGTTACTATTCAACATATCGATTATTATTGTTCACTGAATTCTGAATTTGATTCAAGTAAATATATAAAATTTCGATAATGAATTCAAATAATTAAAAATTTCTTTTTTTTCAGAGATAATTTCAAATGTTAATGACAATGGACAATTTTCTTCCCATTTCACACGAGAGAACGATTTTATTTAATTAGTGTACTAAAAATTTTTCCATTTCAACTAAACTTGTCATCATCTTCATAATTAATCTGTTCTCGAATTTTTACTCTAGTGAAAACTAAAATTCGTCTACTTATATACATCATTTAAAATGTCAACGGACATCATGGTCAACGGATTTAATGTTAACTTTGAATGATTATTACATAAAATAATTATCTAATGAGATTAATGTATAAAATTTTATTTTATTTTCATGGACAAAGAATTCACCGAGTATACGTCGATCCAATTCTTATCGGATTGCATTGAGAAAATCTGGTGTTCCCAAAGAATTGCTAGAAAATAATGATTATCAATCCAATGCTGATAATAATGATTATCAATCCAATGCTGATAATAATGAATCTCAACAACAGACACAATCGACAACATCAGCGTCAATATCGAAAGAAAGATTATTTAAAAAACGAAAACAACAAGGAATAAACCCAATTTTTTCATCATCAAAAATATCCTCAAGAAATTCCAATGAAAAAGAAATGATTTTAATGGCCATTAATGGCGATAATGATGGTGGTAATGCATATTATAAACAAAAAAGTCACGATGATGATGATAATGATGAAGATAGTAATGATGAAACATTGACATTAAAACCTTTATCATTGGATACGGAATTCGAAACACAAATCGATAATGTACAAAGAGAAAGTATCGTCCAAAATGGTCAACATTCGAAAATAAAAAATGACCAAATCATCGAGAAAAATATTAATGATGAACAAAATATTTATTCAAAATGTAAACATTTATTCTGTTTATTTTGTTGTTGTAATTATTGTTGTTGTCTACTTCGAGATTATTTTTCTTGAAAATGAAAAAAATTCCTTATTGTGATTTAATAGACATAATGATCATCTAGAAATAATGATAATTCAAATCGTTTTTTTTATTCATTCATTTATTCAAAATGTCCAAATATAATCATTCATTTGAATATGGATCGATTCGCAACAATCATTGTTTCATTTTATCTTCTAAATCTTTCATGAAAAGTAAAAGTCGTTCACATGAATCGTATGCAAAATTAATTGCCTCTTGTTTTTTAGTACCATCGGTTTCATTTTTAATAGCGTCCTCGGTCTTTTTCTGAAATATTATCACAATATAATTAATGCAAATCAGTTTAATCAATCACTTACATTCAATCGATGTAATCCATCCATAAGGATTTTACCATATGCTTGAACAAATTCTTCATCGACATATTTTTTCAATGCGTTTGAAAGAAAATTTTCTGCCTGTTTACATTCATCTTCATATTCTTTTTTACTGTAGTCACCGGTTATTGGAGACGATAAAACTTTTTTGTTTTTGTTTCAAAAATTTATTTATTAGAATTTGAACAATAAATTTAGGTACTCACCAATAGTCACCAAAATGGCTACAATGGTTAATTGAAAAAAGTGATTCATTTTGAGCAAAAAAAAAAATTAAAGTTTCTTTTCAGATGCTAATACTCAATACCAAACGATAAAATGTATGGCCTGATTTTTATTTCATTCGCAGGGAATTATCAAAAAAAAGGAAATTTCCAATATTTTATCTTAATCCATTGAATTAGATCAAGTGTTTACCGACTAATTTTAGGTTCTTTTTCCAGTGTATCTCTCATTTCTAATCAGTATATTAATTAATTTTGCTTTATAAAAATTAGCTAAAATCAATTATGATACGACAACAACAATTAAAATTGATTGTAATCAAAGTTGGTCCATAATATCTTGATTCAATCTATGATGATTTTTTTTTCATTGTTTTTTTTCTTTTTGCTACAGACCTTCAGTTATTTCTATTGATTTATAAATTTTTTCATAATGGGTAGAATGACAACACGTGATTCATAATTTATAATGATGATGAACCTACGCTTCTAAAACTATATGGTCAATTCAATAATAGTAGCCATATACGAACAAAAATACATGAAAATTATCATTGAAATTTTTGAAAAATTTATTTTCATCTAACATCATCATTACAATCATCATTCTTGCAGGCAAACTGTTGCATGCAAATACAAATAAAAATTCCAATAAATAATGAATGTAGTGGCAAAAAAAATCCTTGAAAATTGACATGAATCCAATGTTTTTTCTTGTCAGGTTTTGCCCAATATTATTGCATGTTATTCATTGCAACACCTTGCACACACACGTACATACATTGTTGAAAATAATTGTAGAGAATTGAATAGAATTGCAAAAAAACGAAAACCATACGAATTCTTCGTACTTTTATTATTATAACTATACATCTTTTGGTAATGAACTTGAATCGATCAATCAATTTTTGTTTTCAAGTAAATATTAGTATGAAATATCAGTTGAAATTCATTTGAATTCAGATAGGAAGGGTGGTCCTATCGAAAAAAAAAAATAAAAAGAAACCTCTAATGGATATTTTTTTATTAAATTCAACATGAAATGGAAAATCTTCAATCATTTGTGATGTGATGAATTTTTTTTTTTTTGAAAACAAACTTTTTTCCTATCAATCTCATCATCATTTGACACCACTGGAAATATTTTTGAAACAAGTTTATGTATCATTTTAAATCTGAAATTCATCATATCATACATTCATATACAAACATACAAAATTTATCATTCAAAGTGGAACAATTTTTTTTCTTCAACCTTTAAGGTTATACAGACATTTTTTTCTCTCACTTTAAATCATCTTAACATCTTGATTTTTCTCATGCTACTATAATTAAGTGAGAATATGTTAATAAGTGAAAGTGATACAAAAAACAAAAAAATTTCTCGCGTTTGAAAAAAAAGTTTCAACTTTATTGATTAATAAATAGGTGCATAATTTGTTTGTTGTCTACTTGTTAGTGTATGTGTCTCTCTGTGTTCATATAATATATATTGTGAGATGTTCATATTTAATTCGTGGTGAGTTAATTTTTCTTTTGGATTTCGTTCATTTCATCTTAGTTAGGATTGTCTTGTTGTGTATGAAAAACGTTTTATTTGAATCTGGATATTCAAAATAAATTTTCAAATTTGACAATGAATTTGGTCAGTTTTTTTCCACTTGTAGATGGCTAATACTTGAACTAATTTTTTTATCGTGTTTTGTTCGTAATGATAATATCATATTGTATTCAATTTATGACCAATGTGACGTGTGTTGTTGTTCCCGTTGTCCTTGTTTTCATTTCCTTTCGTTTTGCATTTGATGATTTTTAATGACAACCATTCGATTTAATTTATTTTATTTTACCTATATAGTTATTGGTACAATTTCAAACATTAAAATTGAAATATTTTCCCATGAAAAATGGCTCAATCATCAAATATTAGTTCACGAATGTTCTGTGTGTTGTTGATAATGTTATCTAGTCATTTTATATGTTTATCATTTGCTGCAGCCACTCGAAAATATTGTCAAACATCGAATGATTGTAATGAAAATCAATGCTGTATCGAAACACCTATTGGATGGAAATTCTGTCTTGATTATGAACAATCTGGTGAAACTTGTTTTTATCGTTACAGAACGCCGGTAAGTCTATTCTTTGATTCCTATATGATATCTTAATTTATTAATTTTTTCTCAACTCTCTTTTTAGACTTGTGGCTGTGCACGAGGATTAAAATGTGTATCAACAAGTCCGATGCAACCAGGAGATTGGAATCATGATTATATTTGTGCACGAGTACGACCATTCCAATATCATAAATTAGTTCCATATTTTAATGATGAAAATCATTTATACAAATGAAAATTTTATTCACGATTGTTTTATGTTCTTTTTAACCTCATTTTTTGTCAAATAATAATAATATAATAAATCGGAAAAAATTTAAATAATTTATTTAGAAATTTAATTTAATTGAATTCTTTCAATTTTTTGTTTTTGAATATAAAAATCAAGTCAAAAAAAAACTCATCGATTGTAGATTTCGATAAAAAATGAGCAATCAAAAGAAAAGCGATGATAAATCTGAAATTTGTCGTAAAACCGTAACACCAATGTTTAGTGAAATACCATCAACAACTGGATTAGAATTGTTGGATTCGAAAATTGAAGATGAAGAGATATCGGTAACAGTGAAAAAATTGTTGAAAAAATCCAACTATACAATTGTAAAATTTATCGATAAAGGAAGTACATCAAAAGTCTATAAAATTGTACGTAGTGATCAATATTATGCAGCTAAAATTGTTGATCATCGCCATCTTTCTGAATTGATACGTAAACAATTTTTACCAAATGAATTGAAAATTGTCACGTCAATTAAACATCCGAATATAATAAAAACTGAAGAAGTTCTTACGAATGATGAATGTTCAATCATAATTACTGAATTCGCTCCCGATGGTGATCTGATGACTTATATTGAACGACAATCAACAAGTCCTGACATTGAACGTGCCAAATATTGGGCTATACAGATTACACAAGGGCTTGTTTATCTTCATTCGAAAGGCATAGCTCATCTTGATATTAAAGCAGATAACGTGCTTCTTATTCAAGGTGTTGCTAAAATTAGTGATTTTACATATGCTCAATTTAGTAAAGATCCAATCACCAATAACGTTATTCCATGTACAACATTTTGTGGTACACTTGAATATAAAGCACCAGAAACATTACATCGTGCTATACCATTCAATCCATTCATAGCAGATTGTTTTAGTTTAGGTGTATTGATCTATACATTAGTTACGATGGAATTCCCATTCGGGAGTGGATCCGAATTACGAACTACAGCCGGTTTACGTCATCTTTATGATAATATACAAAAGAAACAATGGCAACCGAATCATTTGATAAAAGCTAATCGTAAATTGTATTCATTTCTTAAACAGTTATTGAATCCAGATATTGATGAAAGAATAACAGCTGAACAGGCATTGATACATCCATGGTTCGATGGCATGATAGCCAAAAAATAGCAAAGATATAGATAATAGTCAAGTACACCAAGTATATGGATTAAATTTTCATTATTATCAAAACACGAATTTTTTAATTCTGATTATAAATTGAAGTGTTAAAACATTTTCCAACATTAAAAATATTTACAACAGCAACAAAAAGATATATTGGATGATTAGAATGGAACAATTATTTATGGATATATATGCAACGAAAATTCGAAAGTTTTTTTTGTTATTGAACTGGAGCTAGTGAATTTATCATATGATGATGATGATGATGATGATGTGGTTCACGTGATTCATAAAAATGTGATTGACGTTTTTTAAGTTCATCAATAAGCAATGCATTACCATGGGCAGCAATCATTGTTTTTTTTGGCCGACGTATAATATCTTCTTGAGATTCTTCATTTGTTTGTGATGATGTTTCATCTTGTTCGATTTCATTTTTTTCTGGTAAATCTGATTGAATATTGTTGTTTGATGATGATTTATAATAATCGAGACTAGGTTCAAAGACACTTTTATATTTTCTTTGATTATTTACTGGTAATAATGATGGTTGTTGTTGCTGCTTCTGTTGTTGTCGGCGAAGAAGTTCAGATATCTTTGTACGAGCTACTTTTGTTCGTTCACTTGGATCCAAATCATCCAATTTACTTATATCTTCTTCGTCTTCAATTTGTTCATTATTTTGATTATTAGCAGATAATTCTTGTTCATAATCTGGTTCCGATGGATTTACAATTTTTTCTTCATCTAAATAGAATAAATAAATATAATGGATGGATTAATTGCAATTGAAAATCGAAAACAGATATTTACCATAAGTAATTGATGCAATATCATCAACATGGAATTCACTAACGAAATTGGTTTTGTTTGGATGTAATCGTGCCGAACGTCGTATATTTGAACGACGTGGACGATACTTTTCCAATGGTACTAATATTTCATGTGGTTGTGGATAGAAATCACGTTGAAATGGTGATTTATCTTTACAATAGTTATCACCTTTATTTTCATCATTTTTTGACTCCAAGATCATATTATTCTGATTCTGTTCAACGGTAGCATCATTTTGTTGATCATCATGATTATTATTTGATGAAACTTTGCATGAATCAATGCATTCTTTTTTCGATTTTTTACTTGATGAACGGAATAATTTTACAAAATTTTCATTTCTTTGGCTATAATGATGATTGTGATTATTGTTTTCATTGTTAATAACAGAACTGTTGGATTTTTTTGATTTTATCGAATGTTTTCGAGGATAAATACTTTGTAAAACGTTACCCATGATGATTTGTTGATGAATGATGAATCATGTATTGAAAATCACAATGTAAAGATGAATAATCTAGATCAATGAGGAAAAAACAAAAATAAATTTAGATCAATTTTTTGATGATATATAGTTTTATTATTATTGGAAATGACACTCAGGAAACTGTTGAATAGATATACAATTTTTTTTTAAAATAGCGATTGATATATAATTGACATTTGATTTTTCCAAACAAAATATCAATGATGATTCAAATACGTAGTTGTTGTTTAATTGATCAAAACAAACAAATTGTGACAACAAAAAAACCAATCCAATCAAGTAATTCACGACAACCCATATAAAATTTTTAATAACAACTACGGTGACAATGATTATGACGATAATTTGATGACATCAACATCAATGAAATGACAACAACAACAACAACAACAAGAACAAGTGCTGATTAGTTAGCGGACATTTTCAACAAACAATTATCAATTCGTTTCTATTCATTGCCAAAATGAATGTTGAAAAAAAAAAAAAAATTCATAGTCACTAGCTCAATAAATCATTCATCACATAAAGCTATTGAGCTATTTTAGTTTCATTGACTCATGCAATTTAACAGTTTGGCAGATTCACAAGACGTTATGTCGCTGAACGACGACAATAAAGAAAAAAAAAAATGAAAAAATCCTGAATGATGATGATGAAAATGTTTAATGTCATGTTATCATATATAAATATACAAGATAAAAAAAACCAATGTCTCTATGTGTTGATGATCAACAAACAAATGAATTTGCAAACATTGCCATCTCTTATGGAACGTTCCATAAACGTTTTTAGAATCATCATACAGATTGTGATATTGCAATTGTATTGCATAAATAAATCATTTCAATTTCCTAATCATTGCTTATTTAACTCTACAATTATAAATACAACATCAATTAAATCTCAATTTGTTTTGCCATTTAAACATTCGGATGTAACTCTTTTTTTTTTGCCAGCCAGCTTTACACAATTTCATTGTAACTAACCAAAAACTACTGCGTATCATGTGTAAAATACGGAAACATACATATAGAATTCATATATTACACTTATTTACCATTGTTTTTCAGTTGGCGATTAATGATGTCCAAAGATTATCGGATTTAATCTCATAGATAGATTCACTTCATATTGGTTTCATTTTGTAAATAAGATGAATATTAAAAACGAACTCAACAATCTTATATGTGAAGATGATCACTTTTTTTTTTCTCTCTCTTATTCACCAAATGAATCAAAGAAGTTCCAACAAAAAAAAATTTTCTCCATTCTCATTAAAATTGGAAATTTCTTTTTTTGAATTTCAAAGAGTTTAACAACAATGATGATCTATCATATATTATTGATCGTTTTTCATTTTATTTTCATAATTTCCGATGTCATTGTATATTGATAGATGCCATACCACTACTGATGTCATAAGTCACCCAATGAAGGACGACGACGACGACGATGATGATGATGATGATGATGATGATGATGACTTTTTAATGATTATTCGGAAATGATACTTATACACACATACAGGTCTGAATGATTGCAACAAAGTTCCAACAAATGAAAAAAATGGAAGAGTTTTTTCTCAAACGTCTACTTAATAAACATCAAATGGAATGATGAAAAAAAATATCAATATATTAAATGTATGGCTCATATCAAAGTGAAAATCAACTGAGCGATAAAAGACAATCAATTATTTCAATCAAAAATAAAAATTCGAATCATAACAAAATGAAAACACATACCTCTGTTTCTATTTGGGAAATTTTTGTTTTCGAAATTTATCGTCATATATACAACGAAGCAAAACAATGAAAAAAAACACCTTCAAAAACAATTTAACGGATCATTTCAAAATAAGATTAAATTTTTTTTTCTACAAAATGTTAATAGGAAACAAGGTAAATGTTGAAAATAAATCTTGACGATTATTTATCATTTCCTGAATTTGATTCATTTTTTTTTCTTCTTTGTCATCGATCACAAAAAAAATCTTCAACTTAATATTGTTCAACAGGTAGCTGCTACTAACAATTGTTACAAAAAAAAACAAACTAAAATGGATCATAAAATATCAAGTCAGTAAATTTATGATCATTCACTATACCGTTAGCATTTTTTTTTGCTGTTGTTGTTGTCAAGAAAACAATTTTAGATCATAATCTCAACACATACAAAGTAGGAATATGATGCTATTATCAAAAAAAAAGAATGTAAATGCACAACATTCATGAAGAATCATATATAGATCGGCATCTGTATGAGTTTTTGGTTACCATGAAACCAGCTTATAAATGCATCATTTATAAACGTATCATAGGTAATAATAATCAACCAAAACAAACTTTCATTTGATCATCATGAAAGTTATCATTATTGTTGTTGTTATGAGAAATATGGAAAAAACATATATGCACATTTAATATTATATACTCACTTTTGGAATTTCAAATACCAACGAATGGTGATGGTGATGATTATAACAGTGATAATACAAAAAATAAAACAACAAAAAAAAAGATTGGTCAAATCAATTCGAAAATGTTTGAATCAAGTGAATTTAACCATCTCAAACAGACAATTATGACAAAATGTTAAAAGTGAATCAAAAAAAAAAAAAAACCAAAAATTTTTTAAAAAATGACAACAACGTTATCATTACGTCGTGAATGTGTGTATGTATGACGTTCAATTCGATGATGAAATTTTTGGCATTTGTCGTATGTGCATGCATAAATGATGATGAAAAAAAAAGACCGAATGGAACCACATGCATGCACAGATAAACCAAAACGCGCACACACACACAAATACACAAATACAAGCACTTGCTAACAAGAAAATCGAAATTGTAAGCAAGTTTTTTGTTGATTCACCGACAACATCAACAAAAAACAAGTTGTAGATGAAGTGAATTTGTCACACACACACACACACACACACGCACTATTCACATATGCAGGGTCTTGAAATGAGAGAAAAGAAAAATTAAGCTTTTTTTCGAAAATTTTTCAGATTTTTTTTTTTTTTTTTGTGTGTGTACCACTATTTAGACTCTTTTTTTTATTCGTTTGTTCCAAATTTTCAGATTGAACAATCTAATAGCAGTCAATTTGGCTGGGTTTTTTTTTTTGAAAAAAAAATTGTATAATGTTTATTGTCATGATTATCATTATTTTTTTTTTTTTTCGAATGGTTTTATATGAAAGGAAGGCACAGAGATATATGATTGTCTTCGTGCGTTGTGTATAATGCTGCATGTATGTATGTTTTTGCATGAACGGAAATTATCAGCAAAAACGAAATTCATATGAATGGATGCAGGCAAATATCATTTCTTGATCATTATTGTTTACAACAACAAAAAAATGAAATGAAATGAAATATATTGAACATATAAAAATATAAAAAAAAATTCCAAGAAAATTTTCGAATGATATATGTGTGGATTTTGTTTACGTGTTTGTGTTTGTGTATGTATGTGTGCGTTTGTGATAATAGTTGGAAAATGTGACAGAATAATGGAGTCAAAAGAAAGAAAAAAAAAATTTAATAGTACAATTGAATGGTGACAATGTTTATAATATAAATAGGAAATTGGACTTGTTTTCCATTTACTTTGAAATCATAGTCACTGGTCATCAACAACAGTCAATAATCATTATCATAATTTTGTTCATTATGGAATTTTTCTTTCATCCGTAACGGTGATTTAAATGGATGGATGAATGGATGGACAGGAAAAAAAAACCCACGAGAAAATTCAAAAACAAAAACAAAAACCAGTCAAGTAATTCATACATGGATTTATTTTGGAGAAAAAACAAAAAATAAATATAACAATTATCTATTTTTCACCTTTTTTTTCTTTAGGGAAAACATGTTTATGTGATCAAATTATCTTGTCGGTTATCACATTATTTGACATATATACCATTTTGTTATTCAAAGTTGTAATCATGATCACATTCAATCACTTGTTTTTTTTACATTAGTATTTTATATCTCGATCAACAGGTGGCAGCAGTGTTTGACGTAAAAAAATGATAAATTTAAATTTTCAATTTTCAGTCTATTTTTTGCCTATTTTTGTGTCAGTATATTTATCCAGTACACATATAAAGAAAAATTGATTAACCAAACAAATAACAAGCGATCAACAAACGAGTTCATGAAAAAAAAAGATATTGTGCCGAAAATAATAACCATTTACGTTGAACAAAAATGAATGTTCAACAGCAGCAGCACACAGAAAAAAACTTATTATGCATTGTCTGTATAGTTATTTGTTTTTTTTCCAATCATAACCAACAGAAATACCAACCAACCAACCAACCAACTACGATAGGCAACAATCAAAAATACCGAAAACATGACATTCGATTGACGGCCATCATCATGATGATGATTGCCGTTTTTATTTTTATTTCCAAACAAAATCAACTGAATAGTACACAGAGTAACACGAGAGATGTGTTCAATTGTTTGAACAAGATTCTTTTTATGTCTGGTCTTTTTCAGGATTTTTCTTTTTGTTAAAAAAATTTTCATCTTTGATTAGCAGCAAACAACTAACCGGCCTATCAAACAAGCAACCAATATAAAATTTTCATCATTTGATCGGATATTACGCATATTATTTTGCTGTCCATGTCCATGATGATCATCTGTATGTGTTTATACAATGGCCAAACAATAATAACAAGGACAAGCTTGTAAACAAAAATAAAAGATGATGCCAGCCGTTGGAAATTGTCTATTAATTTTTTTTTCTCTCCATTCTTCAACATCATTGTGAAGATCATCATGATATATCATCATGTTGATCCGATTCGATCTTTTCCATTGATCGTGTTTGCTTTTTTCCACTGCCAAAAAAAAAAAACTGGAAAGCCGTGTCTGTAATTGATTTTTTTTTATTTTTTCCACTGATGGTCAAAAAAAAATTGAATGAATCCGAAAATAAAATGCTGCTACAGCTTTAAGATGAATCTATATATCCATAACAAATAATAGATGAATGGATGTATGGATATATTGATTACGACAATGCCCAAAACATGCTGAATGATGATTTTTTTTTCTGTTGTTGTTTTTTCATTGATTATCTTAACCATCAAAGTTCAAAGAACTGTCGATCACTTTTTTTCTGTGAATATGATAAACTTTGAATTAGAATTGTTCCAAGTTTGTTTGTTTAACAACGTTTGAACAATTTATTGCTTGATTGAATTCAGCAACTATTGACAATGAAATTGTTTTCAAAGAAAAAAAAAATTCAAATTCTTTTCGTTTTTTTTGATAAAGTGATTGACCAATGATCAAAAAAAAAAAAAAAAAATAAGACAACATAGCAGTTTGTCAAAACTGTGATTTTTTTCACATTCTTGAAATGAACAAAAAAATTTGTTAATTGATTGATTGGATAACAAGTTGTTTTTTTTGTTGTTGTCTTTTATCTATTTTAGTTTGAGAGAGAGAAAAAAACAGAGTAAAAAAATCAATCTGCTAATTGTTCAAAAATGTTATTTTCTGTGAAAATAAAACAATCAAGTAAATTACTCATTTACACCTGAATAATTTTCAAGCGAAAAAAAAAAAAAACAATCAACAAGATTCCTTTTTTCAAAATCTTATTTACAATGGCAATGGAATGTTGGTCATTCTAAATTATTATAGGGGAAAAATCGTGAACAACAAACACAAAACAAAATAACTTTTTAAACATTCAAACAAACCAATTTTTTGACAGGTATTTGATCATCATGTTCTCCTATTTGTATGACACTGATGGCCGATTAAGAAAAAGAAAAAACAACCTATTTATTCTTACAAAAACTAAATATAAACCTTTAGAAAAATTCTTTACAACTTGGTTAGAAAATGACTTGATTTTTTAACAACAACAACACCATCACGAATACACGAAGACATCAATTTTGTTGTCGATCAAAGATGACCTGACATTGACATTTTAATGGTTTTTTCTCTTGATACAATTTTATTGATCAATGGATTGATAAATGTATTGTTGTTGATTAGACAAACTACATTATTCATATAGGTTTGTATCATAATCGAGAATCATTTACTGGATGAAAACAAATCTCGACTACATTGGATTCTGATATTTTTTTTTTTGTTTTTTTTTATTCAGAAGTCCTGAAGTATCTACTTCTTTGTAGTAGTAAAGGCCATGATCATTATCCACTTGCAGTTGCCTAAAGCAATTTTATCTGATTATTATTTCAAACCAAAAAATGTGTGTACATACAAATCAAATTGCCAATCAAAAAACAGCAAATAAAGGATTAAAAATTCTACTATCCGATCAATTACAACAACATCAACGTCTTGAAATAACATCATATAATTCAAGTTTACTTCATCCAAATAGCTTATGACCATAATTTCAAAATGCCAATAATAATAATAATGGTAACGATGATGGATACTAAAGCAGACACAGATAATCTACATTTGTTAAAAATCTGGATGGATGAACAAAAAAAATGAATAAGCAATAAATAAAACAGAGAAAGAGAGAAAAAAGAACTGTAATCAAGATTTTTTTTTATTTCTGGTAACTAGTAATCATAATTTTTAATTGGCAATATTTGTTCAGAATTGTGATCATCTTTGTAAGTCATGACTTTTGACAATCCTAAAGGCGTTTGTAATTTTTTTCGATGCTTGAAGCATTTTGGTTGGAATTAGGTGCATTGAACGAGAGAAAAAGAGCTGTAGCATACACCAAAAAAAATGAGCTCAACCATGGCTAATCTAGTTGTTAGAAGAAGAATAGTCTTCTTCGAACAACAAAAAAAAATGTTTATAATTAACCTAACTAAAAAAAAACCTGGAGTGAAATCATTGGCATCAAAATCTAGCTATCTAAGTAGAGAAAAAGACATTAATCAATCGATTCATCAGTAACGATACGAGATGAAAAGAACATGAGTTATTTTCAAATATTCAATAATAATGATTTGATAAGATCAAATTCAATTATACAAAAATAATTTGAAGATCTGATTTTGTAATTTATATTTGTATTTGATATGAAAAAAAAATTTTCCTACCTTTTGACATGATGATCTAATAATGATGAAAACATGAAAACAATTGTGGGTGATTTTTTTTTGTTTCGGTCCACCCTGATCACGAAAACAATATTCACGAACTGAATACTTTAATATCAAAAATAAAATCTCGATAAAACAATGTGGAAGAATGATTTTTTTAAATGAAAAAATGCAATAAGATACTCGGATCCATTTCCTTTTGATGGGTTGATCGTATCAACAACATCTCAACGATAATAATCATCATGGTATAGCCATTTCAATGATGATGATGATGACATGCATACAAATCTTTTCATTATGTTTGTTGGAAATTTTTTTATGTTTCATCAAAAATTATTGTTGTCATCGTTTTTAGAATGTTAATAAATACATCATCCATTGGTCATTATAAATTTTATTGTTGAAAAGATGCGGCTGCAACAGATCCATCAACATAGATGATTTTGATGATGGCTAGCCTTTACAACAACAACAGTAATCATCGAAATTATCATCATCATCATCATTTCTATAATTATAGCTTTGAAAATTTAGAATATATTTATTTTTTTTTATTTAAATTTGTGGTCTTTCTATATCTTTGTGCGAATTGTTGAATGAAATTATCATTTTTCATTGGTCATTTTGCTTACATGTCGCACACACACAGTAATAATAAATAACACTTGTTACAACCAAATTCAATTCTACGAGGTTACATAATGTAGTATAATAATAATTTTATTTCATTTTTTTCATATTTCATGATGATATATATTGGGAAAAAAATAAAAGTCAAAACCTAATTTGGTTATAGCGAGAGATATAGAGATATAGAGAAAGAGACAGGCAATTAAATTTTACGAATACATATTTCTATTGAAGCTTGTAGACCTGATTGTTGATCTAGTTTTCGGTACTTATTTTTTTCAAATTAGAAATCATCATCGTCAATCAAGCCGGCAGCATATATATTCAAAATAAAAAGAAAAGAAAAGGATTAATTCATGCTGATTTTGAGCTGTAGCCATGAATGATGGTCATGTGTTTTAGATTTAATTTCCATTATAATTTCCTTTTATTTTTTTCGCTTTGTTTTAGAGATTTTTTTTTATTTATTTTTTCATTCATGCTATAATCATCAATCTGATGGATGTGTTTATACCTGTTGATCTGTGTGATTAACATTTGAATGTGTTGTTGAAAATGGGTTTTTAGAAAGAAAATTATTAATAATATATGAAATGATGTCATGTCAAAGCTCAGCTTGGTAAATCAAGATCATCATCATCATCATCATTTCAGGATGTCCAATCTTTATTGTTTTGTTGTTTGTAGCATCTTTTTAAAAAAATAGACAACCATATAGCAACAATAGAATGAAAATTACAGCCATCATTATCACGAATAAAATAAATGCCAAGAATGTATGGATAAGAACGACGAATTTGAATTACAAATTCTAACAAATTGATAGGCATGTGTAAATGATTGTATGTGTTTCTGATGGCCAATCGATTCCTAGTAAAATGCTGGTAACATTAAATTTTGAATTTGGTTTGGGATCATTATCCTCATAAAAAAAAAATTTTCATGATAATCAGGATTGCTACCCAAATATTCATGATCATGATCGAACAATTTTCAAAGAATATTTTTCTTTTTAAATTCTTTTTGTTTTTTTTTCAGATAAACAACAGACGTTTCCAAGAATCCAATACTTTATCATAGCACGACCACAGCACAATATAAAAAATCAAAAAAAAACAAGAACAAAAGGAAATGAAATTGTATTTTAATCATTAAAATTTCCTTTGATGATTCATTCATTTGAATTTATCAACAAAGTTGAAATTGGAGAGTCTTTCGAAATTATGTGCCTGTGTCGGTTGCTTTTGTTTCGATTGCTCTCTATTTTTTCGCATTATTCATTCAACCATCTTTCTAACATAACGATCATTCGGCCATCAACATCATCATCATCACCATAATCGTGAAGAATTCGAATAACAACAACGAGCAACAAGTTCCAAGTTTTTTCTCGGAATAAACCAATGGTTCAGCCTTTAGCTATAGCTACTATCACACAACCATTAACTATCACAATTCTATTCAATATGATTCCTACCTGAACATACAACAACAAAAAAATAACGATAAAACCTTTTCATGATGATGATGATGATGATTTGGCCAATAATTTTCTCTCATTCATTCAACCATTCATCCATTTGTTCAGTTAACCTGAATGTGTGTGTGTAAATTGTAGCTTTTTTCTATACGCTATTACAATCATCAGAATAATGATGGTTGATGATGATGATGATTATTATTATCATCATCAAGGTCTTTGCTTGCTGCAAAAACAGCAAATTGCCTTTATGTTTGTGTGTGTGTTGTAATAATCATCCCAACAAACATAGAGAAGAAAATTTCAAAAAAAAGAGACACAATTGCTGAATTGAATGAATAAATACAAGTCAATCTTGCTTCTGAAATTTTTTTTTTCATTTGTGTTTGTTACAACCCATCTCAGACAGAAAAAACTTATACAAGTAATTTGGGAGTCTTTCTCTCTTCTTTTTTTTTTGAAAATTGTTGCTGCAACATTTATATTGAAATTTGTATTGCCAGTGTTTTATTCTGGTTTATTTTTGGTATATGCGTGGTTAGTTTCTATACTTTACTGTCGCGGTTATATATATCAAAATATTTCAAATGCGTCCAGTAAAAAAATTTTTTTCTCAATATATTGTCCGTTGTCGATGAATGAATGAGTGGAAAAAAACGATCAAGTTGTCGTTGTCGTTGGTTTTTTCGATTCATTCGTCGATTGGTCGTCCATCAGTTCACAGTTCTCCGAATCTTTTTCTTCAATTTCATTTCTTTGATTATTTTATTGGAAGAATTCAAAAAACTCTAATAAATCTTTACTGTTATTAGAGTTTGATATAAGCTTCCGATTTTTTTTGTTATCAAAATTTGAAATTTCTTTTATTATTTGATCATCAATTCATATCTTTTTCGTTTGTTTTATTTTGTGTGTGTGTGTGTGTTTGCTTGCGAGTCTTTCAAATTAGATATATACTACACAGGTATATTCATCAATACTCTATTCTCATTTGATTGAAATTTACGTTTTCGAACAAAAAAATCAAAACAAAATGGTATGTACATTTTTTTATATTAAAAATGTTTTGAATTTGAATATTAATAATGAAAAAAAAGTTTAAATTCACTAACAAAATATATTTAGCCACTAATAAACAATTCAATTCAAGTTTAATTTCAAGTTAAATGATGATGATAATGATTCACATCATTGTCATTAAAATTTTACTCTTCTCACGAAATGATTTTCTCTTATGACTTATGACTTTTGGTTCAATTGTTGCTTCACCCCTCTTTCTGTTCTCCCCCACCACCACCAATAGAAAGAATGACCTCCACATCATCATCATCATCATTATTCACAAATAAATGATGTTGAAGAAAAAAAAATAACATATCACACCTAAGTTTTAGATCCAAAAAATAATGATAATGGCATTTGGCTACAAAAACATTTACTTTTAGACATTCAATAATCATCATTATTTTTTTATTATTATTATTATCATCATCATCATCATTATCATTATATTTCGATCGACAAGGTTATTTTAGTAACGATCATGATGATACTATTTATTTGAATCCTGTTGTTCTATGTTTGTGTGTCTGTCAACATAGAACATAGGATTGGAATTTTATAATGAAAATTTTTTCCATCTCTCATAAAATCGTGTCATAATAATGACTATTCGAAACTGTCAAATCAATCTCAGTCTAATCCGTAAATCAATCATATCATCAATAGAATTAATTCAGAATTCGAAAAAAAAGATAAAGATTACTTGAATAAAAGATCATTGATTCTAGTAATTAATTCTAAACACACATTCTCGACATGAATGATGATCTGGATTGATATAGTGGAAACAAAATATATCCAATTTTATTATTGTAAAACAATAGAATAAGGTGAGATTATGATTAATATCAATAAAATCATTATTATTGGTAAACAGCAAAACAGGTGTTCATATTGAAAAAATAAAATTGAATATAAAACGTGATGGAACGCTATGTTAGAACGAAACAAAACAAAAAATCCGTAGGCGTTGGCATAGCTTTGCCATTTTTTTTCTATTCAATGTTCATCGATCATTTTTTAAAATTGTCCAGACAGATTCATTGAATTACATTATAATCATAAATAAGCAAAATTGTATTTGAAAAATACGAGTAATGTAATGTGTTGACTCTTTTTTTTTCATGAATTCTTGAATTCTTGTATTCATGAAATATTGACCCGTTTCTCTTATTATTATTCTATGGGTATAGATCAAATTATTTTGATTGGTCATGGTTACCAAGGTATCAAAAATTTTTAGGGTAAACAATTCACCTGTACTATTAATTATTCAGGTGAATCGAATAATCACATTACTTTAGTTGACATATGCAATAATGCCATTCAACACACAACAAATATAAATGACTGATCGATATCTCTATAGTTTCCGAAAGTTTGTTTTTTTTGCTGTCTTTATTTGTTTGGATGATTCCATTACTTTTATGGAACAATTAGCTTGTAAATTGTACCTATACTTCTTGTATTTAATATTTTCATCATAATGCCCAATTTAGTAATAATAGCAATCATACGATTAATAATTAATAATTGTTAATTGTAATAAATTAAATCGATATTAATTGGATTTTTGTTTATCTTTTTATTATTTTTATTATTATAGCGTGAATGTTTGTCAATTCATCTTGGCCAAGCTGGCGTCCAAATGGGCAATGCTTGTTGGGAATTGTATTGTCTTGAACATGGTATCCAGCCTGATGGTCAAATGCCATCCGATAAGACAGTTGGCTGTGGTGATGATTCATTTAATACGTTCTTCAGTGAAACTGGTTCTGGCAAACATGTACCACGTGCCGTTTATGTAGATCTAGAACCTACTGTTGTTGATGAAGTTCGAACTGGTACCTATCGACAATTGTTCCATCCAGAACAATTGATCACCGGCAAAGAGGATGCAGCTAATAATTATGCCCGTGGTCATTACACTATTGGCAAAGAGATTGTCGATCTTGTCATGGACCGTATCCGAAAATTGGCAGATAAATGTTCTGGTTTGCAAGGTTTTTTGATTTTCCATAGTTTTGGTGGTGGTACCGGTTCAGGTTTCACTTCATTGCTTATGGAACGTTTATCAGTTGATTATGGTAAAAAGTCAAAACTTGAATTTAGCATTTATCCGGCTCCACAGGTAATATTAAAATTATTCGTTATAAAAATAGAAATGTTTCATCAAAAATTTATTCATAAATTTAAAGGTTTCGACCGCTGTTGTTGAACCATACAATTCTGTATTGACAACGCATACAACTTTGGAACATTCGGATTGTGCTTTTATGGTCGACAATGAAGCCATTTACGATATTTGTCGACGAAATCTGGACATTGAACGACCAACATATACCAATTTGAATCGACTTATTGGCCAGATTGTCTCATCGATCACTGCTTCGCTTCGTTTTGATGGTGCTTTGAATGTGGATTTGACCGAATTTCAAACTAATTTGGTGCCGTATCCAAGAATTCATTTCCCATTGGCTACTTATGCTCCAGTTATCTCCACCGAAAAGGCATATCATGAACAATTGACCGTTGGTGAGATTACCAATGCTTGTTTCGAACCACAAAACCAGATGGTAAAATGCGATCCACGACATGGCAAATACATGGCTGTTTGTTTGTTGTATCGTGGTGATGTTGTACCGAAAGATGTTAACGCAGCCATTGCATCCATCAAAACCAAAAGATCAATTCAATTCGTGGACTGGTGCCCAACGGGTTTTAAAGTCGGTATCAACTATCAACCACCCACTGTAGTTCCAGGTGGTGATTTGGCTAAAGTACAACGCGCCGTTTGCATGTTGTCCAACACAACAGCCATCGCTGAAGCATGGGCTCGTTTGGATCATAAATTTGATTTGATGTATGCTAAACGTGCTTTTGTTCATTGGTATGTCGGTGAAGGCATGGAAGAAGGTGAATTCTCTGAAGCTCGTGAAGATTTAGCTGCATTGGAAAAAGATTATGAAGAAGTGGCATTAGAATCCACCGAAGCTGATGATACTGCTGGTGAAGAATATTAAACACATACATTTCTGATTATTTGAAATGATGATTAAAATTTATATATCTTACCCCCGTCCAACCAGTATCTCAATTTAATCAAAATTAAATCTAAAAAGCAATGATAAATTGATTTCAAGTGCAAATCTCAAAATTCAAACAAAAACAAAATCCAAATTGAAATAAATAACCGAGATTTTACAAAACACAGATGATTTTTTTTCTTTGTTATTAATTAATTCAAAATAATAATTGGGTATAATAGAGAATTCAGAGAAAAAAAAATCAATGAATTTATCTGAATTGAATTTAAAATTCAACACCTAATGTGTGCTGCCATCCACCGATAAGAATATCAGAAAACAAAATATAGACGTTTTATTTTAAATCCATAGATGTCGACTGAATCGTTAGATTTTAAATATTTTCGCTCCAAATTTTTTCTCTCACCATTATTTTTTTTAAGGATCATTAAGAATATATTTTGTTAAACAATTCAGGAGAATGAAGAGAAAAAAAAACGGACGAAAAGATCATATGATCATCAAGGTCGAATGAATCGATCTATAGACGAATTGAAATGAATGTCATCAACATTTAACAAACTAATAATTACGAGATTCGGATTCTCATTTGTGATGGAGTTTTTTGGGTTGAATTATTATTATTGTTTTTTGTTTCCAATCGACTCACAACTTTTTTTTGCTTATTATTTTACTATATATTGTGCATCATTCGAGATGAGATAGAGTAGGATAATTGTGCATCCACATCGTGTAATGAAAATGTTGTTGTTGTTTATAGTATTTTAAAATGATTTATTGAATGACTATTTGAAGGGAAGATGAAGAAAAAAAAACTCGAATTTACACCGGTATGTATGTGGACCACACTGATAATACATCCTCCCTTTTTTTTATCTTTCTTGTTCCTCACATTTTTTTTTATTTTTGATAAATAAAAAAAAATCAACCAAAAAGAAAAAAACTCAAATTATGAAGAAATGTCCTGTCCACATCACATCATTGAATAGTTTTATATTTAACCACATTTACCACTCATATACACATTTATTACACACACACACACACTACAATAACAATACAATTCTATTATCATTTCGTAAATAAAAGATTTCTCTCTCATCATTTTTTTTTTCGTTGTTCTTCTCGATTCATATCGACTCTTTTTTTTTGTTATTTCAGAAATTATCCATTTTATTGTGATGATGATGATGATGATGATGATCATACTCCCGCCGCCGCTGGGTGTATGTTCATCTTTACAAAAAATACTGCTGCTGCTGCGGCTGATCATGATGATGATGATGATGATGATGGCGACAATTTGAATTTTCAAGAAAAAAAAATCGATCTAACTCTTTATTGTTTGCTGATCGTTGATTTACTATTAGTTTTTTTTCTTACTAGTTTCTTTTTTCCTTGGACAATATTTTAAGTCAATGAAAAAAGAAAAAATTCTCTTTTTTTTTGCAATTTGATTCAAATGATTTTTTTTTTCTTTAGCTGGCCTACCAAATAAATTATATACCATTGTTGATGAGATGATTTTCCATTGATGATGGTGATAATAATTATTTTCGAAATTGTCATGCGTACAAACGACAAGAAAAAAAATATTTTGTCCAACACACACACACACACATTCATTTATTGATATGGCATGTATCCAATACATCCAGAATTTTTTTTTCGTTTTATATTTTTCCATTCACAAACTTGCATTGTTGTTGTTGTTGTTGTTGTTGTTTGTGTTTCGTTGTTGCTACATTATATTTTTTTTCCATATTCCAACCAGATGTATAGACACTTTTTTGTTTGGTATATGCGTGATTGATAACTCGTCAACTTCCTCACCCACCCTTCTTCACTACTGCTGCTGCCGTCGCCATCACTGATCATCATCATCAACATCATCAAGCCGATGAATGAAAAAATGAAATCAAACATAAATCGAAAGGTTTCAGTCACAATGATCATCAAAAACCGAATTATGGATACTATATGCTATCATAATACGGTTACGCCTTAATGTTCGAATTGGTCAAAACAGATAAATACAGATAATAATACAAACATTACACACAAAAGACAGTTTAGTTTTTCCAACATTTTTTTTTACTCTAATAAAAAAGAGGAACAAGTTTTTTTTTGCCCATTTCATTCTATTAACAAATTTTTCATTCATCTATGGCCACTTTTGTGATCATCAACATCATCACCATCACGATCAGGATTATGAGGAGGATGATGAGGATAAGTGATGATGATGATACAAATTAGCTGAAATAAAATTCAATGCTACTACAACCAAACGTAAACCAAACCAGCGTAACGAAATGAAACGAAACCGAAAACTAACGAACAACAATTGTGAACAGAATGTAAAATAAAATAAAATAAAAAAAGAGATCCAACATTAATACACACAATCTTCTTAATAGAACTGCATTATGCAGAAGCAACGAATGAAAAAAAAAAAATCATCCTCATCCACACACACACACACACACGATTGAACCAAGATCGACGACGACGACGACGACGATCAAGTTGAGATTCGCTTCCTTTCGCAAAAAATCATTTTCAATACACACACACACAATACACACATACATAAAAACGAAGGCAGACACGCTCACTTACTCACCTTCTTCAATCATTCAATTCATTCAATTCATTTCATTTTCATTCATTCATTCATTCATTCATTCATTACTAGGTGAAGGTCTTCGTCCTCGTTGATGGATTCTCTTCAATATTTGGTGATATTTTACGGCGCCGCCGCATTATCAATGCATGAATGAATGAATGAATGAATGGATGGATGGATGGATCTGGTTGCTGTGTATTGATATATCGCATAAGATTGTCTTTATTTCTTATGTGGATGCAATATTGCATTTTTATGATCATAGAAACATTCTTGTTTATTTTCTTTGCTACTACAAATTATCCATATGTGAATGTATGTAATGGATACCGGTTTGTACTAGCAGTTGTTATCCATATCAATGCAATCTGTGTTTTTTTTTTTGGCCGACCGAGAGTATATAAAGACCATCGTCATTGCACGATCCAGTAGAGAGTCGATGTAATGTCTTTTTGAAAGATTTCTCGTTGAACATCACTGGATGGATACAGACATTCATAATGAATGATGGGGATGGGATAATGTGTTGAGGGTTTGGGTGATATAATCATTGGTAAACAAAAATGTTGGAATTTATTCAACCGACAATCATTATTATCATCATCATCATCATTTTGTTTTGTTGTCGTCGTCGTCGTCGTCGTTGTCGTAGTAGTGCTAACTACAGAAAAAAATTGATCATTCGTCTGGGTTAGCATGAAAGTATTTTTCTTTTTCTTCTTGTTTGTTGTCCAGTTTCATCTTTTTTTTTAAAAAAAGTCAATGTACTATTGATAGTTTGACATTGTCGATAAAAAGAACTCAAGCTGACCTTTTTTCCCTTGTAATAATGAATGAGATCATCAGACATCTATGTGTCTTATTTCGATCATCTTTGTCATTCAATTTCATCTCACTAATTTATTATTGTTTAAATATTCAAGAATTTTTTCAAAAACAGTGCCATACTATTGCCACTCATGCGTTGTTTGTAATATGAAAAAAGAGATGAAAAATTCTGAAAAAAAACATTTTGAAACCAGCAAATCTTCTTACAACAACTTCAGCTACAATTTCAATTGGTCCTGGCAATATATTGAATCCTTTTATTGTATGGATCGATCAAATTTGTTTTGTATTTACATAATATACTGACTACTGATGATGATGATAATAATTGGATTCTGTTATAAAAAAAACTAGAATAGATATGACTGCTACTACAATGAATATATCTTGAGCAGACAAACTTTAATAATTTTCCAAATCGATTCATTCATTTGGGTATAATAAATGAGATGGGATTCTTGCTTCTAGGGTTGTTTTTTTTTCATTATCGTTTCGTATATTTTGAGTTTTTGTGGAGAAAAAAATTTTTCTCATTTTTTTTCTTCGGAAATTTTTTTTTTATTTTTTTATTTTTTCATTGTATTTATCCATCATAGGCATCATCATTTCTTCGATTGAATGTAATATGTTCATGTTATTTTTTCCTGCGTAGTGGAAATCGAACAATCCAGAACAAAAACAACAACAGCAAAACAAAACAAAACAAAATCATCAACTTGATTCAATTGAATACAGAGTGATCACACGCATACACCTAAATACATTGGAGTTGTATGTGTTTGTTGTTTGCAGCAACGATTAATAGACAGTTTTTTTTTTAGTCGGGCGTTTTTTTTCCAAGCAAGTCATTGAATATATTCCATACTGGATTCCATAAACTTTCTGGCTCTTAGTAACAAAAAAAAACTACTTCCTATCTGATGGTGATAGATGGTGCTGTTCCAAATTCTACAATTTAATTATTTTCATTCGAAATTCTATAAGGTGGTTGTTTTTTTTTTTGGTGTTTCATTATTCGAAAGTCCAAAAAAAGTAAAGATGTAAATTTTTATGTGAAAAAAAAACAAAAGAAACAAAAATCATTACAACACACTAGAGAATTATGAGAATATGCATCGTATTAGATTTCTATTATTATTCAATGTTGGCAATTGAAATTGGAATTTTACAGTTATTTGCTACGAATGACAAAAAAACAAGATGAAGAAGACAAAAACCAGAAAAACAATGTAGCCATTTTTTCGTAAATTCTCTTTTTTATTTTGTTGTATGTTTTCACCAGTTTTGTTGTTTCGCATGCATCATAATAATATCCCTCCCTCTAAAAAAAATTAATAATAATGAATTACGGATGTCGACATATATAATACAAAAAAAACGAACAAAATTTAATAGCCAGAATATGAATGAATGAATTCTATATGTTCTAGTTGTGCGCACGTTGGCGTATAAATCATTTTCCGGTTCTAATTTTTTTTGTTCCTTCATTTATTTTTATTCCATTTTTTCCAAAATGATTTTGTATACACGACTTTCCTGCTTATTACCTCTTACTCCCACAATTGATTACACAACAAACAGAAAAAAAAACTTTATATCCAACAATTTTTTTTTCTTATATTCAAATACAAGACAAGAGAATTCCAAAAGAATTTTGATGATGGC